AAGATTCACAGTTTACCGATGAATTCCTCCGGAGCTTCGCCCATTCATCATCATTCACCCCGTGAATATGCCGTATTTTTTTTACCCTGCTTTCTTTTCTCTCCACTCTAACTGTCCCTTCATTCCCCGTTCCACGTGAGTGCGCGCTTTTGGGCGCCTCTCGAGATCCCAAGCACATACCACTGTCGCGGTTAAACGATTGCGAGAAAAGATAGTCCCAAAGCGTTTTCATGATTGCGCGGGCGGCCCAGCTCGCAGAAGATAGCGCCATCAACCACCGAAGATGAGTAAAGGGCAACAAAGAAGCTGTTTCCAAACAGTGTACGCATATGTAAATTGCGAAAAGATAAGCAACCAAACTTTTTTTTTTTTTTGGCTTACCACATTTTTTCTTTCTCCTGAAAAAGTTTTCATAAAATTGACCCCGCACAATACCCCCCCCCCCCTCCAACTTTTCTTAGATTTTTCGAGAAAAAAGTGCATGCATTACGCGAGTAAATACGGTACCTAATGCAAGACTTCCTTCATTTACTTCATTATAATCGATACTTTGTTATATCTGAGTTTGTTATATCGAGGTTTTAGAGTTTAGAGTCAATCCCGGATATATCGAACTTGAAGGGAATCGTGAAATAGTTCAATACATCGATAATTCGAAAAAACTTGGATTATTTCCCTAAAGGAAACACTGATGGGATGCGAAGCAGCTGGGATGCGCACGGCGCTGACCGGGTTGAAACGGGTGTTGACGCGTGTGCTGGAACAACGGCTTAAAGCGAAACTCAGTGTGGTGTTTACTTCAGTAAACGATGTCATCATTCGCGACCGAGCACGGCTTCGCTAACCCTTGCGACGCTGGTGACGGCCGGTTTAGGCATAACCGTATCGGCGGAAGTTTCAGCGGGCGAAGGAGCGTCGTCTTCCGGCGTCCTGTTCATTGCAGATAAATGAGCTGAAAGAGTACCGTATTTACTCGCATAATCCTCGCACTTTTTTTGCCACAAAACTGATGCAAAGTTGGGGGTGCGAGAATTACACGGAGAAAACTTTCCAAGAAAATGCAGAGAGAGAAAAAGAAAAGGAAGTGGCCGCAAATCGGGATTCTCACGCCAGAAACTTACAGCAAGCTTTAAGAAGCACTAATTAGAGCTTACCTCAACAATAAAAGCAGAGGTTCAACACAAGGCAAGATTTATTTGAGACACAAAAAGTGGAAGCACATAGTCGAGAATTAGAATACCATACGCGAAGCTTGTGGGCATTGCGGGTGTAGCAGTAGCGGTCGACGCTCAACAGGAGCCCTCAAAAGGTAAGCGTAGGACGTCACTATTGGGCTGATGGCTATTTAACAGAATCGTCCGCAGTTTCCTTCTGAAGAAATAAAGTTTACCATCAATCCCAGTTTTAGGCACACAGCAGGCCCAACGCGTCTTGGTGGCTTTCAGCTGCCGTCACCAGTAGCGAACACAAAACTCGTAGGCTCAGAAGAGCCTACCGATTGCCCTGTAGCCGTTGTTTAGTGCATACAGTCAAACCTCTTTAATACGTACCCGCTTAATATGTAACTGCGGTTTATACGTAGTAGCGAGGAATCCCCCGCCCTATCTCCATTGAACCCCATGTATTGGCTGACCGCTTAAGCCGTAGTCGCTTGTGGTGTTATGTACGGTTAGTACGTACTATTTTCGTTCTCTTTATCCATGCACAGGCCGAAAATCGGCAAAATTTCGTGCGCACAGACGGTCGATACACTCCATGTGGCGATCGGACAACAACCACCAGCGATAGTGACGTCACAACATGGCCACGATGACGTATTTTTTGCGCGTACGTCTGTTGCCGATCCCATTGTGCAAGAGCATGGCCTTCAAGATCGGTTTTTGGTAACCTAGGAATTCTCGATTGCTGGTCCCGGTAGGGGGTGCAAATTCGCTGTCGCTTTCAATCCAAGCCAAGTACGTATTCTCAACGGCTCCACAGCGTCGAGCCAGGCTGAGCTCGTTTCTTTATTCGGTCGTTAGTCCTCACTTTCCCGCAGTGTTGGTCGTGGCGGCGGTGTGGTGGTGTTGCGTTACTTACGTTCTTGTGCGGCGTGTTGTGTTTTTTTTTTTTGTTGTTTTTTTTATTCTTGTGTTGTGCGCGAGTGGTGCGATTAAATTCGCACACTAAAACTTCTTACTATGCCGAAGTACCACGTCTTGAGCGTAAAGGAAAAACTTGAAATCATTCGCACTATTGAAAATGGGGCCAAGAAATCTGCGGTAGCCCGCGATAAGAACTTGCCGCTGACTACTGTATGCGGAATTTGGAACGCTCGCGAAAAGTTGACGGGAGGCACAGACAGCGATTTGAAGAGGTGCCGCATGAGAGACTCAGCTTATCCCGAAGTGGAAAAGGCCCTGCTTCTCTGGCTGAAGAAGGCGCGGAGCATGAACCTGCCGGTTAGCGGACCCCTTCTGACCGAAAAAGCCCTAACTTTCGCAGATCAGCTGAACTGCCCCGGTTTTGCCTGCAGCAACGGCTGGTTGTCGCGGTTTAAAGCCCGCTACGGCATCGTGGGGAAGGTTGTTTGTGGTGAGGCTGCTGCAGCAGACAAAGAAGGCGCTGTTGAATGGCAGGACACCGTTTTGCAGGAAGCCTTGACAGCCTACGATGCCGCCGACATTTTTAATTTTGATGAGTCGGCACTTTTTTATTGCCTTCTTCCAAATAGGACATTGGCATTTAAAAATGAGACGTGCACCGGCGGGAAACACGCCAAAAATCGCATATCGGTCGCTTTTGGCGTAAATATGACCGGTAGTGAGAAGCTGCCACTGATGGTCATTGGCAAGTATGGAAACCCGCGGTGCTTCAAAGGCGCTCGGCTGCCATCCGGTGTTGTTTACAAGCACAACAAAAAAGCCTGGATGACAGCCCAGCTGTTCGAGGAGTACGTGCGCCAGCTGGACCGCCGTTTTGCTGCCAAGAAAAGGAGCATTTTGATAGTGCTTGACAATGCGTCGGCGCATGTCGATGTGGGTAACCTGTCGGCTATTAAGCTGTTGTTTTTGCCGCCCAACACGACAGCGCTCGCCCAGCCCCTCGATCAGGGCATCATCCGCTCTGTCAAACAGATTTACCGCAAAAATCTTTTGCGGCGGATGTTGATCGCCATGGAGAGTGCCAAAACGTACAGTATAGACCTCCTGGGTGCTATACACCTGCTTGCACACTCATGGATGCAGGTGCAGCCTGCAACGATACGGAACTGTTTCGCGCGAGCACAATTCAAGATGCCAGAAGAAGGCAACGACGAGAACATGGAGGATAACGAGGATGGTGAGGACACCGAAGACTGCGAGAGCCTCCTTGTTGAGGTGCTCGAGCGGCAAGGAGAGGGAGTCGACAAGTTCAACTTCGGCACTTTCCGAGATGTGGACGGAGACGTCCTTACATCCCCGGACTTTTCCGACAGCGACATTGTTGCCGCCATCGCACCTCGTCCCGATTCAAGCGAAAGTGAGGAGGAGGGCGATGTCGAAGTGGACGACGGCCCCTCGTTATCCGAAGCTGCGCGTGCTGTGACTGTGATGCGAGCCTTCGCCGAGAAGCGTGGCCTAATGGACCGGCTGGCTCGCGGCCTCACCGACTTCGAAGATGCCGTCGTCGAGGCAAGGCCACCACGGCGGCAAGTGAAGATCACAGATTTTTTTGCTGCCTGTCCATAAATAAAGCTGGCGTGCCGGCGTGTGTGCGCGCGCGTGTTTGTGAGGATTGTGGCCTTCTTTTCTGACCGGTAAGTAGCCGCTAAACTGGCACTGACGGTTAATTCGTACATCGCTTAATGCGTACCAAAACGTCATTCCCGGCCAACTACGGTCTAACGAGGTTTCACTGTAATCTATCACTTGCAACTTGAAGCAGCCGTGTGGCTTCAGTATCGCCCCATAACGTGCCAAAATTACAGACACAACATACAAAACACACCGCAACGCGCACTGGCCACTTCAGCTTGGCTTGGATTGGATTGAATCTCCATGCAATAGTACGCTTGATGCTTAAGAGATGGCACCAGATAGCGCACGCTATCATCATCAGTGGCTGGAACAAGCAGACTACATTATTGTGGCAGTTTTCGGGGGTGCGATAATTACTCGAGGAAAAAAAAAATCATTTTTCTTGGCCGATGTGGGGTGTGCGAGAATTATGGGAGTGCGAGGATTACGCGAGTAAATATGGTATTACCACTCGATGTGCGCTCGAGCGTTGCGAGCGGTGATGAGAGAGAAGCAAGAGAGAGGCAACATGTACAAACATGTTGTAACGTGTGCGTTAGGCACACATCAGGTTTATTCCATGTGAACCGACGAGTCGGTAGTGTAGCGAGCATGCGGCAGGCAAGAGAGAATTGCGTATTTAAGGCAGCACGCGTATTGCGCATTTAAGGCAAGCGAGGATTGTATTATGTATTGAGTGCCTTACAATTATGCATGCGAATTTGACACATTTGCAGACAGTGCATAATATTCACGCCTTAAGGGGTTATACCGATGTGTTTCTTACATCAGGGTCCCTTATTGTGGGCTTCAACTCTATTAGTAGTAATATTTCTTGAACTTTCAAAAAATAAATATAAGGATATTGTGATCTGAAAATCAAATCACAGCACTTCTTAATGATGCATGAAAACGCCATTCTCCTCACTAGCTTCTACCTATCCGAAAGGCCAGCAGCCATCACAGCACCCTGACACAATTTCAGACAACGTAGCTCGATAAGTGCGCACAGACTAGAAAGACCGGAGCGTAAGCGCGTGAAGCGCTACACCGAACTTTGAACCCAATGTCAGACAGTTCTAAATCAAAATGCATGCGCGTAATTTTGCTAAGATCATTTAAAACTATGTCTTTCCCTGTGTCGCTGATCAGAATACAAAACAAACAATAACAAGGCAGTTTTGCGCCTTCATATTCGGATGTCATCACACAATTGCATTTATTCGTATGTTGCCAGCTCACCTGCGGATTGTCTCGGCGGTAGGCCAGCAAATGGAGGACCAGCTCCTGAAGCTGGGGCAGGTGACCTTTCAGGTCAGCCTTCTCGATGGAGCTGATAAACTCTCCCAGCAACGACATCAGGGGCTCCAGGGCAGCTGCCTACAAACGCAATAGCACAAAAGGTTGGTGCACCAAGTAGCGAACAATCTGCTAGCTAAATGTAAAAGCATCGACATTCTTGACTGCTTGAACTCGGGACAGAGTACGCTGTTCATTTTATACCGCAAGATGCCATTCAGGATTTTCGGTAAGGCCAGTGGGCACCTCACGAAATTCGCCAAGGCAGTACAAGTTGAAACAAGAAACAGAACATGCAAGGATAAGGTAAAATTAGTTGCTACAGCGAATCAGAAACATATTACTTCTTTGGAAGTACAGTAGACTTGTGAAAATTCAAACTCTGATAATACATACTTTCGAGGTACTCAAACAAAACTAAATTTTTTTGGTTGCCCCTCTATTCTTTCAATGTATTTAAAAGCCTCTTAATTCAAACTCCACCACTTGGTTAATTCACTTTTTTTGCGGTTTTATACCAGAAAATGTTTGCTGCTTTCGTGCTACAATTTAAAAATTTGCGTACTTATGTAATCCTAAACGTCTGAAAATGAAAAATAAGCACTTCAGGCCTTCGAAGAAAAAGGCTTTGCTAGTGAACAAATGTTTGAAACGAAGCGCTCGCATGGTAAACCTAGATGCTTCTCAACCGGTACAGAGAGCTTTGTGCTGAAGGTGCATATAGCAAAGAAGCAGTTGGCAATTCATGATTCCTGTAAAAGGTCTGATCAGCATTAAATGGCCGACAAACCTGTGGACCTTACACCTCTGCTTTCCTGTTTATTGCATGCAGTTAGGTATTGTAATAGTTTAAAACATTTTTATTAAGTCTGATAAAATCAATGCCTAATCATGATGTGTGATGTCACCTCACCCACCGTCACATATGTGAGAACTTCTGAAAATTCAAACAAAATTCAGAGGTCCCTTCGGGCCTGACTTAACGAGAATTGACTGTACAGAAATTTTGCCACTGTTTAGCTCATTCCATTCAGCAAGAGACTGCAGTAACATGTGAAGCTTATTTAGAGTGCGGAGTGATGTTAATCACAGAATACAAACAGAATGTTTAACTACACTAATAAAACATGTTGCTCAGCTAGTCAGTTCATACAGCTCAAAAGGTAATATGGCTGTGCAACGCAAAGAAAAGAGGTACAGGAAAGAGCGTGCTGTGCGCTCTTTTCCTGTACAGTAAAACCCCGTTATTTTAAAGTCACCGGGGCTGCGAGAAAGATTTGAATTAAGTGGGTTTTTAATTAACAGACATACAAGAAGTGGGTACAAGAAACTTAGAACTATTCAATGTAATCACTGCTCATTGTTTGGCGTGCCAGCTAGCTTGCGACTTTAATGGTAATCTTTTCCAGCAATACTTGGTCTTTATTTTGCCGCAAACATGATGGAAAAGCTGGCACCTCGCTGTTACCCCTGAAAAAAAACAAAGAAAACGCAGTCGTAATCGACTAAAATATGCAGCCTGCAGAAAACAAGACATCTTCACTGCAACACAGTAGTGGCATGCGGCAGCATGTCGCCTACTCCTCGCTCCATCAGCACATCATGATGCAACCATTTGCCCATTCTTTCTAATATTGTTATGACTTTAATAATGGCCAGTATGACGAAGCTCACGATGTGTTTTGGCTGAAAGAAAATGATTTTTGAAACTTTCAAACTTAGTTTTGAAAGTAGGTGTTGCTGGCAAGAAGTCCTCCAGCAGTGCAAGGACGCGAATTGCTGAAGAAACCGGCAATCGGAGGTTCGCATACATTGAAATTTCTGATAAACTGTCCTTTATTAATTTCTTTACAATCCCAGAAAGGATGGGTGAACCATGACCAGCTGACGTAGCGACAAACATGCAATAAGCTGCCCGAATGTCACCACTGTGTTGCAGTAAAGCATGGCTCGTTTTCCACAGGCGCATGTTTCGGTTGACCATGAGACCGTTTTTCTTTTCTTTTTCGCGCTGGAAGTAGCGAGGCTGGGGTGCTTCAGCTGCACATCGTTAGTATCGATACGTTGCATTGCCTTGTGGCAATTAATGGCCATCGTTTCCATGTATACGCGGCAAAATCGCGATCTGAAACTGGTACACGGCACCCAAAGTTTTCGAATTAACTGGACTGGTGCCGGCCGCCGCTTCAAGTTATCCCCTGAAACTTACATTGCAAAATACGGGACCGCGGAAATCCTTCGAATTAAGCAGAATTTCAAAATAACCGAGTTCGAATTAACGAACGAGGTTTTACTGTATACTTGTTTTCGTCACCTTTAATAGCATTATTAGCTTTTGCACAAAATGTTTAAGTCATGCTTACGTTTCTTTTTTTGCCTCGTTAAGCACTCTGTGGAGTGTTCGTTGGAAGTTTACACCTTAGTGTGCACTTATGCATGCCTGAATAAATCAAGAATAACCAACGATCCTTTGAAAGCCTGGTCTCAAACTCTGGCACTTACCGAATGGCTGAGCTTGTGAAAACTTTCCTCAATGGCTGGGATGAGGACGCGAGCTGGCACGTGGTGGGCAATGTGCGTCGACGTAGACTCCAGCCGCTGGCACAGGGTTCCACTGGCACCTTCTTTTGCGCACGACACGTGCATTGTGCATACCTGGCAGAAGTTGATTGACAACGAGAAACATTCAACTAACGTACTGGCATTGTATTGGGTTAATTGTGACACAGGCTAGGCCTACATCACGTACAAACATTTACAGCACAAAGTATAACAGAGAAAAAGAGAGCCATAGGGCATGACTATTGCACAAAAAACATCACTTTAAATTCAACCGAACGGTTTCCCGAAGTCAAGGCAATAACTGCAACTGATGCGAGTCACAGAACAATAAAGAAGGTGGCCTGGTACACAGGTCCCCTGCCGGCTGACAATGCAATGTAATATAACACAATAAAAAAAATTCCGGAGGTAGAGAGAGACCATGACACAATGTGTATAATAGTCTACACAGGTGAAAGCCTCAGATGCTTCATTAAACATAAAAAGCGATCGTCACTATGAACTCGAATGATCCAACAAAACCATCATCATCTAATGACGTCTTTAAGACATCAGAGATCGCCAAAAATAACATGACGTCCCACGATGATAAATCATTTGGCACTGTTGCTTAGTTAAAGGAGGAAAGAAAACAATATAATGAACAGAGAATAAAAAAACGAAATGAATTTCATGTTAGAGTAACTCTGAGTGAACAATTGAGGAACCGAGCGACTTTTTTTTACCATGCCCTCGCCAAGCATTGCAATTGTTAAAGTGCTTGTTTGAATTATGCAATAAGGAAAAATTTGAATTACAGTGGTTAGAAAACTGCTGCAAGCTTGAAGAAAGAAAGAAAAAGACAAGGTTCACACTGATAAGAAGTAATGTTTGTGGGTTCTCGAGCACACCAGATTTTAAGGCTGCAAATATGAATACCCCTAAGTGCCACATAACAATAATACACTCACAGCTCATTAAAAAAAAACTTGCATATTACGCAAAGTTGAGTTTGTTATGACAGAAATTCGTTATAAATGCTTATTCCTAACACTACACCTATTGCAAAACTACTTTTCGTTTACTTCGATATTCATTCCTAACACTAAACCTATTGCAAGACTACTTTTCGTTCACTTCGTTATAACCAATATTTCGTTATATTGAGGTTTGAGGTTAGATGGTTTTATAAGGTGAGGTAATGAGGAGCGAAATCGCATGAGCGCACTTACCTGAACCAAGATTGTAGTAAGGTATGCACTCAAGAATGGTGCCAGGCTTTCAACCAGCCGATGCAATGCTGTAATAAGTGCCATTGTGACCACATCCGACCTGCGATGCCCCAAGGGTAAAGCAACGTGTCAAACTCTGGACAACATTTGAACAAACAAGCTGCTATTCAAGCCCTTGTTCGATGGCCCCTGTTCTATTTTCAGTTTACAGCTGGATGGCCCACATTCAATTTCGTTATAGCAGTAAAGAACTTCATGGCTGACCAAGTTTTATATTTAGTACTTCGTTACATAAAAATTTCACAGTATCTCACAGCTTCTAGCATTGTAAATGAATGCTAGAGTTAAAAAAGAAGACCACAGTACAGGGTGTGATATCAAGGCCAGCATCTGGTGCCTGCACAGTAAGCAGATCAGCATGTGATAAGCGGAGGCTCCCGCGTACACCCCGTTTCGTGATGTTTTGAATCAGCATCGAGCAAATGCGTGCAGCGAAGAATGATTATTTGTTTATCAAATGCGCACACAGTCACATCCAAGGTGTCCCTATTAGGATGCACTGAAAGCCACAACAACTACACCTACACTCCAAGACGGGTAAAAAACAAATGTTAGAAAACAAACGGTAGATCCAGCAACAGCAATGAAAACATGAGGCTTGTGCGCATATTTGAATTCACTTCGATTCAAATTTAAATTATTAAAAATTTCAAAGCATTCGAAATAATTGAACAGATGTAAGTTAGTCCGCTTATAACCCCCTGCAAAGGTGGTTTCACTGTTGTAAAGCAGTGCTAAGCCGTGAAGACATCTACTAAACCCTTGTTACGACGAAGTCAGAGGGAAGGCAAGAAAGTTTGATATAAGCGGTGATTCGATATACGCGACTGCCCCATAAGAGCTCAGCAAGTACAGCTAAATTACCGTAAAAACCGGGATATAGGTCGATCCCTCAAACTTTGAATCTACGAGAAAGAAAAAAAAAAATCGCAAAGTATTACGGCGCACCCTTACCTTGATAAATACGTGACACAACCAGCTGCACTGTGCTGACATTTCTTTTTATTTGGACACTAATCTTATGTAGTTAAACCAAGGTCACAAAGTGCTGTCACTCAGACTTGTCCGAACATGAATCCGAAGACATCTGTTTTTCACTAGTAACGTCCAAGAGTGCATCGTCCTTCATTCCATCCAATGCGTTATTGATACAGTGTTTGCGGAAAGGACGGAAGTCACTGCCTTAGCGCAAAGAAAGCCCTTCCGCTATATAAATCAGCGAACCCACGATGGAGATCCCTTGAATCGCACCACTTGTGAGCCCAGACTCGCGTACTAGTCTCGAGAGCTTTCACACGGATGCACTCTGCTGTTATGGGTAGAGACCTAGCATGCAGCTCCTGGACGAATTCGGCTAGTAGCTTTTTCAATTTGAGGTGCACTGCAGTCCGTCCATGAAACGAATGTTTTTTTTTTCTGGTTGCTGCACAATGGAATGGGCTGTTTTTGGCTCTCCAGTATCGGGCACTTCTGTCTGAATTCCCGTCGTGCTGCCAGGTTGCCACTGCACTTCAGCATACTCAACTTTTTTTCTTAAAGCCTATCGTAAACTGCCGTCGACTACCACTCATTTTCAAAGAGCAACGAGAAAAGAGAAAATTGCAGACTGACAGCCCATAACTGAGGCAAAATGGCGTTGCGAGAACACTGTCGGCCTTGCCTAGCCTCGCGCAACCGTGCAGCTGCTTATGCTTACAATGGCAATGGAGACTTTCGACTTCAGCTGCCCAATGTTGCGAGACTTCCACATTTTTTTTTTTTCTGCCAATGACTAGTATATAGAACGAGAGTAGACTTTCCATTGCATTTTTTTTTTTAATTCGACTACATTCTGGTTTTTACGGTAGCTATGACAACTTTGCAGAAGTGGTATTCAGTCAAACAAACCTTTACTTTATTCACGCACAAAAAAGTCAATCAGCTGGCTTTGTCGGGTGCTTTGGCTGGGCACGAGGAGTGCCTGCTCCAGTCTGTTTAGGCAAATTATAAGGTCGTAGTAGCTTCCCACCCACTCCACTCTATTTCGCAACAGGCAGAGGCTCTCCTGCGTTTGTGCCACAGTTGGTTTTTCACGAGGCTTTCGTCCAACGGCTCATATTCCTCATTGGGGCCTCCAAGCAAGTCGGCTATTTTGGCATCCGTAACTGGAGCACCGATGGGTACACTGGTCAGCCATCACGAATAATTCGAAGTTGCCTTCCAGATCTCCGGCAAAGCTGTGAACAGCTTTGTCAAGATCGTCGCAGTACTCGCAGTCATCATCAGCGTCTTTGGCGTGCAACCAGAAAAATCCGGCATGTGTAAAGCAGTTCGCAATCTTTGCAGGTGCTAGTTCTTTTCATGAATGGCATGGTAAATGCACTGCTCCAAGTAAGTCGATGCTGTATCGCTTGTTGGTATCATACGCAACAAGCACCCATTGTAAAAGACTTTTCCGGAATAACTTTTGTGCTGTCTCAATAATGCCTTGGTCCATCAGCAGTAATATTCGCAATATAGATCTGCAACTTGTTACCTGAGTCTAAGCGGAGCAAGCTATAGACGTGCTTCGAGTGATCCAGTCTAAAATACACGTATAGGGGTAAGGACTGTGTGACACTTCGATAAAAGCCATGATTCGAATAAAGCAGCTTCGTTGTAACGAAGGTTTGCTGTATATTAGTTTGCATGTAATCTCCTTTAAATATAATTTCATTGCCACAAAAAAATGCTGAGCAGTGAAACACCTATCCCGAGAAATTTGCACTGGCCGCAAAGCCCCACTTCAATCTTAAATGAACATATTACCTTCACATCGATTCACTTTTTAATTAAGTTGATAAGCTTGTTATACCGGCTTATATGCCCCAAGTGCAATAATTTTTAAAACGTATAATATTTTACAGGCTTATCGCTGCATTCTACCGAGAGTAATATCCTGCTATCATTCACAGTTGCTTCTACTTACTTTGAAATTAAAGAAAACATTGATTTAAACAGGCCTTGTTTCAATATTCAAAAAAATATTGTGCAGGTTGATTAGGTTATGACAAATAAGCCCCCTTTTCTTTAAAATATGCGATATATACCATTCGAATTCAATTGGAAACTACGGTATTCGACCAAAATCATTATTCACTTCGATTTTGCTTCGAACCTAAAATTCACTATTCGCAAAGCCTAGAAACCATTGATTGCTTGATTCAGCCAACGAAGAGGACAAAAGATGAAAACATGTGCTGACCTCTCCTTGCCCTGTTCTGCAGGATGCCGAGGAAGGGTGGCATGAGACGGCCGAAATGAGCAATGGTGGGCGTCGGCAGGCTGTGGCACAATTCCGCAAAGCACAGCAGTGCGCTACTCATCAGTAGTGGATTCAAATGCTGTCAGAGAGCAGCTGGTGTGCCAAGTCGTACACCTGTGAGGGAAAAAAAAAAAGCACTGTGAACAGACCATGCTGCTAGTGATTTCTGAAACTTGACCTAATGTGGTTTGGGAAATTCCCAGATCTTTAGAATGTTGTATGTGATCCTATAAGAACATGAGCTGCATTCATTGTCTTTTTTTTTATGTGAAGGGGTACTAGAAATGCGACGTGCTTGTATGAATGTTATGTGATTGTATGATACAAGAATTTATACGTGGCACTGAAAGCGTTAAACTCTGAGTAGGTAATAGTATTGATGAATGAATCAAGGAATAAATTAATGAATGTTGTCTTGGCTCATTCTATATCTCGGAAGGTTGTTTACAGTTGAAGATTTTAAAGAAGAACCCCCCAGGCGCTTGCCTTCTCAGTGTTAAACATTTATTTTTAGAAATTACTCTCCTCTTTTCATTTGACCATTGTTTTCTACTGCCATGTTTCTGAGAAAAGACTAAAGGGCTGTATCAATTACAACTCCTTAACACTCTCGGCAATCCACTCTAAGTCCTCACCTCAGCGAAAGCATCCCGGTGTTCAGCGCCCAATGTACGGATGAGAAGCTTGAGTGATAACAGTGCCGTTTGCCGGTTCAGGGCTGCCTCTTCGCTCGAAGTCGCTCCAGATGTTTCGCTGACAATAGTTGATGCTGATGGCACAACGGACAAGGATTTTCCATGTGCCATTTGCAGCAGCAATGGAACAAGTTCCAGCAGGGACTGCGTCTGTAGATGTCACAACAAGAAGAGCTAAATGTGCCCAGCTTCATCCCACTTGTCATTGCAAAGCTACAACACAGTAAAAAATTAGTGCAAATTGCATGCTTGTGTGGCACAACAACTTTAGAGGGATACAAGAGAGAAAAATGTTTTCGCTAGGGGTGAGCGAATATGCGGAATTTTGAATATTCTTTTAATAGTGTTTACTACTTCAATGGAATTGCACTTAAGGGGGGACGCGGGGATCAAATCGCGAAATTCTCGCAAAAAAAACGAATTTTGGATAAGGGCAGATTTGGATTCTGCATCACCATTTCTATCATATCTAAAAATATTTCCGCCGAAAACGATCTCAAAGTAAGCTTAAAAAATGTTTTTCTGACCGCGGATCGCAAAAAGCTGGCTGAAATCTGCGCGAAAATGGCCCATTTCCGAGCGCGATACTTCCGCGTCTTCGCCGCCGCTCGCGGAAAGCTTGGTGTCACTGGAAAGCTTGCTTCACCGCCGTACTTCTCCCGGTGAAACCACGACTCTACGAGCTAAGATAAACGCACAAACAGAAAAAATGCGAAGGCATCCGCGATGCCTTAGACGCGCACCCATTGGTCGCTCCTGTCACGTGGTACTGAGCGCGCTCTGTGAGTGGCTGCTGGGACGCACTTGCTTGCGCTGGTCGTCTGCTCCGCGCACGCACGTCTGCTACGCACACGCTGGCGCACTATAGTTTGCGAATCCCCTGCCGATACCCCGATACGCCAACTCTTCTCTAGCGCGAGGCTTAGCGCCCGCAATGGATCGTCGCGTGGACCGGAAGCGCAGGACGAAGTACCGGACGAAGTACGCTTACGGGAAGCGTAAACGCAAGCCTCCTGTTGGGAAAACGAAGCAGTCAGCAGCGATTGAATCAGACGAACCGAGTACCGCGTCGCCACCAAGCTACGTGTCGTCGGAAGCCGACACCTGCTCGCTGCCGATGCTCGGCAGTGAGGCCTATGACGCAGGGCCGTCAACTAGCCGCGACGTTGCGGTGCGGCCCGAACGCGAAAGAAGTTTCGTTTTCGCTGCGGCGGGTGACGATGCAGTGCCGGCTGTTCAAAGTGACGGTGAATCGACGCCTGGCAGTGACACTGAAGACCCGGGGCCATCAACTAGCCGCGGCATCACGCTGCGGTGTGAACGCGAGAAAAGTTTCGTTTTCGCGGCGGCGGACGACGACGTGGTGCCAGCTGTCCAGGATGTCGGCGATCGTTTGCCTCAGCGGAAGCGCACCGTTCAAATACACCTGGAACCTCGTTTCGTGTCCTCGGAAAGCGCCGAGAAGCAAGCCAGCAGTGTCCGCGATGCACTTTGCGAGGTGTCGGCAACGGAGCGGAAGTTCGGGTTCGCGCAGCAAACGGAGCAAACATCGGCAACAAAAGAGGATGACTTCACCCTAATTCAGGTTTCTGCCATGAATTCCCTAATAGGACCTGCACTCTGCCCAAAATGTTGTAAGAAGACTTTGTCAGTGCAGCATGGGACAAAATTGGGCCTGGCAGTAAAACTGGTACTTTTGTGTGCTTCCTGTGGCCCTATTCATTCACCTTGGTCATCCAGTAGAAAATCCGAAGGAAGGGCTTTTGAAGTCAACCTAAGAGCCATGCAAGCAATAAGTCCATTGGAAAAGGGCCCACTGCCCTGAATGACTTCTGGGCTACAATGAATGTCTCTCATCGGGGCATTCATCAAAAAACCTATCAGGAACACCTAAAAAAACATTCAAACCAGGAGCAGAGGAAGCTGCACAAAACATCTTTGCAGATGCTGTGCTTGCGGTAAAAGACGTGTACAGTAAGATGCAGCCATCAAGCCCAAACAACATCACAGTTGTGTATGACGGCACGTGGCTTACAAGAGGCCACAGCTCACACATTAGGGTAGGATGTATTATTGAGTTTTACACGGGGCTTGTGCTGGATTGCACAGTCCTTTCCAACTTCTGTCTTGGGTGTTGTCAACAACCAGCAGAGAGCGACCCCAACTTCGTCACTTGGGCTGAGAAACATCAATGTCAGAAGAATACTGATGTTGGCTCCGGACAGATGGAAGTGGAGGCTGCTCTGACACTTTTCAGGCGCTCTGTCAGCAGGTATGGCCTCCGCTACACCAACATTATATGTGATGGTGACAGCCGAACCTATCTTGCTCTGTGCAAAGATGAGGTGTACGGCTTCATACCACTGACCAAAGAAGACTGCGTGAACCATGTGCAGAAGAGAATGGGCACCGCTCTCCGCACACTGGTGACAAGAGCTAAGAAAGGGGAGCCATTGGGTGGGAGAGGTGGACTGACGTAGGAGTTGATTAAAAAACTGACCAGCTACTACGGGTTAGCCTTGCGAAAACACACAAGTGTCCCTGACATGCAAAGGGCCGTGATGGCCACTTTTTATCACGTCACATCCACCGACGACGAGCCTCACCATGAGCTCTGCCCACCTGGCCCTGATAGCTGGTGCAAACATCGTTCAGCACAGGCCAAAATGGAGCCAGCACCACCTCACAGGTATAACCTGTCGAAACGTGTAGCGGAGGCTCTGCTGCCTGTATACCAACGTCTCTCTGACCCGCAACTGTTGGAGCGATGCAAAGGCAACAAAACTCAGAATGCGGCGGAAAGCTTGCATTCAGTTATTTGGTCACTGACTTCAAAGGACCAACACGCTTCATTGTTCGCAGTGGAGACAACAGTACATGAAGCAGTTGCACGCTACAATTTTGGAAATTTGCGAGCCTACACTGAAATGTGCAAGTCCGTGGGCATCAAACCTGCTAGCCTCGCCCTTCAAAGAGCTGAAGAAAAAGACCAGCAAAGAAAACGAAAAGCACGCAGTGCAGAAAAAATGAAAGAGAAAGGACGTAAGAAGACCCTCGCAAGCAAAGACACAAAGTATTACAGTCCCGGGACATTTTGATGGACCTTTACTGACTGTTCAACTTTAACGCCAGTTTTCTCAGAAATGTGTTTTGACCCGACTGTCCAGCTTGCCACGATGCTTGCATGACTATGGCTTGACGGATTTTCATGTGGTTTTTTGCATTGTGTTCCTCAGTGAATTTTCTATGTCGTGACGTTTTCATATTTGTTAATTACTACCTCAGTATTTTTACTCCTAAGCTAATTTCACATTATGATAACGACCACATTTACAAGCATGTATACAATGTTCTCTGTAAAATAAAAACAGAGTCATAAAAATATTTGCAGAATGTCACGACATCAACCATCCCAATGGCTAAAATATAAGAGCAACTATAGGCTTCTACCATGTTTTTTTGTCACACCAGGCTTTGGGCAAGTTTGGTAGTACACTGATGGATAAAAAAATTTATAATGCCAGAACTACTGGAGATAGCTGAATGAAACTTTGTCATTTATCATTTAGCGCAGTTTCCAGTAAGCATGCCAAATTTCATTGCTCTACGACAAAAACTAAAGAATTTCACTTTCGATCCCCACCTCCCCCCTTAAATTTTTACATTCGAAACGATTCGAACTTCCCGAAGACAACTATAATTAACGTCAAATTGGCAGTGGCCCCTTCAAATTTTTAATATGCTTCACCCCATCATACCCATCACACTTGTATTATGGTAAAGCTGCATTTCAGGCTCGCTACAGTCAAATAAATTTAATCGAGAAAACGCTGGGTTCAACATGGAGATGACAGATGTGACAGAGATGGGGGCACAATTAATACTGTTTTGGAGTTGAAACTTGAGCAGGAAGTACAATAAATAGAATTAGGGAAAAAAAAAAAGTTGGCGAGTTGGCAATACTGCACAAAATTGGAACAGAAATCAACCTTAATTTCTGCACGCATGTCACAAGGTTGCAATTTACAAACATGGGTTAAAGGTGCAAACTCCAATTGAGGTAAGAAATTTCAAGCCGGCCTTCATAATTGAATTGACAAGGAGAGGAGGTGGGCTCAGACGTCGTGCTTGAAGTCGCACAATACTGCTTCGCAGGATGGACTGCAGGTTGTCAACCCCTGAGTTAGAGGGTTAAAATGGGGCTAAGCACTTTCAAGCTCACCGTTTCTGAATTCGGGAGATTCCTGCAACAAAGAGGTGGGGGGTCGCATTGAATTATTTCCTTCCATTGTTTCGCCACCAAAACAAAACAAACAACACCGTGAAAAACAAGATGAGTAGGTCACAACAAATTATTTTCCCCTTTGTTTTGGTACCAAGCCACAACAAAAAACATTGCTAAAAACAAGAGGGCAAATGTGCAAGAGGCCTCCTAATGGCTTGGAGTGGCCTAACACATGACAGTAGCGTTTCCCACTAAAGTGAGTCTAAAAGGGGGAGCACAAATATACTTCCAAAATTTCGCGACATTAAGCCAACTAGCACAATTTATTTTTTTCAAAATAACTCGCGTATATTTTCCTGAGAAACACGTAAACAGATGCGACGGCGCAGCTGCTTGCCGCGCAGGTCAAGGCTTTGCTCTCTACTAGATTTTTTGGACAGGAATGCCAACACGCTTCTAGCCTTTTATACGTTTTTAGTGCCTTAAATTTACAACTGCGTTAGCCACCTGCCCTCGGAGCTCGTGGATTGCTACTGTGTTGCCACGACCACGGATTTGTGCGCGGTGGTTGCAGCAAACGATACTTCCGTTTTCAATCTGCGTGCGCTGGCTGCGCACATGCCTTCAAAGCTGTCATTTTATGCAACCTATGATCGCATCTGCTACGGTTTTGTCTACAGAGTTTGCAGAAAGCAGCGCTGCTGTGATTGGTCGAGCATTGGATGCGCACACACTTTTAGAGTTCTGTCAGTAACGCCGTCACCATACATGATTGTGTCAAGACCGCGGTTTTGTCTCCAGCAGTTGTGGCAATGACAACCACATTCATTGTTGAAGACAGTGCGTGCACTGGTCGCACGCATACTTCTGAAACTTCGAGCACGCTGCTCTCGGACTTTGTCCGACCACTTCGGTACTAAAGTTCATATCACCTTCCACAACTAAAAAAAGTATTCAGAACATTAGAAATTTCACCCAATGAACGCAGCGAAAATTGACAGGAGATATTCACGAATTTGTACTTATCTGCTGCAGTTTCGCATCACTGAGATTCTACGGTACGTTTAGATAAACACCCCCTAAATTCGTTTGTAATAAGATGCAGTCAGTAAGCAAAAAAGCCTGGAGTGGACTGACCTGCATTTTCGTCAATGCAGCCAAATCACGAACAGAAATTTCGATATACAGGAGATTTTCATGACAACCGCACAAACAGAGGAAAGGTTCGAAATCCAGGAGACTTGGCAGATATGTTGAAGTGTCAAGCAAAGTGACTACTTACGTCTTCTTCTGCAAAGTAATCCTTGGCGGCCAGCTTCTCGTTCAGCATGTCCATGGCGCTGCGCCGGATAGACGAGAGCTCGTGGCACATCAGTGACCGAACCACCGAGACAAACTGCCCGCTGGGGAGCAGCCCGTTCACCTGATTCGTTAGAAACAAATGAGAGGACAAAACGAGTAGATTCAACGGGTGTGCAGAGGTTCTTAAGGGGGGACACGGGTCTTAGAAGGCCGAAAATCGCAAGAAAACTGACTTTTTCAAGCTGACATTTTCGGAATCTATATCTATTTTTGCACAAATCTGCTAAGTTTCTAGCTTATATTGTCATTATTTTTGCCGTAAAATCAATTTGTAACACCAATATGAGGTGTGTATGAGCGCAAATTGACGCTAAAATCGCACTTTTTCCGTGCCGAACCGTTGCCGGTACACAAGGGCTATCGTGGCCATCTCGATCTCGTTTGGAAGAGCCGTTCTTCATCTTCAATTTCCCGCCACCACTGGCTCGTTTTGCTCATTGGTTTTCTAGCAAAAGCGCGTCATCGAGAGGTACAAGCGCGCGATTCTATTGGCTGCTTGGGGCACGTGACAAAATCTAGGCATCCGATTGGCCAAGCGGCGTTTCTGGCGTCTGCTTCACCGCAGAGACGCGCGTGAGCGTGCGCCATTTTGTCTTGGTGTTGTCAACTGCCTACAGCTATGGGTCGTGCCATCAAGAAGTTCCGCACCAAACACAAATTTGGAAAGCGGGTGAGGCGATCGCTAGCCGAGAACTTCAGGAAGCGCCCCGCAACGACCCAGGACAACGAGGATGACGAACTCGCAGCGGCCAGCGGAGCGGTCGTCAACGCCAGTGCGGCAGGCCTAACGGACGCTAGTCCTACGAGCCCGTCAGCTGCCGACAACGTCGCGGAAAGCGGCCGTGTGCGTCACGACACGCAAATTCTGCAGCCACAACAGATAGAGGATAAAAAGAAGAAGGCAGAAGAGAAGCTGCGAGAGATTTCATCTGTTGCGGCGACGGAGCGGAAGCGCAGCCTTATCGCTAAACGTGCCGACGCTGTGGGTCCCCCACCCGATGAAACGACTTTCACCATCCTGGACTTGGAGGCGGTAAATGCTTTGATAATATTGCATTTAAAGTGCAAGATTTGCAACGGAGACGCCGAGATCAGGAGAGGCGAGCGGGAATACGGCCTTGCTGTCAAGCTTGAGCTAGTGTGTGTGAACTGCGGTGACGGGTCGTCAAAGTGGAGTTCGCCGCGCGTCGACGGACAGCAGAAAATAAATCCATTCACAGTGAACGTGCTCGCCACCCGCGCAATGCAGGCAACTGGCAACAGGCAGACTGCTTTTAACGACATATTTGCAATGATGAACATATCGCGTCGCGGCCTCCACACGAAAACGTGGCAGGCGTACGTGAAGAAGAAGCTAACACCTGGCGCTATTCTTGCTGCCTCGAAACTTATGAGTGAGTGCGCGAGTTCGGTTCGCGATATCTACGCGGAACTCAATGTGGACAACCCGGGAAACATCGCCGTGTCATACGACGGATCGTGGATGACGCGCGGACACTCGTCGCATATTGGCGTCGGTACCGTCATTGAACTGATAAGCGGCCTCGTTCTTGACTACGTTGTCCTGAGCAACTTTTGTGCCGGGTGTGAGTCGGGCCCGAAGGAGGGGGACCCCGCTTACGAAGAGTGGAAAGAGAACCACGTGTGCCAGCGAAACACAACAAAGAAGGCTGGGGAAATGGAGGTGGAGGCTGGCCTCATTTTATTCAAAAGGTCACTAGAGCGGCATAGTGTCAGGTACACAACCGTGCTTTCAGATGGCGATAGCCGGACGTACCTGGCGCTACAAGAAGAGAACGTGTATGGGTACATTCCCATCACCAAGGAAGACTGCGTGAATCACGTGAAGAAGAGGATGGGTACAGCCTTGCGCAATTGGTGGACAAGCACAAGATAAGCACTGGCCTGGAGAGCCTTTCCGGAAAAGGCCGGTTGACTGGGGATCTCATCAACAAGTTTTCATATTATGGATGGGCCCTGAAATCTCATGACGATGTGGATGCCATGCAAAGGGCAGTGATGGCCACTTATTACCATGTGACATCAAACGATGAAGTGACCAACCACACATTTTGCCCAACAGGAACCAACTCATGGTGTCGGCAAAATGCTGCAGACGCTAAGGGCGAGCCTGCACCCAAGCATCCGCGCAGCTTGCCTCCTCATGTCTGTGAGGCATTATTGCCTATTTATCAGAGGCTTTCTGACAAGAAGCTACTGCAACGATGCCAACGGGGCAAAACACAAAACAGCAACGAGTGCTTACACTCCATGATATGGGCACTTGCGCCGAAGGACCGACATGCTTCATTGTTCACTGTTGAAGCAGCAGTAGCCGAAGCAGTCATGAAGTTTAACGCTGGTAATGAGAGAAGCTCTGCAGGCATACTGAAAGAGCTTGGCCTCAACCCTGGCATCCACAGTTCCAAGCGCATGGCCGAAAAGGATTGCCGTCGTTCCGTGGCGTCAGCAAGCAAACGCTCGTCGGCTGACAACTTACAGCGGAACTTGAAAAAAAGGCATGCTCATGCTAACAATCAATCTGATTATATGCCTGGTGCATATTAACTCGCTAAAATTATGTGTGCCTGTGATGTTTTACATTCTGTAACGCTAAATAAAGTTTTAATCTGTTTTGCTCATTTTCTCAGAACATGGATTTTGGCCACTTCCCTTGTTTGCTTCTTCTCTAAAAGTCGACCCAGGACAGCTAGAGCTACAATTCTTTTTGCACAATGTAGCTAAATGTGCATAGAAAGCAATGCTGCAAGCAGATTTTCAATCTGCAGTTCAAAATTTTTTTTATATTAATTTAAAATTTTTTTGTTTTTGGCTAGGTGTAGACCATGAACTCATTAGTGCTGTAAATTGAGAAGTAGTTGTTCGATTTCCAATCAGCTTGCAGCGTTGCTCTCCTTCGGCTTTCTTGTATCCATATATGTGTTTAAAATGATGTTATGTTGCATAGATAATACTTTATTGTTTCGGCAAACAATAGAATGAGAGTACTAATTACCTCTGGAAATAATTGACCTGTGTAAAATATAACTGGATAGTTAAATAAAGCTAAAGAAACTGAACAAAGCAGTGCAGTTTCATCTACTTTGGCCAAGAAATAACCTATGTTATCTCTAAAAACCATGTCCCCCTTAAGGGGGGATGCTACACCTTCCAAAAACTCTTTTATTTTTGCGAGTACCTCAGTCAAATTTGGAGAGCCTATGTAGATTTTACTGCTGATTTCAAAAATCTAATTCTTTTCTTGCTGTGACAATTAGTTTTAAAGATATAATGAACCGCGACTTTTTCAATTAAGGCCTAATTAGCTAATTAACTGTAACTTGGATATTTATGTGCAACCTATAGAACCAATTCGGTATGTTCACAGTGTGCAATAAAGTATAAATCATTGTTCTGGGCTATTTCGAAGCAAAGTTGTGGGATGTTGAATATGACATGAAAAATTTCCCCATCTACACTTGAAACAAAAGATCCATTTAGAGAATTTTCTCCAAAAATTATTACAATAAAACTTACTTTACGACACATCCCCTGCATTTATCTTTGAAACAAAAAAGAAATCGTAATGATAACCCAGATAGAACAAGAGATATTGCTCCGGCATAATGGGAAGCATATGAAAATTGTCGTTTTGAGAAATCGGGAAAAAACGTGGGCACACATTTTTATTGCAGAAGATGCAACAAGACAACCTCAAAACGCACCAGAAGCATAGTCTGAATGCATTCTGTGCTCATGCCTCCTCTTCACTAGCTTCCGGAGTTCCAATGAGGCTGTTCTTTTCTTGTTGGAGACAATGCTGCGATGGTGGTCTTTTTCTCTCGCTCTCCTGGCACCAGTACTTGTCGCATTCATGTCCATTTCATCTAAGATTGCCGTTGCAGAATTCAAATTGCCCGTGTTGAAGCGCAGCACTGCTTCTGCAACAGCTGCTTCAACAGCGAACAGGGACGCATGGTGCTCCTTGGGGGCCAAACTCCAGATTACCGAATGTAGGCTCTCGTTGGAGTTCTGCGTTTTGCCGCGTTCGCACCTCTGAAGCAGGGCTCTTTCCGAAAGCCGGGTATAAACCGGTAGTAATGCCTCTGCCACGTCTTTCGGTAGATTGTAGGCATGCCTGGGGTCGGGCTCACCCTTTGCTTTTGCGGCATTGTGCCGGCACCATGAAGTTTCACCGGCTGGGCACAGACTGTGGTCCGAGCATTCATCAGTGGAAGTGACGTGGCGGTATGTGGCCATCACAGCCTTTTGCATCTCGCCCACGTCACCTTCATGCGATTTCAGAGCCCGGCCATAATATGTGCTCAGCCTGGTGATCAGCTCACCTGTGAGCCTGCCTTTCCCACCAAGGCCTCTTTTCCCATCGCACTTTTGTTTCTGCACCAGGTTTCTCAATGCGGTGCCCATCCGTTTCTGTACATGATTAATACAGTCTTCCTTCTGCACGTCAATGTAACCATACACCTTGGCGTCTTGTATGGCGCAAAATCTCCTACAGTCTCCATCAGACAGCATAGTTGTGTGGCGCAGGCCATGGCGTTCAAGCGACCTCTGAAATAGAATTAGAGCCGCCTCCACTTCCATTTGCCCCGCTTTGCTGTTCGTATTTTTTTGACATTTGTGGTTAGCCTTCCATTCTTGATAGCCCTCACTACTAGGCTTTGGGCCCACCTCGCAGCCTAGGCAAACGTTGGAAAGAACGACGTAGTCCAACACGTAGCCACTAAATAATTCGATAACTGTGCCCACGCCGATGTGGGAAGAATGGCCTCGCGTCTTCCACGTGCCGTCGTAGCTAACGGCAATATTGCCCCGGTGGCCGAAGCACAAGTCATCATAAATTGTTCTAACCTTTTCCGCACATTCGCTCATAGCGGACTCAGCCGCTCACGTTGCAGCGGGTGCCAGCGTGTTCTTCAAATGCCGCTGAAACATCTTGTGGTGCACACCGCGGTGTGAGATGCCCATTGTTGCGAAAATATCGTTCATTTTCGTTTGGCCGTTGCCGGTAGCCACCATCGCCCTTGAAGCGAGAAGATTTACTTCAAACGGATTGCACGTTTTCGTGCCGTTCGCGCGGGGCGAAGTCCATTCATTCGCGATCTCGCCGCACCTTTCACGGCAAGTCCGTAGTCCCGATCCCCCCTGACGATCGTAGCCGGTCCGTGGCAGGCTTTGCAACACAAGGCACCCATTATCCCGTTTAGGATATCTAGATGCATAAGCAGATAAGGAGCAGCGTGGTCCGAGTCCTGTGCGGTTGCCTCGCTACAACTCGCGGTGAAAAAGTCAATTTTCCGTGCAGTTGCTGGCGCCGATGAAAGCCGGTCGAGCGTCGCTTTCTCCCGGGCATGATTTTCTTCAACTTCGGCGTTTGTCACCACCTTGGCGTCGATTCGTAGTCGTCCGGAGTTCGCTTCACCGTCATCGTCGTCGAAGGCAACGCGCTCGGTCGCACCATCGCTGAACGGCCGCGGAGCGTCGACACATCGTTCGTCGGAGTCAACCAAGGGCTCTGATGACTTCGTAGACTTTCTCCCACGACCTTTGCGTTTCCTGCGACCAAGTGCGTGCACGGTCCGATACTTTTTTGCGTTTCCAGGCATGGCGATACGATCAGAAGCTTCAGAGTGCTCTGCCGATTTCGAGGCGTCACAGCGGTAACCCTTTCAAAATGGCGTCGGGTCACGTATGCAGGCGCAAGCCGCGAGCTTCCAGCCAACCGGAAAGCGCCATTTCAGTCACGTGCGCCGTTTAGCCAATGGCAGTGAGCGCGGCTCTTCGTCTTTGAGGCCCCGTTTTTCGAGCCGGGGAAACGCTCAATGTTGCTTACTGAATAAAGAAAACAGCTGAAAACGCGTTCTTTCAAACAAGACCAAAATGGCGCCGATCGAGCGCGTAGTTCCCGCGTATCGTAGAGCCGAAACCTGCGCTATTCGCCCTCAATTTAAAGGGCAGGACGCCCGTTTTCGGTTTTTTAATGTTGAATAACGATGAAAGTTGATGGTATTCGGCTATGAAATTTTGTAAATAGGTGCGCAATGATGTCGGGAACGCGAAAAGAAGGTCCGCGAAAACTCGATTTTTTGGCTGATTTTCTGTCCCGAAGTGCCGCGTGCCCCCTTAAGCCATAAAGTCCCCCCCTATAGGAAACAAAATACGATGCACAAAGATATGAGCACGATTTTCTGGTTGTTCACACATCTGTTTCTTTGTTAAGTTACGCTCAAGATCTGCCTTGATTACATAATAAATGGCACAACAATAACAGAAAAGCAGAGAAGTGCCGAGGACTAAGAAACAGAAAGCGACCAAGAATTCATTGTGAAACCATTTGAGGAAAACAAAACAAGTAAAGCATAGTACAGGAATAAGCATTGTGACAGCATAGTGTTGATCCTGTCCACAAAATTTCTTCCTGTACCCGGTTTTGTTTCGCTCAAAAACTTCAGAATGATGCAGCACCTGGTTCAACTGTCAACATTTGAGCAAGAAATCACTCACCAAAAAAACAACGCTGTGCTGTGACACAATACAGCCCTATACGGTATCGTGACTAATGTATTATAAAATTTCAAAGTGGTACCACCAGTACCCACTTTTCATTTTGGGCCTTTATGGATTGCTCCACCCCAGATCAAAATGAGACCTTCCTCATCTGGTAACCCAGAAGTTTAATCTGATGCACCAAAAAATTCGTTTTCCCTTATTGCCATGCTCTTTATAGTTCGTTCAAGCAAGGGTAGTGCAAATAAAAGCTGCACACTCTGGCATTACTATGACACCCACACACCTTGTGAACGACGTCGTGCAGCTTTGACAGCAAGGCCTTCCAAGCGCGCTCCTGGTAGGGGGTCTTGGCCGGGCTGTGGCTCCAGCGGCTCACTTGCGGCACGAACTGCAGGCAGGCTGACAGGCATGGTCCGCAGAGGGCCTCTGTCGTACCTCCATCACCCTTACCACCCTGAAGTACTGCCATCTGGAATAATATTAACAACGAAGAGGTAAGCGTCTATCCATGCCTGCCTACCTGATGACATCCAAACTTGGGAAATTTGTTAAGTGGAGAAGCAGAAATAGGGAAGAGATGTGACAAAAAACTGGCGTGGCATATATATTACAGTAAAACCTTGTTACAACGAAGCGGGATATAATGAAATAATGAATATAACAAAGCGATTGTAATTCCTCTTGAAATTCCTATAGACGACCGTGTATTTAAAACCTCGTTTTAACGAAGCGAAAATTTCCTCACGATAGATATAACGAACCATCCTTCGTCTGCAATGAGCATGATCATTTCGGTATACATCAATTCAATACCTTAAAGTGCGCTACAGTTTACGTATCGTCACTGCTGCGGTAATTCAAAACTCGCGCCTTGCACTCCCCGAAAGTCGCCTGAGCCTGCCAAGAGGCGTGTGGGAGCGAGTCTCCCTGCCTCCCTTTTCCTCAGGAACTACTGGATATACCGGAATATCGTGGACCCGTATACAGAACTCGTGGACCCGCCCGTGCTTCTGACCTTCTTCTCCCCTTCAGCTGCACGCCCAGGCCTCGCACGCCACCGGGGAGGGGGCGATCGTGGCGTTCGTCCTTGTCATCACCTCCTCTATCAGTTTCTGCCGCTAGCCACGAGATGGACAATGGCAGCGGCAAACGTTAGTGCAAAATAAACCATCGAGCACAAGCCGGCAATGTTGAAAGCCCTTGAGTCTGGCGTCAAGAAAAAAGTGCCCGAAGATATCGGCAATGTTATTGGGTGCCGCGGGCGACGTGGCCCAGACGTCGTGGGACGCCCTCCTTGACGCCGGCGTTGTGCCTGACTGCGATACTTTGTGCATGTACGTCTGTGCCGATGCTGATGTGGCGATAACCGAAGAATCGTCAAATGCGAAAATTGTGCCGAATGAAAACAAAACAGTGACGTGAGAACAGTGACGAATATGTTGACACCCCGGAGCATAATGTTGGCTAACCTGACGCCCACGCAAGCGCTGGATGCGACAGACCTGCAGTGCTGCTTTTTTTGGTGCTTACAATGACGGCTAGGACGGGCTCGAAATAGCTGCTGCAGCTGAAAAAGCAGTCATCTGCGTGAGGAAGAGTCGGCAAAGTCAATAATATTAAGGAATATTTTTCTTCGAAGTGATCTACCAGCTGGTGTGCTGAATTTGGTGGAAATAAATTTCCGATGCTTCGCCATTGGCCCGGCGCGAGCATCAGGCCAATGGCGAGGCGAGCTATGGCAACATGGCGGCCACAGCCAATCAAGGGCTTTGAAACGACCTTCAAACATTTGCTTTTTGTGCACTTGTTTTTAAGGGAAGAAGCCAGCTGAGGCGGAAAAGTTAAACACAGAAAAATGCTCTTTCCGATGAGCCCAAGAAGCCGGCTCCCGGCCCCGCCATCGCGAAGCTATAACTTTTTGAAAATCGCTGTTTTCTCGCGATTTCCAGAAAAAGCTTCGTTACCTAGGTGGGTGAAGTTAGCGTAGGCGAGTACGATACTGCCGCCACTGCAGCACAGCGCCGGCAGCGCGTCCCTGCCGTTCAAAAGCCGAGGAGAGCATCACGAGTTGGCGCGACGCGCTACAGATGGCGCCAGCTGTGTCACGTTTGCACCTCGCCGCGCGTCGACCGCGGAGAGGCTGAGAGAATTTAAAAAAAAAAATGCGAAAAGCAAAGCGCCGCGCTCCGCGGGCTCCCCGCCTTCTACAACGGCAAGCCGGCAAGCTACTCGTAGCTTGCCGAACGAAAGCGGGAAAGAGAGAGAAAATAAAAAAGAAAGCGAAAGCAAAGCGGCGCGGCGGCATCGGGCGGGGCCTCGTTGGCATTCCGGCTGTGTACCTCTGGCTGTGCTTTCTTCCTCCCACTGCTCCCACCCCGCCGTCGGTCAGTCTCTCTTCCTCAGCGACCCGTGATGCGTTCTTCGGAGTAAGAAATAAAGTCTTGTTTTTGACATCCTACTATCTACAATATTTATTAATTGGTGAAAATAGCGAAATGAAGCCTGGAGCTACAAAAAGGTACGTCCGGCGACGATTTTTTGGCGGCAGTCCAGATATAACGATCACCGGTTATAACGATCATATTTTTAGGTTTTCTCGATATCGTTATAAGTGGACTGCACTGTAATGCAAAAAAAAGAAAGTTAGGTCGCTTAGTCTTTGTATGCAATGTACGCAATTTACATACACGTACACTGTTTGGAAACCGTTTCTTTGTTGCACTTTACTCATCTTCGGCGGTTGATGGCGATATATTCTGTAAGCTATCCTCGGGCCGCCCGCGCAAGTCTTGAAAATGCCTTGCGACGATTTTTTTCGCAATCGTTTAACCGCAACAGTGGTATGTGCTTGTGATCTCGAGGGGCGCCCAACAGCGTGCACTCACGAGGGAACGGGAATGAAGAGACAGAGTGAAGAAAAAAGAAAGTCGGCTAAAAAATAAAGGGGGCGGGATTCGCAGGAAGCAGTCAACGTCGGTTGGCGAGGGCAGATTGGTGTTCTTCGCTCGCTGTGTGCTTATCAGCTGCGATGTCTCTACACGTGCACCGCTCGTGAACCCCGCTGTGGCGCACGCATAGAAAGAAAAGCAATAGGCACGCAGCAACAGGCAAAGGGGGGGGAAGGGAGTGAGCCGAGGTGATTGAGGGGGGTCGGCAAAATAATAGAAACGGAAGAGAGCCAACATGTGAGGAGGCGCCAGGTGTCAGTGAGCGGGACTGCAGCAGATGAATGAGGGGATGCGTTTATTACAGATAGAAAGAAAAGTAATACAGCACGCTCATGGACATCGGCAGAAGAGGGCAAAAGGGGCACATGCCCCCCTCAAGGCTCACCAGCACTTGCCCTTACCCAAGCTACAGCAGTGCTTTCCACCTCCGTAAGCCGCGAAGCAACACTGGTTTGCACCGCCCAAGAAAAATTCCTGCCGACGACTATAGAAAAGCAGATCCGGGCGGGGTGGGGGGAAGGGTCGAGACGACGTTGATTTAAAATCGATTTTTTTGCCAGTTTTCGCAATCCCAAAGCCACGTCCCCTCTTAGATGAGCCACTCACCAGGCCCCATACCAAATTTTAGTTAGACTATGGAAGTTGTTTTGTGTCCGATGAGGAAAATTTTGCCACAAAATTTTTTTCCTTCAGTTGATTGCGAGCTGAGAAAACTGTGTTTTTTTTTTAAGTGGCGTGAAACGAGGATGATAGGAGGTGACCTTGAAACCCTTGCCACTTCTCCGCGTAGCATTCCCAAGGCAAATCTCTTCCCTACTCTCTCCGGCATCTGACCAAGAGGTCACGTGCGCATGATGTGCCCGAACAAGCCCAATCCTCGTGCATGCAAGCGGCGTTCTTTTTTCCCCCTTCATCGTTGTTTTGAGGTCTGCTGCCTGTTTCTGCAGAATGGTTTGCAAACGCTGGCTTAAACACGCTAGAATAGATCAGCACAATGAGTGCTCAAAGGTGTAGGAGCGTTCCACGGCTGTCGTCTGCTCGATGAGCCAACCGCGGGAACACGAACGCATGCGAAACGCCAGCCCATAAGCCCCGCATCTCGTTGCAATTCACGAAAAAAAAAAAAAAAATAACGCTCACATTTCCTTATTGCATCTCATTATTTATATAGAGATTTATCAATCTCCTCAAGCAACAAATACATGAACTACGCATGTCATGTTAAATAACTTTCGCCATGTCACATGCCACTGTTGGCAACATCAGAGCATAGTCGTCTACTAGAGGACTAACGTCACTGCATTGCCGTGTACGTAAAGCCATTCATACGCGAACGTCATGCCCTAATTCTCTCGGCACGCGTCCGCAAAAGGAAGGGGGAGCAGCGTTCATAGGGAAATTTGATCCAGTTTCGTGGCGCGTAGCCATGCAAATTTTGGCCGACGTGATTGTGAACACCTCATCTACACATTGCGCTTGTCAGCTCAAAATTGTCAAGCCCGGTGAGTGGCTCTTTAAGGTGCTTTTACACATCCCATTAGTGTGTCACAGCAAAAGTGCATTTAGCAGGCAATCAGAAAATTTGAAGAACAATGTTTTTAGTTATAATTATTTTCTTTTCACAGTGGCACTAGTGTTGTTTTTTAGGAGGTTGATGGCCATTCCCATAAGACCCGAAGAAGTGGTGGCGATAGGTGGCGTTGTGTACGCGAGGTGGCGTTGTGTACGCGAGTGGTGACCCCTGGCGGAAGGCAAGCCTTGGTGGCGGGCGAGAGTTGAGTGAGTCTCTTCTGCGCGTGGCGGTTGCGGCGAACGGTTGTCTCTAACGTGGGTCCTCGGCGTGTGGCACTGCCGGCTGCGCATTAGGGGGCCCTCGTGGTAAGTCAAGCATTGGCGACGCCGCCTTGGGTGTGTTATTGTGTTTGTCATGTTACTGTGTGTTTGTCGTGTTATTGTGTTTGTCATGGAGTGTATGGTAATGTTGTGTACGGATGTCCTAGTGCGATGATAATGATTGATGTAATAATTCGGCTGAAGATGTCATTATAAACTAGTTAAATAAATGTATGTTGTTGTTTGGTTTGTACCGACCGTGTCTACTGTGTCCATTCACTTGAAGAGCGTGGCGTGTCACTCGCCCATTCGAGACCCCACAAAATTCAGGAGTCTCTCAGGTAAATTTGGAGAGTTAGCATATATTGTGTCTATCTAGAAAGAGAAAAAGAGAGAGAGAGCGGGAGAGAAAGATCCGATGCATCCATTTATGAAGAGACAGAATTTATGAAAAGGGCCATATTGAGCTCATCATTAAAGGCATGAGTAGCGTCCCGCATTTGCAGCCTCCAGCTCAATCCAACTGAGGCATGGCCCCATGCTTTAGAAACCACGCGAAGCTAAGCTCGACTTCAAGGCTTCAACTAAACAACCGAATGCTCACCTGGCCAAGGAAGGTTGACGAGCCCAGAAGATCGGCCACAAAGTTGGCGATGCTCAGTCGGAACCTTTGGAGCTGCTTTTCCGAATACAACCGCATGTCAAAGACTTCGGGGTGACTTGGAGGCTCGTTGTCGTTATCTGCAGTGCCAGCAAGAATGTGGCATGTGCTTGTCATTAAGCATCAGTATTTACTGGGGACAACTTTAAACAATTGCTTCCGTAGAAGCAAATGCAGAAAAAAGATGCATAAATTTCGCTTGGAATGAAGTATTTGAGAAATATTTAAAAAATATTCAATTCACACTACATTACTTCTCCCAAAATTTGGTTACTTGAAAAGCCCTAGAAATTCCTTATAAGGATTCGCTACTTAAACAGAACCCAAAGAAAGCAAGAAAACGTTTCATTAGAAGTTTTGTTTACTGAGAGATGAAGACGCGTGAAGAATACACAAGCCCAAGGCCAATCCTATGAGGGGCAGTTGTGCTGTTTAAGCAGCTCACCAATTAAAAGATTTCTGGACACCAAAAGTTAACTGAACTTTGCCTGATAAATGCTTTGTCACTGGCACACCGATGAATACCATATTTTTTCTCGTGTAAGCCCCCTCAACTACGATTCACGGAACATTTGCTAAAAATCAGTCTCGCGCATTGCCGCAAAACTAGCTTTCTTGCTAAGGTGATATAAACTGCCGTGAAGCCACTTTTAGAAATTGGAATTCTTTTTTTTTTTTATTGGATATTAGCTAGAAATTATGTTCAATTTTTTTTTGTGCTGGTTACAATGAGAAAACATGGTATTAGCTTCATGAAAACACAGCACCTTACTTGCCAAGACCCATGCTTGGAAGGGACTGCCTGTGGCTGAGTGCCACCCAATACACTACTTGGCCACAACCATCACAAGGAGTTAACGAATCCAATCACTGTAGATAGCAGTTTTCATGAAACATACCTTTGACAGCAGGCAAGCTGGCAGCAAACTTGAGCAAGTGTGTTATGGTCTGCATCTGTACAGAAACCTCAAACTGGCCACACAGGGAAAGACCGAATTCGAGGATGTTCGACGTAGACTGGAAAAAAAAAAAAACGAAAAAAAAGTAAAGTAAAAAAATGCAGTCTTAGCTTCAGTGAAGGCTGCTCTTTGACAAGCTTGGCCACTTTGTAGGCTGGTATTTGGCTTTATTTGCGGCTAGTAGTAATGTAAAATGTAAATGTTAGGCTAGAAGTAATTAAGAAAACAGTTCTGTTCAGGCACAAACAAGCAAAGCACATGAGCTAAACATTTACATTGAAGCAGTTGGCTTTAAAATGTACCACACGCATATCAGGCAATAAAAATTTTGAATTTATTTTAAGTCATCTGCACATAGTTGTGGATCAAGTGCCAAAAACTGAGAAATGTGTCTTTTTAAGATGACCATTTTTACAAGATTATACTACAGTTGAACCTAGATATAACGAAATTAATACACTCCCGGAAAAATTCATTATAAAAGGATTTCTTTATATGCAGGTTTGGCCCGAAAATTTGAAAAATAAACGTGCAAATAAACAAAAGGGGGACTGACGCAGAGCTAACCAAAAACACTTATTTGACAGTAAAAAAACTGCGTTATTATTGCGATGGCAATTGTATGGACACTCTAGACAAGCTTTTGCCGTCGCTGCCATGTTCCACCGTAACATGCCCCCGCGCATCGTAACTTTCACAAGCGGGTAAAAGCGCCCCAGCCCTGCTGAAGCAGAGATCAAAAAAGTCGGCACATCCCATATCGCCTGGAAACTGCATAAGATAACATCTCCCGTGTGATAGAACTGCCGCCGAATGCTCAAACAGGAAGTAAACCACCCGTCTCGAATGAGCACCGTTCCCTGGAGCGGCCGTATTTGCTCACACCAGCGTTTTGTATGAGTTCCATGATATCGGATCCAAAAGAATGGGCTGCCAGCCTTACTTGTTATAACATTACAATATTTTGCTATTGTGTTCATAGCATTGCATTCAATGTGCCGTCATGTTGCCAGAACTAATAAGCTAATCGCCAAAGCTACCAGACTGCGAACTCGCAGCGCGATGCAAGACGGAAGCGCGTTACGAGCCGACCTCCGTAGATCTCGTTATCATGGCCACGGAGAGTTTCTATCAGCGCCTAATCTGACATCTCCACGGTGGTGTAGACACGGTTGTTCGATATTAAGAAAAGTCACAGTTTCGCCGCAATTGCGAAAGCAATGAATGCATTAGCAACAACTTGGAATGTAACGCTGAGAGCGGCAAGCAGTTCAAAATGTGCAGTGTGCGGCTCACGCACGGAAAACAACATACAGAGAACGAGAACGAACTAACAACGTTTATTGCTCGATGCTTAAAGGGCTGTTTAAACAAAAAACGAGACGCGAATCGTAATCACAACTGCAGATATAAGTGCCAACTAAAAAGTGCCCCAGTTAATGTTGTTACTGCGCTGTGTCTGAAATGGGCACTTTTTTCACAAACGGCGCCTGCCCAGCGAGCGAAGAAATCTTTGTGCGCCCGACAATGTGCGACCACAATCATTCCGCTCAAAGTCGAAGGCGCGCGATTTTCCCCACCGAAGTATAAGCGCGCGCGCACACAAGCACCCCACCTCAACTCGCGGGGCAAAGTATGCGCTGGAGATAAACCCGCATCGGGATGAGCTGCAGGGTGCCGAGCACGGGCGGCTTTTTTTTATTTTTTTAAAGATATTGGTCTTTCTTGGGGACCTTCGAGATAAAAATTTTGACCTGTCTGTCTGTAGATTTGTCTGTTTGTCCACCCTTAGCGACACCCTAAAAGGCATCGGAGTGACCGACCGATACCCCGAACAGCCGACCCCATCCGCAGCGCCCACCAATATTGCTCAATGTTCAGTGTTCATACTTGTGCGATTGTCAATTGAAAAGCGATTATTGTGCATATCTGAAGCACCATAACAACACGTCGTATATATTTTACTAGACAAGGCATACATAAGCAATTCTAAGGACCGTAGCGTTTATCACGTTGCGCTGACCATGCAAGGCTTGCACGAAAGGCAAGTGTTTCCAACGCTTTGCTAAGATTACACGGTGGTGGCACCTACCCGTCGCCTTGCGTTCTACACCTTATCACCTCCGAGATGAGCGCGCACGCCAGAGGCGCGCTTCGTTTTCCAAGATAACTGCCAGATGCCGCTCATGTCTCACGTGTGATGTGACTTGATGCACTCTGAGACTCCATATAATTTCTATTGCCATAAGAAAAAAAATCTAAACGTCGTCGGGGCCACACCATGCATGCGCAAGCGGCGTCGAAAACGGAGACGGAACGACACGTACACAGACACACGGATACTGTGGAAAACTATTCGGTAAAGCACCTTCCATAGGCAACGCGTGCCCACATATGTGATGCTAACTAAAAGCGTGGCACAGCTAACGCGCAAAAGTATTTTTCTTTTTTTGTTTTGATTTTCGTTAAAAGATGAGGGGGGGTGGGGTGGCGGCGGGAACGGCGGCCACATCAGCTTGTGAGGTGCAGGCCCGCCTGCCCACCTGGCGCACACCCGCGCGCAATAACAAGCGCTCGCTCTTGGCTGGTGTGCCGTGCATGCCGCCACTGCTTCGTCAACGGCAGAGAAGTCGCAGAAGATGCATGCTTGTACCAAAATGCCAAAATGCGGAGCGAAATTTCTAGATTGTCCACGGAGAAAATTCGTTATATCAAGGTTGTCTCCCGCTGTTACTTTGTTACATAGAGGTTGAAAATACATGCGCTTCTATGGAGTGACGGTGGGAAATTGAAAAACTTTGTTACATTGAGGAATTCATTATATGGAGGTTCGTTAAAAGCAGGTTTAACTGTACATATTTACAGTGCAGGATAGAAAAATAGAAAATCGGGAAGGCACCTTGCACACATCACAATTAGATATCAAGGTAAGATTAGGTTGGTAGTGCCTCACCTCAACTGCTGAAGCAAAATGACACACAAAATATTATTCCATGTTAACATTTGGTACTGCTTAACTATTATTACAGACATTAGTAGAACTGCATGCAATGTTTGCTACTTGTAGTTTAGTACAGCTGTGAAAAAAAAAGAAGAAAAGGGGGGGGGGGGGGACATATCCAGTAAATGTTTCAGTCACCAGCTATAATACAGGTGCACATTCTAAATGTTCACTTTTCCTAACAATAACAAATGTTTTCTCCTTCATGCGAAGTATGAGATTAGTGCACCACATAAGATTGAGCCCAGCGTGCTGCACATAAAATTGTCTAGACGCGAAGCAACTTTTTCTTGGGGCTGTCTCTCTCGCTAGGCGACTGTCCACTCTCCCACTGCGCATGCCAACTCGCTCCCTTTTCCTCACGTGAGCGCAAAGAAGGATGGTGAAGGAGGTGGTCAAGCACTGCCTCTGCTTCGCTTCTCCTCTCCTGTTTATCTATTCGCCATAGCTGTGTGCTTGTATATAATGCTGCGAGAGCGGGCTCCATTGCACTCTCCTAAAAGTGGTGGGTGGTCACTTTGCGGCAAACACATGGTAATACACAAAAATAGGAGAGGGGGTAACATAAGCCGTACACAACATATACACAACTCCATACACAAATGAAACATACACGAAAACATGCAAATAGAAACACAAGTTAACACGAGAGCTGCTTCGCATCCCCACATGGTTCCCTTTAGTGGGAGATGGCGTAATCTTTTCAGGTTGAAAGATGCGTTTGACTGAGAGGCCTATTCAACTGAAGCGAATATGGCAGCTTGAAGAACAGTCTGAGATTACCACACAACATACATAAGTAATGCAGACTACAGCATCAACACTAGCTACCTCGTCAGTGTCCATGGCGGCTGCCATCTTTGTGATGTGGTGCCCAGCCATTTGAGCAGCCAGGACCCAGAGATGGTCACTGGCCCCCAGGGTTGTGGCCAGCTTGGTGAACAGGGGCAACCGCCGGTGCTCGGGAATGTCCGGGAAGGCCCCGACAAACACTCGTGTAACCGATGCTACCGCACTTTCCGAACCCTCGGCAGACTTGCTCTCGCCAGCACAAGCCTACAAGAAACATGATAGAACAAGTGAGTCAGCGATGTACTGCTTAAGGAAGGATGAAATGCTATGAAAGGAAAATACAGTTTAACGTGGATATAACGAAATTGACGAGCTCCCAGAAAAATCAGTTATAAAGAGGGTTTCATTATAGGCAGGTTTCGTACGAAAATTCGAAAAGTGAATGCACAAATTAAACAAAAGGGGAACTAAAAGGCGAAGCTAACCCAAAACACAAATTTAGTGGTAAAGAATGTCATTATTATAGCAATAGCAAATATACGGACGGTGGTTTTTACCATTGTCGTCATGTTCCGTAACATGCCCCTGTGTAGCGTAACTTTTAAGAGTGGGTAAAAGCGCAAGAGCTGCTGAAGCAAAGATCAAATGAGCCAGCCCATCTCTATCGCATGGAGGGCTCATAGAATACCCCCCCCTAGTTAGAACTGTGGTCGAATGCCCTAACAGAAAGAAAACCACCTGTATTGAATGAGCATAAAAAACGCTAGAGGGGGGGGGGGGGGGGTGTTCGAGTAGCAATGGTGTCATGTTATTATGATAATATAGTAAAACCTTGTTAATTCGAACTGGGTTATTTCGAAACCTCACTTAATTTTAAGTATTTTCGTGGTCCCGTATTTTGCAATGTAAGTTTCAGCGGATAATTTGAAGTGGCAGTCAGCACAAGTCTGTTTAATTCGAAAAGTTTGGGTGCAGTGTGCCATTTCCCGATCCTGATTTCGCCGCAAATCCGCGGAAATGACGGCTCTTAGGAACCACTACGCAATGTACTTTAGCGATACTAATGAGTGGTAGCTGAAGCACCCCTATCTCGCCACTTACAGCATGAAAAATAAAATTATATGTAAAAAAAAAAATACGGTCTTGTGATCAGCTAAAATATGCACCTGTGAAAAACAAGATGTGCTTCACTGCAATACAGCAGTGACGTGCAGACAGCATGCCGCATGCTTCTCGCAACGTCAGCCTGTCACAATTTATCCGCTCTTTCTAGGAAAAAATTAATAAAGGACAGTTTGAAGAAATCCGTGATGTATGCGAACCTCCGAGTGGTGCCGGTTTCTCTAGCAATTCGTGCATTTGCACTGCTGTCAAAGTTCTTGCCTGCTACGCGCCTACTTTGAAAACTCTGGTCGAAAGCTTCAATGGTGCGGTCCATTATTAAATTCTTTATTTTACGAGAGAGAATGAGCGAACGGCCGCATCATGACATGCTGCCCGCGTGTCACTACTGTGTTGCAGAGAAGATGTTTGTTTTTCGCAGGTGCGCAGTTGAGTTGATCATGTTTTTTTTTTTTTTGGTGACAGCAGTTAGGCCTGGAATTCCCCCTTGTTTGCAGTAAAGCTGTGACCAGGTATTGCTGGAAAACATGACCCTTGGAGCCACAAACTAGCCAGCACAGCAAACTACCAGCCCTGATTAATTTGAATAATTTCAAGTTCCTTGCATTCTACTTTTTTGTATGTTCTGTTAATTCGAAAACACGTATAGTTTGAAGATTTATCACGGTCCAAGGAACTTCAAATTTATGAGGTTCTACTGCAAAGCATTTTAGAACAGCAAAGGAACCACCAGACATCACAATAATGCAAATTGTGTAATAATTCTCCAACCCATTACAAAAGCTTGTTCTTGATTACCTACTAACTGTAGTGCATACCCACTTCAGGTAAAATTCTTTGTCGTCGTCAGCTACTACGCAAAAAAACTTGAACAGAATTCCTTGCAAGTGTGTAGCGGATACCACACTTTTCTAAAGAACGATGGACAGCACAATGAAGGTCGGCCTACTACACGAAATATATGATTATTTATGGCGTAGCGGGTACCCAGCAAGTGTGCTTGTAGCAGTCACCCAAGAAGTGTTTAGAAAAGGCTCTGAAAGGTTACTCTTCCAGCTTTCACAGTGACTGTGCTGCACGTTTTGCGCAAGCATGATGGTTTTTGCTTACACCAGCGTTTAGTAAGAGTTCAGCGATATCGAATCCAGAAGAGTTGGCCGCCAGCCTTACTTCATATAACAATACAATTTGTTGCTCTCGCATTCATTGCATTGCATTCAACGTGCCGTCGTGTTGTTGCTAGAGCCAAACGGCTAATCGGGAAAGCTACGGTCCCTCGAACTTGCGGTGCAAACAGACACACGGCATCAGTCGACCTCCGAAGATCCATGGATGTCACCGTGGTCTTCGAGTTTTATCAGCGCCTACCTAATATGACATCACCTGTGTGGTGACGACACGGTTGTTCCCATTTAAAAATAAAAAAAAGCAAAGCTGAATGTTGTTGGGGGCTGCACCATGCGTGTGCAGTGAGAAACTGTGTTCGCATACACAGTTTCATAAAACGAAGAGAACGACATGCATATCCATATCCACCACGGCCCCACATAGGTGACGCTAATTAAAAGCACGGCACTGGCAACGCAAAAGTAGTTTTCTTTCTTGCTTAAGAAAGGGAGGGCAGATCCGCGCTGGCACCCGCTGCAGCAAGAACAGTGGCAATGCCGCCTCCTGAGGAGCAGGCCCGTCTGCCCACCTCGCACACACCTGCGCGTAATAACGAGCGCTCGCTCTCACCTGGGAATCGCCAAGGCGATGAGCGCTCCGCTGCCGTTACGCGCTTTGTTGGTGGCAGGGCAACCGCGAAAGACGCATGCTCATGCCGAAATCCGGGGCGAAATTCCTAGATAGTCCGTGGGGAAAATTCATAATATCAAGGCTGTTTCCCTCTGTTACAGTAATACCTCATTAACTCGAACTCGCATATCTCCAAAAATTGACTAAGTCGAAATTTCCGTGGCAACGAGCCTTCTCCGTTACATCCCATGTATTATTTTCCCTTTATCTCAAAGTACTTCTGGATCAGATTGCGGATATCTCGATCTTGAGTGGGGGTGGAATGAAAATTCCGCCACCCGGCCATTACACAAGATTTGCGCGATGCTGCTACGCCTGAAATCCGTCAAATTTTTACTTTTTATTTCTCATTTATCTGTGCCTGCCACTACGTTGATACTTTTCGCGAACGTGAAGTCTGAGACTAGCAGCATGTCAACTTCGTGGAGCAACCCTGTGGCACGTCATGTGACTCTCAGGCAGAAGGCCTGGCTCTTCGCCCCACACTTGGCGTAGTAGCATAGCCGCATCGTTTTTCTCGTTCGTTTGCAGTGCTCGTTGTTTTTCTAAGGTGTGATTTCCGTTCAGTCTAATCTGCGCAACGCACGCGGCACGCATTTAACGTTGACTTTGTGGAGCGGCGACTTAGCGTAAGTGCGGCAAGCATGGCAACACAAAAGTAGTGCAAGTCGCTAACGCTGGAAAGGAAGGTTGTCCTAATTAAGAAAGTGGAGAAAGGAGGCCGAACGAAACTGACCATTGCGCAGGACTTTGGCATCCCTTTGCCTACACTTTCGACGGTGCTGAAAAATAAGCAGAAGGTGCTCGATGGATATCAGCAGAGCTTCTTCAGCCTGCAGAAGCGGGTTCGATGGTGTGGCTGCGAAATGCCAGAGCAGCCAACCTTCCCGTTACTACTGCACTGATGATGGAGAAGGCAGACACTTTGGCCTTGCAAATGAGGCACATGCATTTCAACTGCAGCAGCGGTGGGGAAGATCGTCCGATGCGATACATGAAGCAGCGGAGGATGCCTTCCCAGGCCCGAGCACCACCGCAAAGCAGATGAGCATTAGGAAGTTCTTCGCTAAATAAAATGGCAGTGCTGCAAAATCAAGCTCGTTAACGTCTCTTGTGTGATATTGTTTTTCTCTTTTAAACTTTCACGAGAAGTAACATCAGAAACTGCTGCTCAAGATCCAGTAAGTAGCAGTTATTTTGCTAAAAAGTGCTTGATTTTTTTCAGCAGATTTGCATAACTTCACTTATCTCGAAAATCTGCTTATCTCGAAATCTTCCTTGGTTTTTACAACTTCGAGTTAACGAGGTATTACAGAACTTTGTCACAGAGAGGTCGCAAATATATGTGCTTTTGTGGAGTAATAATGAAAAATGGAAAAAAAATTTGTTATATTGAAGAATTTGTTAGTATATGGAAGGGTTTTATAAGCCGGTTTAACTGTATTACAGTAGACTCTCTGTGAATGAAAATCTGTTTAAAGGAGCTACTGCTTAAATGAAAGTGCTTTTAGCACAATTGGTGTCATATATTTTTCTCCACCTTTGTTCATCTCTCAGTAAACAGAACTCCCGTTAAATGGAACACATTTTCTTAGTCCCTTCAGGTTCTGCTAATGAGGGTCTACTGTATGTCAACATGTTATGCATCTATATGAGACCCAATTTCACAGCAGGGCTTAGTGCGAGTCTATTGGTATTCATAAAGCACGCAGCTTTGTGAAAGACTGACTTGTACCATGACAGGTAAGGCTCCCTTGCCAACATCAAATCTTAGTCCCATAATTGTCAGTGCACTAACACAGTGCACATAAACTAACGCTAGATCAGAAAACGAATCATGATATTTAAACTGACAGCGTTGCACGAGATGTCTGCATGTTGGTACACACCAGAAGCAGTTTAGAAAACTGAGTGAACAAAAACGTACATCACCCAAAGGCGTCTGACAAAGAACTACTGCCGCACATATCTCAACAAAGTGAAAGACTAACGTTAAAGATCTCCCGTTGAGAGAGACGAGATGGAGCAGGGAGTGCGTGTTTGTTGGGCGTGGGTCTTGGAGGCTGTGTGTGGTTGACGGTGGAAGAACGAGATGGCACGAGTGTCAAGTGAACAGAAGGGGAGCACACGTGTACACGGGAGGAGAGAGAGACGAGGGTACAAGGGGGAGAAGTCGGATGTGTTGGTTACGTGGCGCGGAGAAGAAAGGATGTGCAGAGTGTGTAGTGAACGCACGGGTCATGAAGTATACCGCCGAGCCTGGCACCGCAGTTACATAATCAGTTATGCAATGCTGAGCGAATTTTGTAAAACACAAGCAAGGCAAACTAATTCAATAACTGAAATGGCAGCTGGATTTCTTGGCGTAAAGCACATCATTTCTAGAACAAGCTCGCTTTTAGGCACCGATCGTCTCTATCGCAGAAAAACAAAAACAAAACATCATGACAACCCACCTGAAGCAGAGCTGGGACGACTGTTTCGACTGTTTGCATGACTGTTTGAAAACTATAGTTGTCGTCCAGTCGCAACAGGTTGGCCCCCATGAAGGTGAACACAGAGGTCACGTTGTGCAACACTTCCTCCTGCAAAAAGTGTTTGTTGATAATGCCAGTCATTAGATGGGATGATGTTATTCCAGGAAACACACACAAGCACCAGAATACTTAGATTTATCTCAGCATCACCATCTAGAAATGTAACATCGCAAACATTAGTGGCTCCGGTGCATTTGCAAGTCAGGTGGCAGCCCTTATCCTCAGTAGCCCTTAATCCCACAAAGCGCGAACACCACTTCAAATTATAATGAAAGGGGACATGGCTCTCAAAATGCTTTTTCAGTTCTGGGTCTATTTTGGTGAAACTTGCTGATTTTAAGTGATTTATATGTTGCTTTGAAATATGCCCTTAATTTTCTATTACACTCAAACCTCGATATACCAAACCCAGATCTAACGAAATATTGGTCACGACAAAGTAAAATAAGAATAGTCTTGCGATAGACATAGTGCTAGGAATATACCTTAGTAACAAATTTTTAGTTATAACAAAGTCATTTTTGTGTAAAATGTAACTTCTTTATATTGAGGAAACTGAGCATGCGCAAAAGGCTTTCCGATTGCTGTGCCTGAATGCACAAAGTGTATGCAACAAGCAAGAGCAACTCGAGCACCTTTTGCTTTCTTACGACCCACACGTAGCAGTAATATCGGAGACATGGTTGCACCCTCAAATTCCAGATAATTGCATATTTCCTCCTTCACACACATGTTATCGGAAAGATCGTCAAACAAGAGGGGGCGGAGTTGCTATCCTTGTTAAACGCGAGGTATCGTCCGTTTCCTTGCCTGATATTAATAGCTGCCACGAAAGTGTTTTTTGTAAAGCTGTAATTGCTGGTAACCCTATTATTATTGCGGGAGTCTATAGGCCCCCTGGCGCCCCACCGGCTTTCTTGATAGACCTGTACGAGCACTTAGAAAAATACCGAAATCAAAACATTATTATTGCAGGTGATTTTAATATGCCAGGCATACATTGGGAATCGATGAAATGTGGTTCTATTGATGTACAGAGTGCTGAAATATTACTAGACATGTCGCTTGCTTACTCCCTTACGCAAACAGTTCTTGATCCTACGCGCGTGACAAGTTCAGCTTCTTCAATACTAGATCTCGTTTTTTGTTCCTCAAGTTTTGAATCCTGTATGGCAACAGTTTTAGATGGCATTTCTGATCACAAATTGGTCAATTTCAATTGTTCTTTACCTCGTAGAACAAGGTCATCTAGACCTGAGCCCGTAGTTGTAAAACAGTATTCTGCTGCAGACGATTTCCAGATTGTTCACTACCTAGAAGAAGCTTTGCTATCATTTTGCGACGGCAGTGTTAACTCGCTATGGACACAATTCAAATTTTATTGCCACTTCTGCATTCGCAATTTCGTTCCAGATAAACTTAAAAAAGTTGGCCGTACAAACCCCTGGATAACGCGCGATCTAATTCACCTAAAACGCAAAATTAAAAGGCGTAGAAAGCAAAAAATAGCTAATGATGTAGTTCTGCACGATCTAAGAGATACTTTAGCATCCAAGTTGAAGGAGGCTAGGGAACATTATTACACCGAGACACTAGGCCGCTTTGCGGCAGAGAGTCCACGAAAATTTTACCAGTTCTTGCAAAACAAAGACAACCGTATCCCTGATGAAATAATGAACGGAGAAACCACTGTCACAAATAAAAACGAAATAGCAAACGCATTTAATTCCTACTTTCAGAGCGTTTTCTCAAGACCACAAAACTTGAGTATTATGACGGTGCCAGGTCCTTCAAGCCTAATAAATATATCCTTGGAAGGGGTGACAGAACTATTATTGCGGCTAGACGTAAAAAAATCGACCGGCCCTGACGGTATCCCAGCTGTTTTTCTAAAGAGGTATGCTGAAATTATAGCTAGATTCCTAGTAATAATATTTGATGTTTCGATTAAAACTAGTTCAGTGCCCGACGATTGGCTGCTAGCACGTGTAATTCCGGTATTTAAGAAAGGTAACAGATTATTAGTCAGTAATTATCGACCAATCTCCCTTACCTGTATTTGTTGCAAATTACTTGAACATATTATAGCGAAATATTTAAATACTTTTCTTGAACAAAATAAAGTAATTCACAGCGCGCAACATGGCTTCCGACGGGGATTATCTACCACCACACAATTATTAGCAACTGTTAACGAGTTCTCCAAAGTTCTGGACAAGTCTGGACAGGTTGATGTCATCTTTATGGACTTTTCCAAGGCCTTTGACAAGGTCCCGCATATCAAGCTAATAGATAAGATGAAGGTTATTGGCATTCCTCCGGAAATAATTAACTGGGTCATAGCATACCTAACGAACAGAAAACAGTACGTAGATATAAACGGTTTCACCTCTGGGTATTTGGGGGTGTTATCTGGAGTCCCGCAAGGGTCAGTTCTCGGGCCTATACTATTTAATATTTATATTAACGATTTAGTTCAAGCCATCCGACCTGGCGTGTCTGTTAAGTTATTTGCAGACGATTGCATAATTTTTAATACCATAAATTCTATCTCTGACCAGCATGACTTGTGTGAGAACTTAATCTACATAAAAGAATGGTGTAAAAAGTGGGAAATGGTAATTAATTTTGAGAAAACTGTATATTTATGTCTGAGTAACAAAATCCGAAAACTGGAGTTTACTTATAATGTAGGTGGACACGCTATCAGGCAAGTAGAAGAATTCAAGTACTTGGGCGTAACGATTACATCGAAGCTTACCTGGACAGCACATATTGATGATATATGTTCTGCTGCCAGGAGAAAATTAGGCTTTCTAAAATATAAATTGGGTCGTTCTTCTAGTTCACTAAAACTTAGAGCCTATAAAGTCATAGTTCGTCCTTCTCTTGAATATGCCAGCATTGTGTGGGACCCCCACACAGCTGGTAATATACAGAAAATAGAAAAAATACAACGATTAGCTGCTCGATTTATATACAACCGGTATAGATGTCGCGATTCGCCGTCAGCCTTGTTGCAGGATGCGAACCTCCAACTTTTGGCCGATCGAAGGAAAACTGCACGGCTTAACTTTTTCCGCCTTTTATACTTTTCCAGATCAGGATTGCACGCACCAGATTACATAACACAGGACACAACCAGGTCTTCACGTCATAAACATAGTCGTAGCATTACACCTATATTTGCACGCACTAACATTTACAAGTATTCATTTTTCCCGAGAACTGTCTCTGATTGGAATGCTCTGCCCCATGATTCCCCTATGCTCAACACGCCGAGATGAAACTATACCCTTTTTTTGTTGCTTAAGTCTGCTTCTTTGCCTGTATTTGTCCCTTGTTTTTCACGAGTTTTTAATGTACATGAATTTTGTTCTGCAGTGAATGTATACTGCAGCGGAAGTGTATGTATGTAGAAGAATTTTGTACTGTATTGCCCTCTCCTGCATGGACCATACTTGGTCCGCAGTATGTGATAAATAAAATAAAATAAAATAAAGTATGTGTGCATATTTGAAATTTTAAGATAGCTGATATTTCACGTTCCTTTTGGGGAGCAGGATTTTTACAAACTAAGAGATTTAAAAAACAAACTAGCTTACCGCAACAGTATGGAATCAGAAGTGTGCACAGTAGAACAACAGAAATGAACGCTCCAAGCTCACTTGAACAATAGCTATGGTATGGCGAACATCAAAGAGCAAAATCCCAGCTAGACATGGATTCCCTCACAAACATCACTTATGATGGTGAAATCACAGAGGAGCCCTGAAAGAATAATTCATCTGTCTAAAGTGTTTTGATGGTGCACTACAGTGTCCCTTTAAATTATATTGTAAGTGATTCAGTCTAATTGCAAGCCTCATTATTTCATGGCTTTAATGAGTATATAATGTGGGGACAAATGAAGCTGTAGGTAAAGGGGAATTTGGAAATATCACATAATCGATGTCAACGTACGGGATACTTCTGGGCGGCGAGGTTCAGGAGAGCCAGGGACAGCTGCTGGGCCTGGGCACTCTCCGATTGGCGCAGGCACTTCACCAGGGTTGCCAGTTCGTGACGCGGCGCAGACAGGCCATGCGCTTGGAGCGCTGTCAGCACGCACTGGCGCAAGTATTCGACATGTGGACTCTGGTTCAAATCTAAGCTCCTGTAATAAAAAAAAAAAAGGAAAAAAAGAAAGAAAGAAGGGGTAAAGGAATTATGGCTCACCACTTGATGTTCATGTATTCATGTTGCTGCACAATCTTAATGATTACCAACAGACAATGATGCTTAGGAAGGTATGGGGGATGTTATTTGAAGTCTTTTTTTTTTAATAGCAGTACAGGAATTACGCCATTTCTGTCAAGAGCTAGAGGCGAACAAAAAGACAACCTGCTGCCAGCAGGAACCGAACCTGCAACTTTCAGATAATGCGTTCGATGCTTTGTCAATCGAGCAACAATGATGGTAGAACTCGCATTTCCTTTTTGGGTATTTTTGCATACTGTTGTGGTTGGGCATTTAGTGTATCATTTAAAACACGAATAGCTCTTATAGCTTTTGTCCTGTTTGTGCTGATGAGGTTGTAAAACCACAGGAGCCTTATTTTCATTACCCATTTAATATAACAATGCCTTCAGCGATTACAAAAGACAAACAAGGCGAAAAATAATTTATCCTGGCCGACACAGCATTACTATCTCAAGCAAATTAAAACTCCTGTTTCAAGAAACTGCATCAAGGATGTCCAAGGTTAACAGAGAAAACATTATTATAATGTAATCTTTTCAGCCCTGACACCACCTTATGTTACAAAAAGCAGAATGCACTGGGCAAAATAGCATGAACTTACACCTTCAGCAAGGCACAAAAAAGGGGTGCCAAATGGGCTTGGGCAAATATTTGAACGAATATTACTTTATTTGAATTTGAATTGCTGAACATTTCAACATATTCGAAATGAACAAATGAATGCTATTATTCCACATGAAATCTGTAAAGGTGGTTTTGCTGCAGTAGGGGGGTGCTAAGCCATGAAAGCACCTATTCAAATGCTTATTCGCTTGTAATTCTCTGTAAATGTAGTTTCACAGCAGTAAAGGCGTACTAAGCTGTGAGAGCACCTACCCAGGAGAAATCGGCACTGCCACGAAGCCTCACTTCATGATTTAATGAACCCTCACACCGATTCATCAACTTTTAAAAACCTTCTATAATAGCTGATTTGTTCTAAGTACAGTAAACTTTAAAATGCAACTTATTTTACAAGTTATCTCTTGCCTTATAACGAAAGTCAAATTCTGCTACTATTCAAAGTTGTTTCAACTGCCTTCGAGCCATAAAAAATGGCTTTTGCATAAAAAAGAAACACTGCACATGTTAGTTGAGCCATGAAAAATATACTTATTTTTTTTTATGATATGTGATATACACTATTCAATTTGATTTAATATTATGCGCCCAAGATCATACTAGCCTCGAACCTAAAATTCCCTATTTTCACAAGCATACTGCCAAGGTATTACTACCTGTTGCAACTGAAACCCTCGCGTTCTTGAAACTGTACGACAACTGTTCAGGACTAGCACAGACAGCATTCACAATGCTATCTCTTCAACACTCATGCCGGCCTATACTGTGAAAAGCCGAACCAATAAGTGGAATCACGCCAACTCACCTCTTTGAGCAAGGTGTACAGGGGTGCCACAAGGAGCGAAACAGTCTTCGATAGACTTTCGGCTCTGGATCATTTCGAGAAGAATGAGAATGCGCTTCCACTGAGGTGATTCGGCTGGGTCCTGTTCTTCCGCTGCATCCATCAATCTGTTCAGTGAAGGGCGAAAAAAAAAAAGAAAGTATCGCAAGAAATTCTGGGCTTTTACATCCCAAAACCATGAGCATGTTATAAGGCACATAACAGAGGAGAACTCCACCCAAGGTTTTATTTTTAAAGTGCCTTGAATGTGCAGTATACTCAAACTTCGTCACAACAAACTTTGACGAAGTTACACGAAAATAAGCTCGTCATATACAGAACTTTGTTGTGAGGGTACACAGTTAAACCTGAACGAAATTGAAAAATTTGTTATAAAGCGGATTTGGTTGTATGCGGGTTCTGCACGAAAATTCAAAAAATAAACGCAGAAATTAAAAAAAAAGGGGAACTGAAGGTAGAGCTAACCCCCCCCAAAAAACACCACTTATTTAGTGGTAAAAAACTGCATTATTATTGCGATAGCAGTTATACGGAAACCCTCGGTGGGTTTTCGCCATTGCCGCCATGTTCCGTAACAAGTTCAAATTGATAACATGTCCCCTCGCACAGTAACTTTTATGATCGGATAAAATCACACAAGCGCTGCTGAAGCAGAGATCAAATGAGCCAGCCCATCTCAGTCACCTGGAGGGCGCATATAATAACATCCCCGCAAGTGTTAGAACTGCCGTCGAATGCTCAAACAGAGAGGACCCCAGCCGTCTTGAACGAGCATGAAAATAACGTGGGGGTGGGGGGGTGGGGGGGTAGGGCTCGCTCGAGTGACAACAGTGAACTTCGATTTCAAGGATGCTGCCACGATCGCTGGCACACGCACTATCTCAACAAGCATCAGTGCGCTTTTAATGCAATGAGACTGTGTGAAAAAAACACCTTCTACCTGGAATGGCCGTATTTGCTTACAACAGTGTTTTGTAGGAGTTCTGATATATCGGATCCGAAATAGTTGGCTGCCACCCTTACTTCGTATAACATTACGATTTGCTGGTGTTGCATGGGCTATACGGTCCCGTGAACTCGCAGCACAGCACAAGACGAAAACGCGTGACGAGTCGACCTCCGAAGATCCGTTGTTGTCACCATGGTCTCGGAGAGTTTCCATCAGTGCCTAATCTGACATCCCCTCTGTAGTGACGACCCCGCTGTCTGCATAAAACAAACAAAACTAAAGAAAACCTTGTATGTCGTCTAAAGAAAACTAAAGAAAACCTTGTATGCATGTGCAGTAAAACTATGCACGCGTGCACAGCGTTGAAAACGAAAAGCGAACGGCACGGACATGGCGAGAAACTATTCAGCAAAGCGCACTGTATATGCAGTGCAGCCATGACGTATGACGCTAATTACAGTAGAATCTTGATGATACAAATCTCGTGGGTTCACAAAATATATTCGTATTAGCCGAAATTTGTATTATCGGAACACACACAAAACTAGCTAAATTAACACCGAGTCGGAGGCAAACTAATTTTCGACAATCGGAAAAAATTTTTTTTTTAGAAAAAATCTCTGATGTCTTTCTGCTTCTTTTTTTTTTCCCAAATCACTCAGCAGACTTTTCTGAAATCCGTAAAAACGCGTGCACGTGTCAGGACGTCGAGCGCGTGCAGAGTTTCAGCCGCCGGTGGTGCTCCTTCGCCGTCACACTCGTCCATTTCCTCGTCATCGTCGCTGGAATCGGCAACTTCATACGTGGCCTCTTTGACAATATCTTCCACCGTGCACGCACCACAAGTGGCAAGATTGTCATCCGCTGTGCAAAAGTCGTCAGCCGAACACCCGGCATAAGGCATTCCCAACCCTCAATGGGCTCCTCCGATTCTGAAAGGGCCTGTGGCACCTCTCCGGGAATCCTAAAGAAACCGCATTTACCAAAGCAGTTCGCAACGGTAGTCGGCATTACTTTATCCCAAGCCATTGAGATAAAATGGATGGCATTCAAAAGGCTTATTCGCAGGCCACCTTCGTCTCTCTTGTCGATTTTGGCAAGGAGGCGGCGCACAAGAAGGCTCTTGAAATGATGCTTGACGTTTTTTATAATGCCAGCGTCAAGCGGTTGCAAGTGCGTCATCGTGTTTGGGGGCAAAAAAACCAGCTTGACGTTTTGAAGCGTCACTTGCTTCGTGTGGGCGGCGCTCTGGTTAAGAATCAGAACTATCTTTCGATTCTTTCAAGTGATTCTCCTGTCAAGAAGAGACAGAAATTCTTCGAACAGGGCCGCCATCATCCATGCTTTTTTGTTTGCGCGATAGACGCATGGCAAATGGCTCTCGCGCTTGAAACACCGAGGCTTCTGAAATTTTCCAACTATGGTCAACTTCAGTTTTTCCGACCCATCAGCGTTACAGCACAGAAGAACCGTTATTCTTTCTTTGCTTCTTTTGCCTCCTTGGCACGCTTCACCTTTTAAGCAAAGGCTCTTCTCGGGTTGAAGATTTAAAAACAAGCCTGCCTCATCTGCATTAAAAACATCACGAGGCTCATACCCCAAGGTAAGAGACTCCAGCTTCGCAAGCCTGTCGCTAACAACGGTCTCGTCAGCCTTCTTGGCTTCCCCGCAGACGCTTTTGAACACGAGACCGTGTCTCGTCTTGAAACGGTGCAGCCACCCACCTGAGGCCTGGAATGCAAGGGCGATCTCGTCGGCTTTTTCACGAAAACTTTGCCGTCAATGTTCAGACCGGCTGCAGTAACTTCCTTAAACTAGATCAATAAAGTTTCTTCAAGTTTCACGTGTTTGACTGTCTTCGCTTGCTTCGCGTTGACGCTGAACGAAATCACATTTTTCATTATTGTGTCCCGCTGTTCAACAATTGTGCTCAATGTCGACGTAGTGAGCCCTAGCTCCTTAGCCAACTCCGTGCGTTTTATTTTCAGATCCTCATCGACCTTTTGAAGAATGTCCAGTTTCTCCTTAAAGGGGAGAGACATGGCTTGCTGCGACTCGGCAAAAAGCACAACAAAGCAAATACGTGTGCTTGACTGGGCAAGACTGTCGACAGCCTCCGCACAGCAGTAACCACGTGTCCGCACCAGAGAGCAACTACCACCAAGCAAAACAAAGATTGGATTAGATTTGTGTCTTCACCGTCGCCAGCGCCATCTGGAGCCTTCGAGAGAAAGCAAAAGGCGCACTCCGGCGCAACGTTTCTAGAACTAGGTTGTTGCTCCGGCGTTCGAGATCGCGCAGATCTTCGAGTCTGTCGCCCACCGCTCGCAAGAGGCGGCGACAACGTGCCAAACCGGCGGCGCAGTACGCATTTCAGCGCGTTCGTGCACGCTGCTTGCTTCCGCGGCCATCGGTGGGGTGGAGTTTATTCGCATCAAACAACTAGGGTAAAAAATCAGTTCGTAACAACCGTACTCTAGCACATAGTACATTAATGGGCCTCGGCCGGGATCACAGAAAAATTCGTATCAACCCAAATTTCGTATCAGCCGTGATCGCTTCATCGAGACTCTACTGTAAAAGGATGGCACTACCAATGCAACAAGTTTCCTTGTTTTCTCGTTCTGGTTTGGAGAGAAAGCACACTAGCGCTTGCGCCTGGGTTGGCATAAACGGCGGCAGCGCCAGCTTGTGGGGCGCAGGCCTACCTCGCATGAATAACGAGCGCTCGCTCTCGCGTGAGAGTGCATCTTATGCGGTTGTCCTGTCACTTCACGCTTCGTAGGGAGGGGGGGGGGGAAACAACAGTGGAAGATGCGTGCTCGTGCCAAAATTACAAAACCTGAAGCAATATTCCTGATTATCCGCGGCGAAAATTTGTTACATCTAGGATGTCTTCCGCTGTTACTTTGTTGGTCACAAATACATAAGCTTCTATGGAGCAGGGAATAGAAAAACTTTATTATATAGAGGAATTTGTTACAAGCCAACTGCCGATTTTTCGGACACCCGAATTTTCGGACATGCCCGATAATTCGAACATCTTCGAGGCACTACCACGAGCCCTATAGAATCAGTGTATAAGGAAGTCTGAAATTTCGGATGCTCGAACCCCCCGGAGTCAGATTTCCCGGACTTTTTGACGCGACGGAAGGTCGGAAACCACCACTGACCTCTAGTGGAAACCACCACAACTGTGTCACACGCGATTATGATCGCATAAATGAGCGCGCCGGTCTACTGTGGCGGCATCTGTTGCTTGGACTCATTGATCGTTAGCGGAGAAACACACACGACCTTTGAGATTCCTAACACTGGCCATGTTTATTGTGCAATGGTGCTTCGCTGGCATGCATGCATGCATGCATGCATCATCCATCAGGAAATTTTTTGGCGCCAATAAAGTTTCTTTCGCTTTAGCGCTTGTGCGTGCCACTCTGGCTTCCCGCGCAGCGCTTTCGCGAAGCGTTTCATCACTTCGAACTAGAACTAACTGTCACACGCCGATTTGGTCTGGCCAAGCTGGCTACCTTGGATGTTTACCAGCGCCACCTCCGGAGTACCCAAGGCACCGTCGTCTGCCGTCGCGCCGTTTTGTTTATGCAGCCCTCATGGTGTTTGGCTAGCCCAGTGCGTGGTTGTGTGATCGTGAGAAGTGTGCTCTGCAATGCTAAGCCTAGGTGCTTCGACGCTCGTCAGCAAACCCCATTGTTCACATCGTGAGGATTTCGCTTGCCTGCGATGGCCCCAACTCCGCCTTCGTCGTCCTCACCAATGGCATCGAAGCGCGGAAAACAGTACCGTCGGTTAACGATGGAGAAAAAAGCCGCCATAATTAAGTTAGTGAAGAGTGGCCGATCGCAGGACTGACGTGAGCAAGGAGTTTGAGCGGTTCGTTGACGCTGACGTGAGCAATAACTTTTGAGCGGTTCGTTGACGCTGACAATGAGCTCGACTTCTGCGCAAAGCTAACAGACGACGAAATAGTCAGTCAGGTTATGGTGGATTCAGATGACTCCGATGTCGAAAAAGAGGAACAACGCCTGCGCCACCTGCGACCGCTGGATTGATGCGAGCATTGATGACGCTGTCATCGGTGTACAGTGATCACATGACCCTTGCTCAGATCGAGGCGAATGTGATTATATGCAAGTGGAACACCGTTCAAAGAAAGATTAACAAGTTTTTCAAGCCACTGCAACTCTAACACCGGCTCCTCTGACGGCACCCGCTGTCGGCTGCATGCATTTTCTTTAACGGCTCTTTTCAGAGCCACCCCACTGATGCTTTGTCAGAGTTCCGGAAGTCTGGTACTTCGACCTTGACCCTCTTGATCCGAGTTATATCAATGAAATGGTGCGTTTCTTGCTTGCATTGAGAAGTATTAGCAAAATGGTGCATTTTTTTTTTTTGCTTGCATTAAAATTACCAGTAAAATAATGCATTTTTTTTTTTTGCTTGCATTCATTTTTTCGGACTGCCCAAATTTTCGAACGGTTTTTCGCTCCCTAGAGGGTCTGAAAAATCGGCAGTTGACTGTATATAAATGTTCGTTATAACCAAGTTTAACTGTATTACTAACACTGTGTCTATTGAAAGACAGTTCTTTATTTACTTGGTTACAACCAATATTTCGTTATATCTAGATTTGTTATATCGAGGTTTTAGTGTATAGAAATGTTATAGAATAACACTGAAACCTGGATAGAAGCCCAGATATAACGAAATATCGTTCATGACAAAGTAAATGACGAATAGTCTTCCAATAGATAAAGTGTTAGGAATACACCTTTATAACAAAGTTTTGGATATAACGAACTTATTTTTGGGTAATATGCAGCTATGTTATAAGGAGTTATGAGTGCACAGCCTCATCACAATGAAGCTGGCACAGCTGAACTGGGACCCACAACCATTCTGTTTAGAAGTGCAAAGACGAAGCGGGGTGGCAGCTAGATAATAACCAAGCCCAATGGTGCACCGAAAACGCAAACATTTGCCGAGGCCAAGTGAAGCACAAGGAAAGGAAACATATGAGGTATACCAGGCAGTGTGGTAGCCTGGTATATCACCACTTACTAAGCACGTTTACAATTCGAACTAACCACCCTTCGTCTCCAAACAAATGTTACATGTGAACGCTAGAGAGGTGCATTCATCAATAAATGCCAAGTCGATTACCTCATCTTCTTGGCTTCCCTGACCGTCCTTGCTGGGCTCTGCCGTGACGTGCTGATTCTCTGCAGAGGTTCCACGAGAAGGCTCCCAAAAGAGCACACCTGCACACAAGCGCACGCAATGTTGTACAAGATGTGCTAACAGGTGCCAAATTTTCACCTAAACTACTGTAATTTCAAATCTTCATATAAATGCAGATTCATGTGCACTTTGACACAGTGAAAACGTAGGTTCGGAATTGACATCCAGTAGACAAGGATAACATTTGATAGCCTAGTGACAATACAAGAACTTTTGATTTTCAGGCAGCGTGAAGAACCTACACAAGAGATCATTTACTGAGGTCAACTGCTTTCAGCAAACCTGAATCGCAAGAAATATCCAAAATGTAAAATTAAGTTGGAGCGCATAGGCACGACATTACCAAATGGTGACAACTACCACACTGCCAGGCTTAAAAAGTACACAAAATGGGAAATTCATTTAAACCTGTAGTAGACATATTAAAGGATGACTGCATTTATTAGTTATTAGGGGTGTGTGCATATTCGCAAGTTTCAAATATTCGTCAAATATTGTAATTGTAATATTCGCATTCGAATAGAAAACTACACATTCAAAGTTTCGAACGCTTGAACTAGCTCGAATATTCAATCTCTTAAATTATTCACTCGCATATGTTACTGTAAACGCACTTCTGATTTGGAGCCTTTACGATAAGTGCATCAACACAAGACCATGCAGTGATTAGGTGCGAGTGCTATGATGGCTGCACGGAGATACACGAGTGTGTGATGATGGCCCGCCATTGCGACAAATCTATCAAGGATAAACATTTTAAAGTATCTAAATACATAGACAATGTAGACTCAGCCCTCTTCTCAATGTAAACATGAATAATAGACAAGCTACAGCACGTGCTACAGGAGGACTCAACAGGTGCTGCCATTAGTAGGGCAAACAAGTAGATCAGGGAAGTGCAGTTGCATATTATGAAAACGATATCATAACATCTGGGGTTTTACGTCCCAAAACCACGACATATTTATGGGAGACGCCGTAGTGGAGGGCTCCAAAAATTATGACCACATGGTGCTCTTTAAAGTGCTCCGAGAGCGCACAGTTCATTTTGCCTCCATCGAAATGTGACCGCCACAGCTAGAGATCGAACCCGCGACCTTCAAGTCAGCAGCTGAGCACCGTAACCCCTGCTCCACTGCAGCGGACCGGGCCTATATGAGACTGCAGATCTGATGTTGAGGCAATAAAGTGAACTCCATAAATTAAAGACCACATAAAAAAAAGAATGCAGCTCATTCTCATTGTTCGGGTCTTGCATACCTTACGCAAAGCCCTCGAGCACTGCTGAATGCTGCACGGCAGGTGGCGTGTCAAGGGCCAGGTCAACGAGAGTGTCGAGCAGGGCCATCTGGTTTTCCTTGGGAAGCTTCTTCAACAAGTCCTTGGTCACCTGTGCAACAAAAGCAACCCAATCAATCAATCACATATAAAACCACACCTCCAACTACAGGAGGTCATAAAAAATCCAAGCATAAAACTTGCAGAGCACCACAGCATGTAGTTTTTATCTTAATGACAAAACTGAAAACACTTTGTCTGCACAAATCAAACTGTTCCCTTTTCGGAAACTTGAACCATCTGTGTAAAAACAATGCAGCAACAAGCTATTTGCCCCGAAAGTATATGATATTAAACACTATCAATTAAGACATAAATTATATTTTGAACAAATGATTAATACTTGCACGAGCCTGCTTCAATTGGAAAGTACATTTTGAAGTATTGATGAAACATTGATAGCAGGTAATGTAAACATGATAAACTCACCACCTGGAGTGCCATAGTAGCCACTGACTCATCGCCCTCACACCTTCTTGTGCTGCGCAGGGCCTTTTCAAAGGTCTCCACAGCTCCTTCAACATTAGCCAGGCGTTGAACAGCACCCAAGCCGTACTTTGCGAAGCACTCCCTGAGGAGTTGCGTCTCGGCAGAAGGCAGTGGCAACGTGGGAGCGACGTCGCAAGCTTCGAGTCCGAGCGTCGTCGCAATCACTTTCACAGCCGCCTCCAGCACTTCCTGTAAGGATTGACGCTGAAATTACAGCTGAACCCCAACAGAACTGATACAGTTAAAACTCCTTTACAAGAAAAAAAAAAAAAAAACTGTTTCAGAAGAGGCTTGTGATCAGTCAACAAAGCTGTCCTTATCTGAAATAGTCACTTGAAAGGGTCCCTGTAACACGTTTCGAATATGCAACAAAATTCATGTTTATCTCAAACGGGCCCTTCGAGGAGGCCCTGCAACACTTTTTGTACAACACTTCTTGAACTCGGAAATCACTGCAGTTTAGAAGCCAAGGCTCATGCGAAACAAATATAGCACTGTACAGCACATAGAATATGCACTTTCATTTCACAGTCAGCCGAAAATGGCCCGCTCTTGGCAAACTTGAACGGACACGGCCAATGGCTAATTTCTTAATCGTGAATGTATTCTCAATATAATTTACCTTAGTAGTTCTGAGTTTCATAAACAGGTATAAATTTATTTCACTTCAGAAACACCAAGGTACTTCGTATTTTCTATTACGATTAATGGTTGTCTGTTTATTATTTATACAGCATTTTTCATGTGCTTAGTAAACGCCATCAGTTACAAATGCACCGGCACACTCATCACTGCAGGCTTTCTCTTTTAAGTGATTCGCAGAATAGACACATTCTCTTTAAGTGATTCGCAGACTAGACACATTGGCAGATATCACTTGGTGCATAGCTAATTGAAACCGCTTGAAATGCACTACTAAGTTTCGCTTATGTACGGTCAGTCGGCCTGATGCAACACATCACCGAGCATCAGGGACTCGCAAGGGCTTTGCCATACTTTAGAAGTACCATATTTACTTGCGTAATGAACCCACTCACATTATGAACCGACCCCTCACCTTGGCCCTAAAAAAAAAAAAGACTGTTTTTTAATGTATCTGTGCATTTTATTTCAATGTGACTGCCAGTGCCGTTGACAACTGAAAACAATGTTTAATCATGCCATTATATCATGAAATAATGAAGCAATAACAGTCAGAACATAGTTTAACAATACTAATGCTAAACAGTTACGAGCAGCACGAGCGCAGATGACGTCAATCAAAATTTAAAGGTAGAAGAAACCTCCTTCCTGCTTATGGAGCCACGCAAGCACAGCGGCCCAAAAACTAAGCTAGAAAACAAAGCGCGATCGCGCCTTCCGCGATGTACACCCGCAGCCGCGCAACGTGCATGTGCCCACATCAGATACTTCATTTCTGTTGATAATTGGCCTGTATGCTAGCAACACGGCCAGTTTTAAATTTGAAGTTGCTGAAGTGCTGAAGCATGGGAACCGAGCGGCTGGACGACGCTTTCAGCATCAATCAATGCATATTGGCCTGCACTTGCGCTATTCGCACAATCACACTACACGTGCCAGGACACCTGGCGCATGCAAGCAAATGAGCGTCGCCTTGCACGCATTAGGTGTCCCGGCACGTGCAGTGTGGATAGAGCATATACAGTTTTGGGCTACAAAAAAGGTTCGTCACGCATTTTGTGGGTCAGAATATGAGCAGTTTCAAATATAATTTATCGAATAGAGGCTTTGAAGTCCTGTTATAACTCCCTTAGCTTTTTTTTTTTCTTCTGCGTAATGAACCCTCCCCCTAATTGGCATGAAACTTTTCAAAAACAGGTGGGTTCATTACGCTAGTAGATCTTATGTTTGAGGGCAGGAGTACCAGAATTGCTTGTGTGCCGCTGAGTCAAGGCGGAAATGATGCCGTGCCACAACAATGGTCTTACGATTATTTGCAATGATACAGGCACTGAAGTTTTTGGGTTTTGAAATTCAGTTTAGGCAGGTTATCAGGAGATCTACAGGCATGATCATACTATTGAGAAGACAGGACAGAAATCAAGAGATCTTCGGGGCAAATCGGGAGAGTTGGCAGGTACACAATCACGAGCAACGTTACTAAAGCCATGAACTTATAAGAGAGAAAAAACACAATTACCTCAGAGTCAACACGTGACACCAGTTTCAGTATGCCGCACTCGCATCGCGACAGGAACTTGCTCATAGGTTCAGCAGTGCCAGCAGCGTATTGGGCTTCTTCAATGTCGCATGCCAGGAAGCTACAAGCTTCAGCAGCTTCCTGCAGGAAAGCACAACAGGAAATCACTGTTCTTGGGTGCTTTTGTGGAGCTGAAACTTGCACAAACATCAAGCTTTGCGAGTTTATTTTGCCTATTACAGTAGGCCATCTTTGGCATTATTCAGCTGTCAATGTCACTACACGTACCTTAGTTTCATTGGGTCAACAACTTAACATTACAGGGTACTGTCTTTTAAACAAGCATGTTCGAAATCTGGATAGCTGTGCTTCGTTGCAATGACTGCTGTAACAACACTAAACATGCTGTTAGAGAATCCTAGTTGCAGTGAAGTGAAAATTCTTTGTTCACTTTCAGGGTACCTGAACTTGGTACTACCGTAATTACTCGAATCTAACACGCACCTTTTTTCCGGTTAAGCAAGTTCATAAGTCGCATGCGCGTTAGAATCGAGTACGAACAAAAAAATTACGGTCAATCTATTGCCGTCGGCAAATCCAAAATGGCCACCCCCTACGTGCGTCAGCATGGCGCGTCGGCCATTTCTGCCTATGTGTTTCCCATGTTTGGCATTTCGTACGTGTGCTGAGGAGTTCGTCATCTAGTAGTGCATTAGCATCGACGGCGTGGAAGGGCCGACTCCAAATACTCGAGTGCACCACAGTGCCGCTTTTAAAAGAAAAGTCATCGCGTGTGCAGAAACGGACGTAAATCGGGCCGTATCGCGGTCGTTCGGAGTTCCCGAAACGTGCATGCGGGGCCGGCGGAAACAAAAGCAGAAGATTGTCGACAGCAAAGCTTCACGCAAAGGCTTCAGTGGACCACAGCAAGGTCGGTTTCCGCAAATAAAGAGCTGCTCGGCGAGTATGTGCTTGAGCAGCGAGCGGCACAGCGGCCCGTGACGACAGAACTGCTCCAAGTGCGGGCTATGCAATTAGTCTTAGAAAAAGGTCTAATGCGGAGCCAGTTTAAAGCGAGCAGGTGCTGGCTAACTAACTTTATGAAGAGGAAAGGCTTTTCCCTCCGAAGGGGAACATGCATATGCGAAAAGTTTTGCAGTGGAGTACGATGAAAAGCTTCACAGTTTTCAGAGGTTCGTCCTAAACTTGCGGCGCAACAACGGCTACCTGCTTGGGCAAATCGGGAATGCTGGTCAGACGCCTCTTTACTTCGACATGCCTGGCACCACAACCGTCGAGAAGAACGGGGCGAAGCAAGTTCGCGTGCTGACATCGGTCCACGGTAAAACTACAGTGACGGCAATGCTCCGTTACACGTCAGATGGGGCACAAGCTTCGCCCGTACCTCATATTTAAATGGAAGACGCTCCCGAAAGGAGTCGTTTTTTCGAGTGGTGTGATCGTGCGGGCCAGCGAGAAAAATGGGTGCGCGTTGCAATCGATGCCTTACTTTTTTTTTTTTTTCGCGGTGGAAATCAGGTGCGCGTTACAATCGAGGGCGCGGTAGAATCGAGTAAATACGGTATCTGCTATCCAGCCACAATTCTGGGCAGGATGAACAGTGCAGCAGAGATTTTAAAATTGAGTTTTTCAGGGCTGCATCTCACTTGTACAGTATGGTCCACTGTAAACGTGATTGGTTAGAGCTGAGAGTTGGGCTAGTTTGTTTATATTTGAATACATATTACCAGTGAAAACAAAACAGTGTAAGAATACTGTTAGACGCACGCCGGGGTGGAACAGCCGTTTATTGGGCCTAACAGCACCAAGACAGCAACCAGCGGTTTCAGCAGCAGCTGCAGCAGCACGAGCCTCCGCCACAACAAACGTCTTCTTCGTCGTTTTTAGAGCCCGTATTTGTCACTACATTGACTCCTTGGTGCGAAAGGAGCCATCCAGGCGACCTATAGCACAAACAGGACTGGTGGGTCGTAGTGAGGTTTTAGACGCTCGACGTGCACAGTCTCGCGCCCGCGGCGCCGTTGACCTGTAGGTGGCTGAATAGGTTCAACTATGTGGTTGACTGGTGAAGTCTGGCGCAGGATCCGGTACGAACCATCATACTTGGGTATAAACTCTGAGCAAAGGCCTGGGGCAGACAATACATTCCGCGCCAGTAATATCGAATTCGTAGGCGAGCATACGTCCGCGTGGAAGGAGGCACAGACATCAGAACGTAGGTGGCGAGGTATTACCAGCAACCGTTTGCGGCCATCAGATAGGTAGTTTCGCCGGTACAGAAGACCGTCACGGATGGTAAAATGGCGAGTAGTTCGTCGAAGTAAACGGTTGTCGGTACGTGGAGGCGTCTGAGACGGGTACTCTAAGAGAGACGCTATCCATGGATACTGGCGTTGCTCAGCGGACATGTCGGCCTGTTCAAGTGAAGAACATTCGCAGCTGGAAACAGACGCTGCAACATAATCGTGGGGAAGTGGCGAGTGAGAAAGAGCGTCGGCGTCCGAATGCTTGCGGTCTGACCGATGAATTACACGAATATCGTAATCTTGGAGACGTAGTGCCCAGCGAGCTAGCCGACCAGATGGGTCTTTTAATGACGACAACCAACACAATGCATGGTGATCAGTCACGACGTCAAATGGGCGGTCATATACATAAGGTCGGAATTTTGTGATTGCCCAAACAATGGCAAGGCATTCTTTCTCGGTGACTGAATAGTTCTTTTCCGCTTTAGTGAGGGTGCGACTAGCGTAGGATACAACATACTCATCGAAGCCAGATTTACGCTGAGCAAGAATAGCGCCGAAGCACACTCCACTAGCGTCCGTATGGATTTCGGTTGGAGCGTCTAGATCAAAGTGGCGTAGGATAGGTGGTGATGTCAAAAGATGGCGTAAAGACGCGAATGCTTCGTCGCATGCTGGGGACCACGCCGAGAGGTCTTGGTTGTCGGCAAGTAGCTGCGTCAGGGGTGTGATTGTGGTGGCGAAATTGCGCACAAAACGGCGAAAGTATGAGCGGAGCCCGATTAAGCTGCGGAGATTAAGCTGTGGAGCCCGATTAAGCTGCGGAGCCTGGGAAAGTCGGCGACAGCATGAAGCTTGGCTGGATCAGGATGGACATCATGTTTGCTAACAACATGCCCTAAGATGATAAGCTGGCGGGCAGCGAAGTGGCATTTCTTCAAATTCAGCTGCAGTCCAGCGTTCGAAAGACAAGTCAGGACGCTTGCAAGGCGGCTGAGGTGGGAGTTGAAGTCCTTTGAGAAATCGACGACGTCATCCAAATAGCACAGGCATGTGTTCCATTTAAAGCCTCTAAAGATGTTGTCCATGAGACGCTCAAAAGTGGCAGGTGCATTACAGAGGCCGAATGGCATGACGTTAAACTCGTACAATCTGTCAGGCGTTACAAACGCAGTCTTGGAGTGGTCGGCTTCATTCATAGTGACCTGCCAGTAGCCGGATCGAAGATCTAAAGAAGAAAAGAACTCTGCTCCTTGCAGGCAACCGAGGGCGTCATCGATTCTGGGCAGCGGATAAACAACAGTGATAAAGGAATACGCACACAGGTCATCCCAGAAAATTACAAGCCTGCGTGCATATTTCTTTGTCTTTACTTTATATCGGCTGGCAATAAGGAAAAGCCTGCTAATACACAGCACAGTAAGATGAATAGCATACACAGTCAGGACAGAAACAAAAGAAGTGGAACTCATGTGAGGTAACAGTGCATATGCTCTGTAGTTCTTGCACTGTGGCGTCTACTGTTGATAACGATATTCACAAACCAAGCAGACTGATTAAGTCCTCTTGTGCACAGCCTAACTCAAGTCAACTCTTTCAAGTAGCCCCTTTATCCTTGTAAACCTACTTGGTGCCCACTGATACGTCAGCAGCGTGATCAGCGATCAGCTCAGAAAGGGCATGGAGTCCAGTGCGTCCCTTTTGGGAACAGGCAACCGATGCCTCCACCAAGCTGACGGCCAAATCTCGAATTCCTTGCGTTGGTGACAGAAGCGACAGGATGATGGACAGGAAGACTGCAAAGCAGGAGAAAATCAATCAATGAATCATGGATAAAAACTGAACTTAGCTAGGTGATTAGTGAAGTTTGTAAGAAAACTTCACTGATGGTTTACGCTTGTCACTTTATTGCTTGGTGGCCCCCAACTACAGACAAAAAACTTAGTGCATACTTTTGTTTACTTTTCTAATAAAAAAACAGAATAAAACGACCTAAATATTCTCCAAGTGCCACTTGATTAAATCAAGGTTTGACTATACTATGATGCATGATGAAATATGAACAGTACGCATGTTAGGAAGGTGAAACTTTTAAAACCAAATTACCACAAATGTCTAGGAAATCTGAGGTTTCGATTACAAAGCTGCATGTTGAAAATTATACCCTTTATAAAAGTGCTCCATTCTAGCATCTTTTAGCGTGTGCTTACCAAGGTTCTTTTCAGCCAGGATCCACTTGATGCCCTCTGCATCTCGCAACAACTGAATCGAAACTGCAAGGGCCAAGGACTGAAGCCTCTCTTTTGGGTGGGCAGCTGGCACCCCCTGGGAACCAGTGCTGGAAGCGTTGCAGATGGCGTCTAGGTGCAGCAGCCAAAGTCCACTTAAAAAGTGCACCTGATGCTGAAGGCTATGACAGTGAACCTGCAATTAAAAAAAAAAAAAGAGGAAGAGAGAACGAAAAAAAAAGTTCAAGTAGAATTCATCTTCATTTTGATTGCAGCATTCCGGTCAAGCTTCCCCTATAGGGATGATTTCCTGAATCGCAGTTACACTCAAACCACATTATAACAAAGTTGCGTCTTACACAAAAATAAGTTTGTTATATCCATAAATTTGTTATAAAAGTTTGTTCGTATCACCATATGTACTACAACGCTATTTTCATTTACTTCATTATAACCGATATTTTGTTATATTCCGGTTGTTACATTGAGGTTTGAGTGTATTCCTATGATTTTGGTCTTTGAAAGTTTTGTACAAAATTAAGTCTTTGGTGAATGTTAGTTAGCACTGAATAGCTTTGAAGGCTTTGAAGTGGACTTGAAAAGCAGCAGGATTCGAATAGAAGTAAGGTGCAATTCATAAGCAGAAAAAAATTTTACGCTCTAAACTTTTCTATACTTAGCCCACATCATCCTGTACAATATGCTTTCAAACTGCAAAGTACATGACAGGTTCTAAGTAAACACGCACAAACCTAAAAGCCCATTTAAAGGGACACTAAAGGCAAGCACCGTTTTTACTCGAATCTAGGCCAGCCCTAATTCTAAGCCGACCCATAAAAATCTGAAGACCCCCCTTCCCCCCCCAAACAAAAGAAAACTTATCTAGAATCTATTCAACATGAAGATGAAACAAAGCAGTTGGTTCATGATGCAAATAAGTCGAGAAATATAGAGCCACTAGTCCTGTTGTGTGCGTTTCCTTGTGGTTTTTTTTCACGCTGCTTCTGGTATTTGCATTATAAAGATGCCGTGCTTGCAGATACTGCGCTCATTCTGAGCCGTCGCTGCTTCCTTCGTCGCTCCTTTCTTTGTTGCTGTCTTCAAACAGTGCACAATCCTCGGTGCCATCAAGTGCACTGGATATGCCGCACTTCTTAAAAAAGCACACAATCAAAGTTACTGGCTTGTTGTCCCACGCTGCAGCCCTTCTAGCGACGCACATTTTCTTTTTTGTCCATTTCAAGGTCCCGCCCAGCTTGAACCTTAGATGATGACTCCGTGGCTAGTACAACTTTCCTTTTATAAGCGGCACTATAACGAGACCGCCTGTTGGGCGCCATTGAGCTACACACAGACCACTCAATGCGCGACTCGAAATGACAAAGGCTTGCCTCAACATTCATTAAAAAAATAAAAATGGCGGCATCACGTGTGAACTTAAGCCAGGTGTTAGCTCGGCTACTAATGGCTACGATAGAGTCTAGGTGGCGCTACTTGCGCACGAGTTTTCTCAAATAAAAATGTCACATTTTTCAAACTCATAGAATCTAAGCCTACCCTGAAGTTTGATGCAAAGAATTTCCAAAAAAAGCTATCGGCCTAGATTAAAAAAAATAGAGTATTAAGTCAATGTTGAGTGCCGAAACAGGGGTCCAGACGCCTCGTAGTGCAAGCTTTACTCTAAGGAAATGCTTATTTTGAAAAAAAAAAAAAAAAAAAGACGTTCTCGTAGCCCGCATCCTGTTAGCACACTTCAAATTACCCGCCTCAAAGTGGAAACTTTCCCGCCACTGCTACCGTGCACAACGTTGCCCAGCTTTAATACGCAGCTGCCGACACCAGTAGCAAAAGAGCGAAAGTAGCGGGAGCCACAGCAGCAAGAACGGCCACTGAACAATTTTCTGCCATGGCCTCCGAGATGCCAGGTGTGCTTGGTTCAACTGGGCCCCCCTAGATGACCCGACCTTTCCAGTTTAACCAGGCGAAAATTTAACTTTTGAACCACTCACGCGATTCCCCATAGTAGCATCTGGCAGTTCTTTTAGAAGCGAAGCTCCTTGGGCCGTGTAACTGTACATGAATGTCTCTCTTGGTACGTGACTGCTTAGTTCTTTGACTCACTCAGCAGGTGCGGACAGATGGATGGACAGACAGACAGTAAGACAGACGAACGGACAGACAGACAGACGGACGGACCAATTCATGGTTTACTGATAAAACCCTCCGAAGCTTCGCCCCATTCATCATCATTCACTCCGTGGATATGCTGTCATTTTTTTTTCAGTGAAACAAACAGAAACAAACAAGCCCCATTTTATTGCATCTCTTGATGCACGGAAGGTTCTTTATTTAGGGCAGCTAGTTGGATTACTAGTGATTAAATGTACGCGGCAGCTACGACACCATCGGAATCATTTTGCGAATGTCCTACTCTAGGTGCAAGTGTTCTCGTGCATTTACCTTGATTTCTTGGTAAGTATGAAACTGCTATTGATAATACAGTAGAATCTCAATGATACAATTACGGTTTATACGAATTTGGCGATGATATGAATTTTGTGGATGTGTTGAACGCACTACGTTCTTTAAGATACGCTGTAATTCGGTGTTATACGAACAGTTTCCCTAGCCAATTTGGATGATACGAATGTGCGAGTGACCGCTGCACACGAGCAGAGCAAAGCAGAGCGAAGCGGTGGTCTCAAAGCGGGGTGAGGCCATCGCGACTGCCAGTGTTTTTTTTTTTTTCCCCTCCTTGATTGCCTTCACCTCCTGAGCTGCCCGAGCCTTGCAGCAGCGCGGAGACTCGCCGAAATGTCTCCTCGCCTTCTCCACGTGGAAACGGCTATGTCCATCGACGGAAAAGGAAAAACATCTCATGCTTGGGCACGCTTGCTCGAGATACGAGCCTGTGAGGAGGAGAGTCGCGCCGAGGTATGCGGCATGGCAAAGCGAGCCCCTCCCATGTCGTTTCCAGGATGGGTCACGTGCTTGGTAAGTTTGGTATGTCAGCTATTTTTTTGCAGATCATTGGCTATTGCGTGTGTTTTTTTTATTGCTACGTGACTACGCCGCGTGACTGCAACTTCACGTGGACGTGGCGCGGGCGCGCGCATAGAGGCTCTCGTTGTTTTCGTCACTCCTGTAGGTGTTCTGTGCTCGTGTCGCCGCTGCTGCGTAATCCGTGCAAGTTGCTGCTCGTATACTTGGAGACCGAAGCATAAGTGAACATGTCTCGGAAGCGGAAGGCTCTTTTCTTTACGAAGAAAATTGAAATACTGAGGAACGTAGACAAAGAACCCAAGAGGAAGCGCGCCGATTTGGCAAAAAAATTTGAAATAGCGCCGTCGACGCTCTGCACCATTGTTGGGCAGCAAGACATTGTGTTGAACAATGCACAGCACTTCGGCGCTAATGCGAAGCAAGCAAAGACGGCTATCGACGTGAAGCTGGAAGAGGTCCTGCTGACGTGGTTTCGCGAAGTCACAGCAGCTGGCATCAACATAGACGGCAAGGTGATACACGAAAAAACTGACAACATTGCGCTTTCCCTTGGAATCAACGACTTTCAAGCTTCTGGTGAGTGGCTGCACCGTTTTGAAGAATGGCACGCCCTAGTGTACGAAGTTGTTGGCGGTGAAGGTAAGAAAGCGGACGAATCACAGGTCAGCGACTGGCTGAGCACGTTGCCTACACTCATTTAAGATTATGCTCCGCGTGACGCATTCAACGCTGAGGCCAGACTTTTCTTCAACCTCCAGCCAGAGAGAAGCTTGTGCGTGAAAGGCCCGGCCTGCCAGGGGGGCTAGAACAGCAAAGAACGAGTGACCGTGCTATTTTGCATCAATGTCGACGGTTCGAAAAAAATTCAGCTGATCATCACTGGCAAATCAAAACAGCTAAGGTGCTTTCGATCGACAGGACATTTGCCTTGCCTGTACAAGGAAAATAAGAAAGCTTGGATGACTGCTGATTTTTTCCGCGAGTTTTTGACTACTTTAGACTGGGAAATAGCAGCCCAAAATAGAAAAATTATGCTTTTTGTCTATCAGTGTTCGGCCCATCCGAGAGAGTGCAACTTCACCAACGTCACCGTAAAGTTCCTGCCCGCAAATATCACAAACTGCCTGCAGCCACTAGACGCGGGAATAATTCGAAACGTCAAGCACCATTTCAAAAGATTGCTTTTGGAAGGCTTCTGCCTAAAATTGAGTGCGAAGACGAAAACTTGCGGATCAGTCTGCTCGATGCATTACATTTTCTGGCCATGTCCTGGTACAATGTCACCCAAGACACGATTGCGAACTATTTTCGCAAGTGTGGTTTTTTGCGGGATCGGATGTGGCAACGACAGAAGAAGACCAAGAGCCGGAGGGTGATTTGAATATCGAGAGTTGGGAAAACTTTGGGACTCCAGCTTCAGCGCAAAACTACGTCACTGCGGACGACAACGTCGCGACCTTTAAGCTGCGATCTGTCGAAGAACTGGTGGACGAGGCAAAGGAGACGGAGTCCGACAGTGACGGTGAACACGCCAACATGTGCGACGCCCTGCCGTCGACATCGGAGAACCACCGCGCCCTCGATGTCCTGCGCCGCACCTTAAGTGCCGGAAGCCTGAGCGAAGAAACCACGGCACGGTTTTATGCCTTTCAGGCGGCTTTCCCAAGGGATATCGAAAGCAAGAAAGTACAAGAACACATCATGGACTTCTTCAGCAAGAAGTCGCTAACTTTGATAAAGTTTTTGTTCATCTTCATGATCAGCTTTAATTTGTTTTCATTATTACGAGTTTGGGATGATACGAATATTTTGTGTGCTCCCTACGAATTCGTATCATCGAGATTCTACTGTATTGTCGTTTTAGATGTTGTCTTACACTGAGCTTTTACTCTGATATAAATTGTTCTTTGCCTTTAGTGTCCCTTCCAGGGAGGACATGGGTCTGAAGGCTACCTTATCTATTCTTGAACAAAATGTGACAAGAGTTGGCATGCTTACTCAGTTTCTTCTCCTGATTCTAAAAATGTGATGTTCTTTCTGTACCTTCATTAGTTCATTATACAATTAAGATAACAATCTATTGTTAATTCTACAATAGAAAAACAACCACCAGACAAAAGTTTACAAGTGAAATAGGAATCAACAGTATAAAGCACAAGCCACACAACAAAAAAACCACTTTTATGATTTGGTCATTATTTTTTACCTTACAGCAGACTAAACTTCATAGCTCGGAATGTGGCCATGGAGTGGTCACACAAAAGACTAATTTTAAAAACTTACATCAAGAAAAATTAAAATCTGCTTCCATGTTGGGTGCTACAAACAAACCACAAAAAGATTTATTCTGCCATCTGTAATAGCTTCCAACATATTGCAGGAATTGTCATGAGGGTGTACAAAATTGTCATCTCGAGAAAATCAAGAAAACAAAGAATTCTAACAATCTTAAACCATAAAAATTTATGTACATAATATCACATAGTCATTAGCACATATATGATTACTAGGAGGCCTGAGGAGTGCCACACTGCAAGCTGATCGAAAATTGAGCAGGTACCTCAACTAACTATTACACAATCAAGTTCATTGTCTGCATGTAATTAAGAAGAAATTTTATAATAAAATAGAAAAGTCTGAGCTGCACGTTAAAATTCTGCTTTCAGCACTGTTTCCTGCACACATTTAGCTACATTGTACAAAAGGAATTATACCTATAGCTGTCCTAGGTCCACTTTTACAGAACACTCAAACAAGGAAAGTGGTCAGAATCTGTGTTCCGAAAAAGAAAAAAAAAAAAAACCTTAAAACTTTATTTCGCCCTTTCGAGTGAAAAATACCATGGCAAACATACTTTTAGTCAGTTAATAGGCACCGGGCATGTGATTGGGCTGAATGTTTGCATAAGCGTATCGTTTCTTCAAGTTCTGCTACAAGTTGTCATCGTGCACCCGTCTGCCGACAGGGCCGCTTATCAGTTCAGTGATTAATAAAGTTTTTTTCTTTAATAAAGTTTTTTTCTCTCTTCTCTCTCAGTTCAGTGACGGTATTAACACCGATGTGCAACGAACGAGCGTGTGTTATTTGCAATTCGTCTAATGACACAGCGACTTTTTCCGGCTTGTCCAGATTGAGTTACACGTACATGTTGCAACTCGAACTCATGCACTCGCTCATCAATTTCGAGGCTGAAGAGCAGCGAAGTGTTAGCTCCCTTACTACTTGCCACATGGCCACATTTTTGAGTGGAGACCACAACACGGTATATTCATCGTTGCGAGCGTGTCATTAAAAGCACTCTGCTTGTTTCCAGTAGCCGCCATTGCGCAGGTGGCGAGCACGTTCAGCGCGAAAGGATTGATTTTCTGTTGTTTCATCGACGCACGGCATACTCCACTCTGACGACCCGTCACGCAGTTCACACACAAACGAGCTGAAGCATATGACAAGGCCATATTTCCACTCACTTCTCCTAATCTTGGCGTCCCCATCACTAATCATCTTACCCTTTCGAGGCAATAATATTAATGTATTTACCGCCTCCAAGTACGCAATAGTGAAGGTCGTTTTATCAGGTGGGGGAACTGCGACATCGGCGCGTTTAATGATAAGTCTATGCTTTGGCTCCGCCACTGCAACGATTGATATCTTTCACAGTTTCACTTCCGCTTTCTTCTTGCCGTCCTCCAACTGTTCGGGCTGCAACATTTGCATCTCATTGTGCACAGGGCTGCTTCCAGCGGCGTTGTCGGCAACTAACGAGCTCGTACGTTTAGCGCCCATTCGGCCTACCCCGGTGGTTCAGTGACCGCTCCACTGTCTACCCTTGAGTTTGTCATTCTCGTCCTGAGCCACTCTGGGGCTCTTCCTGGAGTTCTCGGGGAGCGATCGCCACACCCGCTCACAAATTTGGTGACCGCTCCACTGTCTGCCCTTGAGTTCGTTATTCTCAAGCACCACGCCCAATCCCACAGCAGCACCTCCGATACCTCAACGCTGCGCACGAAGAAGGAAAAGAAGAACAGGAAAGGCTGGGGCAGAATGTCTGCTCTCTGTCCAATGTATACGAGCCAACCTGGCAACAGAAAAATTCGTAAAACCCCGAGCGGGGGTTATCGACTTTTTTTTAAATTTGTAGCTGTGATGAATTTGCCTTTAGCGACAAGCATAATCACGTTTTGCCGCCATAAGTGAAATGAGCGCACTGAATTATTTTCCCCTGTTTTTGGCACCAAAAGAAAGAACAACAAAAAAACATCGCGAGAAACAATGCTGGGAGTACCAAACACACGCGCAAACCTCGGCGCTGCGGTCTCATAATGGCCGAACACATGAGCGTAGGGTTTTCCACTAAGGTGAGAGTCTATAAGAAGGAGCGCAAGTGCTCCCGGCCGAAATTTCGCGACATCAAATGTAGGCGGTTCGTCCTGTATGTAGCTGACGCAGAAGCCTAGCTAATGTTCCAGCCGCACACAGTCGCACCGTGCATGATTAACGTCCTCTATCCGTAGCTTGTCTCACTGCAGCTACATGGGTTCGGGCAAATAAGGCAACAAGCTTGGTCAACAGCACGCTTTATTGCTATAGGTTGGCAATAATGCATAAACGCCACGAGGAGATACTACGGAAGACAAGGGTAGACGCTCACTCCTTGGTCGTTGTCGTCCTCGGCTCTCAGGGGGCTGCGGGTTTGACCTCCTCCTTCCTAGACCGGTGTCAGGGAGAGTTCGGTTGTCGGCACGCTGGTTTTCTTTACTGCCCCGGTTTCCCTTTCCTGACAAGTATACGTTCCCTCGCTGAGGGAGGGGAAACCCGTTCCATGCGTGGGAAAGGAGGATCTCGAGCGCAGGCCGCGGGGGTGTTCCTTCTCTTCGCAAGAGGCTTTATTGACTCTCAAAGGGACAGTCATGTCCCGGCAACTAGGCTGTCGTGCTGCCATAAAAGGGAAAGGGAGGCTGGGCGCACATGTTCCCCCACACAAAACAACTAGCAAAATATATTTTCGTTAAAACTCGCGTATGTCTTCCCGGGACGCACGTCAACGGACGGGATGGTGCAGCTGGCTGCTGCGAAAGCGCGAATAAAAGCTTTAGCTTTGCTCGCTACTAGATTCTTTGGACAGGAACGGCAAAACGCTTCTAGCCTCTTTTACGTCTTTGCCGTCTTTCATCCTGCCGCTGCGTTTTCGTCGAGATGTGACCTGCATTTTCGTCAATGCGGCCACATCTCGCACACACATTTCGATTTTAGGGAGATTTTCATGGCAACCCTACCAATGAGAGAAATGGTCGCAATCCCCGAGTCTCCCGGACAATGCCGGAGACTTTGCAAGTATGTGACGACGATAGCACCAATAGATATAGGTCTCTCCTGGTGGCAGAATATAGCACAAGGTAGTTTTTGTGACCTCCGCAGCCAGCAACGGCTATGCGCTGTAGCCAATCGAAGAGGCCACACTATTTTACCAACTTATTTTTTTTTATTGGAAACGAAATTTTTTAGTAAATATCAGGCAAAATTCGTAAAATCGTATGCGCAATCAAAATTCGTACATTTTACGGGAAGTCAAAAAGAGCTGGCAGGTATGCAAACGCCGATCTGGGACACGCCTGTGCCACGCTTCTCTCTTTTTCGTCCCTGCCACGTAGAGACCCTTCTCCTTTTTGCGCCGCGAGCGGAGAGAGGAAAAAAAAAAAAGCTGTCGTGGAGTGATGGTTAGAAGAGGAAAGAGGAAGAAAGGCACCCAATTTCTGCGGCCTGGTAGGGAGCACGATGCAGCGCCTCCACGGAGTGTTGGTTCTCTCTCAAATGCTGATCTGCGACGTGCCGGTGCCACACCTCCCCCTTTCCCGTCCTTGTCACGTAGAGATGCTTTTCCTTTCAATGCCGCGCGTGAAGAGAGAAAAAAAAAAAAAAAAAAAACGCTGCCGTGGAAAGTTGCTTGTCTTTCTAACGCCGATCGCTTCTCTCTGCGCGGAAACGCTCCTCTTTTCTCGTAACGTGCTGGCCACGCTGCGGCTGCCGTGTAGAGGGTAGCAGCGAAGGCGCAATCGTTCGCAGGAAGGTAAAGAATTCTCCAATTAGACTCGACCGCTGTCTACGGTAATTGAAGCATTATTTGTAGTTATTTAAATACTGCCGCGATTACAGTGTCTAGCAATTTTATTATTTCTTACGTCGTGCCAGGAGCCGCATAAGACTGCCCAGCGAGCTGCATGCGGCCCGTGGGCCGCAGGTTGCGGACCCCCGAGATGGACGGTTTGGCGCAATTTACGTCGATTTTATCAGGGTGGCGCAGCAAATATTGTTAAGCCCACTTTGGCACAGTAGGCGCAAAAGTGGGATCCCTGCACGGGGAAAGAAAATACCTCACGTGTGCTTTCTAAGCTTGTCGAGTGATTTGCCGAGAGAAGAGAGCAATCTTCAGCTGAGTTTGAGAATTTACTGTGATCGCACGCCGCGCTATAATATTTGGCTTGCGTGTCCTCGGTAGCCTTGACTGCCGATCGGCAGCGCTTTCTGACAGTGCTCAAGAGGTGTTGCAAGGCCTCTTTAAATTTGTTGGGGGGCTTGGCAGCAGAGCCGATTTCTACTGGACAAGTGCTTTCACGGTTCCACACTTCTACACTGCAGTGAAACTACCTTTACAGGCAGTACATTCGGACTAATATGCATTTATTCGTTTCTTGCAAATACTTCAAAATTTTCAACAATTTAAATTCGAATTGAAGCGAATTCAGATACCCTACTATTCGTTCGAATATTCGAAGCATTTGAATATTCGCACAAGCCTAGTTAAAACTCTTGCAGAGTCAGTTCAGTTACTATGGCACATCATGCTCAAAGGATCATATATCACACAGACGTTCAATGTAATGCTGGGAACATTATCAAGCTCTGCCTAAACAACAGAAGCGCATGCGTTACGCAGAGATCAATTAAAAAAATTTTGTACCTTGAAAAATTTTTGAAGCAGCTGGCGAAATTGTAACCGGCAGCTGCTCTTGACGAGCGAATTCTCTGCAATCGTCTCGAAAATGTCGGTAAGGATGTCCAATGCAGCTTGAGTGTCCTTGTCTTGTCGTTTTAGGACCCACAAAGGATTATCTGTAATATCATTGACAAATTTGCTGTTCACAGTGAATGTATCACCCCTTAGCAAACGTTCAAGTGAATTACTATACAGCAGGCTTAAGTCGAAACACTGCACTTACATTAGATGTATTTTGCGGATACAAAACAGGCCAAAAATACAGCAGCATAGCATATGCAACCTTAGATTCACAATCCAAGGTGGTGTTCACTGGCTTCGAATGTTCCGCTGCCTCTTAGTCGAACACCATGTTTGCCATGCGCACACACTCGCACACTGAGACAACCTTCGTCCCTTCTTTCATGGCCATCGAATCTCCTTCTGTTCATGTTGCTGACCACTTTGCTTTTAGTTTAGAACTCTCAAGAGGAAGGTATATAACAGCTGCACCTTGCCAGTACTTATCTACGGAGCAGAAACCTGGAGGCTTACAAAGAGGATTTAGCTTAAATTGAGGAGAACGCAGTGAGCGATGGAAAGAAAATGATGGGTGTAACCATATGCGACAAGACGAAAGCAGAGTGGGCCAGAGGACAAACCGGAGTTGAAGATATCATAGTTGAAATCAGGAAGAAGAAATGGACGTGGGCTGGGCACGTAGCACGTAGGCAGGATAATCGCTGGTCATTAGGGGAACTGACTGGATTCCCAGAGAAGGCAAACACACGAAGGGAGACAGAAAGTTAGATGGGCTGATGGGATTGAAAAGTTCGCAGGTATAGCGTGGCAATGAAAAGCACAAGACTGGGTTGATTGGCCAACATCAGAGAGACCTTTGCTCTGCAGTGAGCGTAGCCAGGCTGATGATGATGAAGATGAATTGCAAGGGGCCCGTAAAATCGCAGTGCCCATCAATCGTTGAACCCACTAGGAGAAAACAGTAGCTGCAAAGTGTGGATGGTGAAGCTTTAGCTGAGGTGGGGCGCTACCACACGACAGGTTGTGAATTAGATCCCTCCCTGCAGCCGCTGCATTAAACAAATTATGAACCATCTCCCCGAAGGGAACCTAGTTGAGATGCGAAGCAGCAGCGGTGCGCACGCCGTTGATCCGGCTGAAACTGGCATCAACGCCGGTGCTGAAAAAACCGTTTGAAGCAAAGCTCGGTGTAGCCTTTAGTTGAGCAAACGTTTCTTTGAAACGCAAAGACACGGAAGATGGGTTGGGTTTCATGCATGTTTCATGCAGCCGGAAGAGTGTTTGGGTTTCATGCAGCCGAAAGAGTGTTTTCATTCAACGTGCGGTCAAGTGTTGCGAGCAGAAAGAGGAGCGTGTTAACACCACTTAAGTTTTTTGGGAGGAGCTGGAAGCTGCTACGAATGAGAGAGAAAGTGATGTCAACATGCAGCTGGCCCTTGACCTACATGGCATCGTCCAACAACAGCGGCGGGGGCGGACGCGGTGCGGCGCGTTGACACAGAGACACAGAAGGACAGCGTTACACAGGATAGCCAAAGAGCAGCTTCGCATCTAGAAGGTTGGTGCCTTAGCCATACATTTAGAAGTACAAAATGGTCATCACCACGTTCTCACCCTTCAATGCTGCCACAGGTTTCACGCCGTTGATGACTGCAGTCAAGCCACTGATGACCATGGCAGAGGGAACACGCCCATCTCGAACTGCAGCCACCGCAAACTCATACTCGCCGCAAGCTGCCTTTTCAGCCAGCAGTCGGCGGTAAAACCGCAATGCTTCCTGAAAGACTTCAGCGTTTTTCGTTGAGGATGCCAGGCCATTCAGGAGGGAGCAACAAATGCATCGAAGCTGTGCTGCTGCATATCCTGTGCTTGGGAAGCAAAGCTCTTCCAATGTCTTCACCTGCAATAGCAATGCAACTTTTAAGGTAATTAATCCTATGGTTGCCGGATACCTTCATTGCAATAGCAACTTATATCGACAGCTGAGGTGAACTTCTCTTGTCACAATACAGTCAACGTCCGAAATCCCAGACTCTCAAGGGAATGCGAAAACATTTTGAAAATCAAGCAGTCTGGAAAAACGAATGCAAGCTAAACCAGACTTTCTTGATAGGTATTTTTCGCTGACAGAGAGGGTCGCAGCAGGAGTATAGGATTCTCATTCAATTCAGCTAATTCATGTAGATGCTTTGAAAAGAATAGAAAGTTGGGCGAGTTGGTGTATATTCATAATAAATGAAAAGTGGCGCACAAAAAGACGGAGACAAAGAAGAGAACAGCGCTGTGTGTGGTTCTCTTCTTTGTCTCCGTCTTTTTGTGCGCCACTTTTCTTTTAATATGCTTTGAAAAGAGCAGATTTTACAAAAAAAAAAGAAAGAAAAAAAATCCGATGTAGCCGGCGTTACTGCATTTGTACACACTTAGGCGCAAAAATACAGTCGCTATTTTCATTTGCATGGCATTCCATTTTCCCACCATGATGTCTGCCTTAATTTCAGCTAACGCCATGCTGTCGCTGCACACCGATGACAATGTCAGTGCCCGCGCTAAATTCGAGCTCGTTGGCTGTTTAGGTGCTGCCTCTCAGTCTCGGTGTCGGAGTCATCGGAATCCTCCATAACTTGATGTTACTGCGCTGTGTCTGAAAAGGGCACTTTTTTCACAAACGGTGCCTGCCCAGCGAGCGAAGAAATCTTTGTGCGCCCGACAACTAAACGCAATCGTTCCTGTCAAAGTCGAAGGCGCGCGATTTTTCCCACCGAAGGATAAGCGCGCGCGCACACAAAAATCTACCCCTCCCCGCACCCCACCTCAACTCACGGGGCAAAGTACGCGTTGGAGATAAACGCGCATCGGCGCATCGTGATGAGCTGCAGCGCGCCGAGCACGGCGGCTTTTTTTTAAATATGATACCTTCGACGCAAAAATTTTGACCTGTCTGTCAGCACCTTTGTCTGTTTGTCCACCCTTAACGACGCCCTTAAAGACGTGGAATCGGCAATGAGTAAAGTAAAAACACAGTATACAATACTGATGGGAGACTTTAATGCAAAGGTACGAAAGAAGCAGGCGGGAGGCCAGGCAGTAGGAGATTATGGCATCGGTACTAGAAACGCCAGAGGAGAGCTACTAGTAGAATTCGCAGAACGCAATAATTTACGGATTTTGAATACCCTCTACCGAAAACGAGGAAACGGCAAGTGGACATGGAGGAGCCCTAATGGCGAAAATAAGAACGAAATAGACTTTATAATGAGTGCACACCCAGGCATCGTGCAGGACGTAGAAGTGGTTGGCAAGGTACGATGCAGTGACCATAGAATGGTACGGTCTCGAATTCGCCTAGATTTGAGGAAGGAACGACAGAAACTGATACGCCAGAAGCCAATCAATGAGCTAGCCCTGAGAGGGAAAGTAGAGGAATTCAGTCTCGCTTCAGAACAGGTACTCGGCTCTTAGTGAGGAAACCAACCTTAGCATAGATACAATGAATGATAATCTGACGAGTATCATTACGGAGTGTGCAGTGGAAGTTGGAGGCAGGGTAGTTAGACAGGACACTGGCAAGCTTTCCCAGGAAACGAAAAATCTCATTAAGAAGCGTCAAATCATGAAAGTCTCAAGTACAACAGACAAAATAGAACTGACAGAGCTTTCAAAGCTGATTAATAGGTGTAAGGTATCCGATGCAAGAAGGTATAACATGGAGAGAATTGAACACGCTCTGAAAAACAGAGGAAGCGTCAAAGCAGTGAAAAGGAAACTTGGGACAGGCAAAAATCGGATGTATACACTAAGGGAAAAAGAAGGCAAAATAAATACCAATATGGATAGGATAGTTAAAATAGTGGAGGAGTTTTACAGAGATCTGTACAGTAGCCGGGACAAACACGACTTTAATACTATAAGAACTAGCAGTAACCCAGTTGACACCCCACCAGTAATAATAGAAGAAGTCAGAAAAGCTTTGGAGAGCATGCAAAAAGGCAAAGCTGCTGGTGAGGATCAGGTAACATCAGATCTGCTGAAAGATGGAGGACAAATTGTGTTAGAAAAACTAGCCACCCTGTTTACGAGGTGTCACCTGACGGGAAGGGTACCAGAGTCTTGGAAGAACGCTAACATCATCTTAATACATAACAAAGGAGATGACAAGGACTTGAAGAATTACAGGCCGATTAGCTTGCTCTCTGTAGTATACAAGCTATTTACAAAGGTAATTGCTAACAGAGTAAAGAAAACATTAGAATTCAATCAACCAAAGGAACAAGCAGGATTTCGAACAGGCTACTCAACAATCAACCACATTCATACTATCAATCAGGTAATAGAGAAATGCTCAGAATATAACCAACCACTATACATAGCTTTCATAGATTACGAGAAGGCGTTTCATTCAGTAGAAATATCAGCCGTCATGCAGACACTGCGGAATCAGGGCGTCGATGAAGTATATATAAATATCCTGGAAGAAATCTACAGCGGATCAACTGCTACCATAGTGCTTCATAAAGAAAGCAACAGAATACCAATCAAGAAGGGTGTAAGGCAGGGGGACACAATCTCCCCAATGCTATTTACCGCGTGCTTACAGGGGGTTTTCAGAAGCCTAGAATGGGAACAGTTAGGGATAAGAGTTAATGGAGAGTACCTTAGTAGCCTGCGCTTCGCCGATGACATTGCATTGCTGAGTCACTCAGGGGACGAATTGCAACTCATGATTACGGAGTTAGACAAGGAGAGCAGAAAGGTGGGTCTTAAAATTAATCTGCAGAAAACGAAAGTAATGTAGAACAACCTCGGAAGAGAGCAGCGTTTCGAGATAGGTAATAGTGCACTTCAAGTTGTAAAAGATTATGTCTACTTAGGGCAGGTAATAACCGCGGAGCCGAACCACGAGATTGAAGTAACTAGAAGAATAAGAATGGGGTGGAACACATTTGGCAAGCACTCTCAAATTATGACAGGTAGACTGCCACTATCCCTCAAGAGGAAGGTATATAACAGCTGTATCTTGCCGGTACTTAGCTACGGAGCAGAAACCTGGCGACTTACAAAGAGGGTTCAGCTTAAATTGAGGACGACGCAGCGAGCAATGGAAAGAAAAATGGTAGGTGTAACCTTAAGAGACAAGAAGAGAGCAGAGTGGATTAGGGAACAAACGGGGGTGAAGGATATCATAGCTGAAATCAAGAAGAAGAAATGGACATGGGCTGGGCATGTAAGGCGTAGACAAGATAACCGCTGGTCGTTAAGGGTAACTAACTTGATTCCAAGAGAAGGCAAGTGGGTTAGGGGGAGGCAGAAGGTTAGGTGGGCAGATGAGATTAAGAAGTTTGCGGGTGTAAATTGGCAGCAGCAAGCACAGGACTGGGTTAACTGGCGGAACATGGGAGAGGCCTTTGTCCTGCAGTGGACGTAGTCAGGCTGATGATGATGATGATGATGATGATGATGAACGACGCCCTAAAAGGCACCGGAGTGACCGACCCGACCGATACCCCGAACAGCCGAACCCATCCACAGCACCTACCAATATTGCTCAATGTTCAGCGTTCATACTTGTGCGATTGTCAATTTAAAAGCGATTATTGTGCATATCTGAGACACCATAACAACATGTCAATATTTTGTATGTATATCTTTTACTAGACAAGGCATACATAAGCAATTCTAAGGACCATAGCGTTTATCACGCTGCGCTGACCATGCAACGCTTGCACGAAAGGCAAGTGTTTCCAACGCTTTGCTAAGATGACACGGTGGTGGCACCTACCTGACGCCTTGCGTTCTACACCTTATCACCTCCGAGATGAGCGCGCATGCCGCGGGCGCGCTTCGTTTTCCAAGATAACTGCCAGATGCCACTCATGTCTCACGTGTAACGTGACTTGATGCACTCTGAGACTCCATATAATTCTATCACCATAAGAAAAAAAAATTCCGCCATATCCACGAAGTGAATGATGATGAGTGGGCGAAGCTCCGGAGGTAAACCTGGTAAACCATGAATCCTCTGTACATTTTGCCCACTCGATTTTATTACATCGCTCCCCCTAGCGTACGTCGCCGCACTAAATCGAACGATTGCCTTTAACCAATGACACGCGCCATATGTGACATCATTCCTATTTTATAAGATCTCGCGTCTTTCATCAACTACAAGTACCGCTTTCTAGTTTATAACATCTTGCATCTTTTCATCATCAGCTACAAGTACCACCATCTAGTAAACACTACAAGAACTAAACGAGAGGTGGCTACATACAGGAGACGGTACCACCATCTAGTGAACACTGCAAGAACTCAACTAGAGGTGGCTACATACAGGGGACGGTACCGCCATCTAGTGAACACTGCAAGAACTAAACTAGAGGTGGCTACATACAGGCTACAGGGGACGCACAGCCCACGCCCTCAGGAGCTTCGCCCCTAAAAAAATCTGAACGTCGTCGGGGCCACACCATGCATGCGCGAGCGGGGTCGAAAACAAAGACGGAACGACACGTACACAGACACACACACGGATACCGCGGAAAACTATTCGGTAAAGCACCCTCCATAGGCAACGCGTGCCCACATATGTGACGCTAACTAAAAGCGTGGCACTGCCAACACGCAAAAGTAGTTTTCTTTTTTTGTTTTGATTTTGGTTAAAAGATGAGGGGGGGGGGGGGTGGCGGCGGGAACGGCGGCCACATTGGCTCGTGAGGTGCAGGCCTGCCTGCCCACCTGGCGCACACCCGCGCGCAATAACGAGCTTGGTGTGCCGTGCATGCCGACACCGCTTCGTCGGAGGCGGGGCAGCCGCAGAAGATGCATGCTCATACCAAAATGCGAAGCGAAATTCCTAGATTGTCTGCGGAGAAAATTCGTTATATCAAGGTTGTCTCCCACTGTTACTTTGTTACATAGAGGTTGAAAATACATGCGCTTCTATGGAGTGACGGTGGGGAATTGAAAAACTTTATTATATTAAGGAATTCGTTATATAGAGGTTCGTTAAAAGCAGGTTTAACTGTACATTTTTACAGTGCAGGATAGGAAAATATAAAATCGGGAAGGCACCTTGCGCACATCACAATTAGATATCAGGGTAAAATTAGGTCGGTAATGTCACCTCAACTGCTGAAGCAAAATGACACACAAAATATTATTCCATGTTAACATTTGGTACAGCCTAAGTATTAATTACAGACATCAGTAGAACTGCATGCAATGTTTGCTACTTGTTTAGTACAGCTGTGAAAAAAGAAAAAAAAGGAGGGGGGAAAACATCCAGCAAAAGTTTGAGTCACCAGCAATAATACAGGTGCACATTCTAAATGTTCACTTTTTCTAACAATCACAAATGTTTTCTCCTCGATACCACGTATGAGAGTAGTGCACTACATAAGATTGAGCCCAGCGTGCTGCACATAAAATTGTTTACACGCGAAGCAACTTTTTCTTGGGGCTGTGTCAATCCCTAGGCGACGGTCTGCTCCCCCACTGCGCACGCCAACTCGCCCCCTTCTCCTCGCGTGAGCACGAAGAAGGGCGGTGGGGGAGGTGGTCAAGCACTGCCTCTGCTTCGTTTCTCCTCTCCTGTTTATCGCTCCTCCATGACGCCACCCAAACTGACTCAATTTCAGAAGGTTTGTTTTCTGACTAGAAACTGGCCCAGAGCTGTGCCACATGTTCTGGCATGTGTGTTGCGTGTGCGCATCTTGCTCGCTCTTGATGTGCATGCGTGTTCAGCATGGTGGACAGGAGGCCTCGCATGCTTTTTCCTGCCGCTCAGCAAAACGTTGAAAGTGTGACCGCTTGGCTTGGCCGTAATCCGTGCGTTAGGTGCCGCATTGCAGAGTGCTCGCTCATAGCTTCCAACCACCTGGCAGCTAACGTGCCACTTCGGACGTCCCGGTATTCAGCTGTAAAGATGGCGCATATTTCGTGAGTGGCGGTGATGGCTACATGCACGCAAAACTGCTTTCGCGAGGCCGACTTCGTCGACGTCGGGCCCGATGCCGAGCCTGAAGCTTCCCAACAGGACCCCTCCGGCGGCGATTTATGGCAGCGCGTTGTCGACTGACCGGGCAGAGCGGGTGGGACATCTGTTGCGATGGTTTAATTACAACCAATGATGATGCCGACACCGCGGAACCGTCGACGGATTAGGGCATTGTGAAGTAAGTACGCGGCAAGAGCAATTTGGAGGAATCAGATTGGGAGAACGGCGAAACTCTGGAGACAGTGCCTCATGCAGCTTATGCTACGGGCCTCAGTGAAGAGGACGCTGCGTTTTAAATTAACTCGAGACCGCCCTTATCACTTCTGCTCTTTGAAACACGTGCATCATGGACTTATTTGGGCAAAAAATTTTGTGTTTTCACTCGCAAACTTTTTAAAAGCTGTGTTTCATTCACTACGAGCTTTGGGATACAGCAAACGGATGCCGCGTCAGGCTCAGGTTCGTTATAAGTGTACTCGACTGTACTTTTATTTTTCGCGAAATCTATGGCTCAGCAGGGCTAAGGTCACGGTCGTGATTTCAATATGACATTTCGTTTGGTTGTGTGACAGCACGCAGGTAAAGGGACAATGGATCCGCTTAATGTCATTCGTTATAAATGACATTAGATTTGCCGTATGACAGGGCTATAATACACTCTTTCTCAAGCTTTTCCCTTTCCCACGTAAATATAAAATGCTGGTGCTGCTTCTTACCAGAGCCAGGGGCTGCTCAACCTTCCCTACAGTCTCCGCAATGTTGGCCAGTAGCAACTCGGTGATGGTGTCCAGGTCCACTGCTCCTAAAGCAGCCGCCATCCTCTCTGCAAAACAGTTAGCCATTGAATGACATTACCCAGTCGAGGCCTCTTTGCTCAATAAGTTAAGTGTCCTACTTTCCAGCCTATAACACGCACCTTTTTCTCTGAAGTTTTCGCTGGCGTGTCTATACAAAAGTGCGCCTTATATAAGCAAAATGTCATGCGATCTTGAGTGACCAATATGTCCACATTTCATTTGCGAGTAAGATAAGCTGCATGAAAGCATTCGTAAAACATATTGTAATCCTGTTATAACAACGAAGCAACATTGATGTCATGCAGAAGCTACTGTATTTACTCAAATTTAGGCCAACTCTGATTCTAAGCCGACGTTCAGTAGTCTGAAGCCAGATAAAAAAAATACATAAAATGTAGGCCTAATGAATCAGTGAAGACACCATGCACTAAGACAAAACGTCTATTGAACATGAAGATGAAACAAAGCAGTTCGTTTACAATTCTAATACCTCGAGAAACACATAGTCACTAGTTCTGTTGTGTGTGTTTCTCTTTCATTGTTTTTTTCATGCTGCTTCTAATTATTTGAATCATAAAGATACCGCGCTCATTTCGAGTCATCGTCGCTGCTTTCCTTGTCACCGATTTCTTTGTTGCTGTCTTCAAGCAGTGCGCAATCCTTGGTGCCATCAAGCGCATTAAACATGCCGCACTTCTTAAAAGAGCGCACAATCAAAGTTCCTGGGATGCCGTCACACGCTGCAGCCCCTCCGGCGACGCACATTTTTTTTCGTCCACCCCAAAGTCCTGCCCAGCTTGAATGTTGGACGACGGCTCCCCAGCTGCAACAACTTTTCTTTTATAAGCGGGGCTATAACAACACCGCTTGTTTGGCGCCATTGAGCTACGCCACACACAGACCTCTTGAAGCGCGACGCGAAATGACAAAACAGCTTGCCTCAACACTCGCCACAAAGATCAAAATGGCGGCCACACGTGTGTACTTAAGCCAGGTGTTGGCTCGGCTACTAATGGCGAAAATACAGTCTAGGTGACGCTAGTTGTGCATCCTTCTTCTCAGTGCATTTTTCAAAACCCTCGTATCTAAGCCGATCATCAAGTTTGATACAAATAAATTTGAAAGACATCATCCGCCTAGATTCGAATAAATATGGTACTTGCCGTAAAACAGCACTGCGACCACTCAGATTATGACCGCCACTGTCACGCAGACTATATTGTTGTCTTGAAGCATTAAACCCACAGAACTGATGAAATAAATAAAAGAGGGGCACCCCACTGTGTGCCAGTCCCATCTGACACGACTAACTAAATAGTATGAGTAACCAACTGCAACGTTTTATCGCAACATATAGTGGCCATGATGTACCAGTTATAAAAATGAATGAAGGCACCACTTGATTATCAGAGTCATCAATTTTCATTAGAGACTTCTCGGCAATCCAACAGTAGTCATCCTGCTGCCAATGACATTTTGTGCCTGTAAATTTCGGTGGTTTCAGTAGTTTCGGTGAGTGTGCGGCACTATCGTTGGTCAACTGGTTGGTTGCGTGTTCCTGCAGAGTCTTATATTGATGCAGAGCCAACGCCATCGATCTGCTTGAAGGTGCTTACCATGCCGATCGAAATGCCTAGAGGCCAACAACGATAAACCAGCGTTTCAAATGAAATTCCGTGGAATTCTTGGGCCGTCTTGAAAATTGTTGCCTTACCAATCAAAGGCAGGCTACTTTCAAAATGATCGCCTTATTATTCAAAAATTATTCAAACAGTAGACTAGTATTCATATTCGGTGTCCTCACTGTATGATTCTGTTTGGAATTTCACTATACTAAAACCTAATTATAACGAAGCTGCAAATTACATGAAAATAAATTTGTTATATTTGAAAATTGGTTATAAAGGTATACTTTTAACACTATAAATATTGCAGGACTATTTTTCATTTACTTTATCACAGTCAATATTGAATTTTATCTGGGTTCGTTACATCGAAGCTTGAATGTATTCACACACCCCTAATAATTACATATACTGAGCCTTAACTTCAGCAACCATCACACAGTACACATATATTCCACACTTACTGTCAGTGGTGACAGTCTTGAACATTGGAAACCGCTGAAGGGCCCGGCTAGCATATGCCACGCGGGCAAGCGATATCTCAGACTTCTCCGTCGGCATCAGAAAGGGAAGCAGTGTTGCAAGCAACTGCCCTTCATCCACAACGGCGCAAAGGTCATCGCATACAAATGCCAATGCTCGAGTGCGAAGATCAAACCTGCAGTAAAAAAAATAAATAAAAAAGCATGGACCGATTCAGTGTAGTTGCCAGATGGTGAATACATTACGCCTGCAATGTCATAACCCACGGTGGCACTAGAGACAAAGGCACCTTGTCATTTGACACACAGCGCAACATCATATGGCGTTGCCTTACCTAGAACTCCTCAGAGCCAAAACTTCAACATTCATAAACTGAATGCAAGGCTTTTACTCTTCAAGCTACAGTGATACACACGCAACACAGCCGGACAAAATCGCCGCGCAGAAACATTCACATTATATCATGCATGCCATCTGAATACAAATATCCTCGTCACAAAATGTCATGCTGCTTTTTCATTATCAATGCAATCTGTGAGTGTTGCGTACATCTCTTCTTGAGGGAGCCAGTAAGCAGTACTATTCACTGCCTGGGGAAGTCAATCAAATTCACTGCAAAACAACCTTGATACCTCAGCTATCTTTCTCGACATGGTTCAGTTTCGTTGTGATTTCTTGCAATGGTTCCAGGAGTACACTGCTCAACCCTCCTGCCTCCCCTTAGCACAAGCATACCGCACAAGCATACCAAGAATGTTTAAAGAATTTTATTAATAGTGATTTATGCTGCAGCGGGTATTATTTCTGGCTACAGTAAAGCCCCGTTAATTTGAACTCAGTTATTTTGAAATCCTGCTTAATTCGAAGTATTTTTGCAGTCCCGTATTTCGCAATGTAAGTTTGAGTGGATAATTTGAAGCGGGAGTCAGTACAAGTCTGGTTAATTCAAAAACTTTGGGTGCGGTGCGCCCATTCCCAATCCCGATTTCACCGCAAATCCGCGGAAACGACGGACCTTAACAGCCACTAGGCAATGTACTTTAGCGATACTAATGACTGGTAGCTGAAGCACTCTTGCCTCCCTACTTCCAGCACGAAAAATAAAATTATATTAAAAAAAATAATAGTCTTGTGATCAACTAAAATATGCGCCTGTGGAAAGCAAGATGTGCTCCACTGCAATACACGAACAATGTGCAGGCAGCATGTCGCATGCTTCTCGCAACGTCAGTGTGTCACGATTTATTCATTCTTTCCGGGAATTTAAGTAATAAAGGACAGTCTGCAGAGATCCACGATGTATGCGAACCTCTGAGCGCCGGTTTCTCCAGCAATCCACTCACTTTCACAGCTGGTGGAGTTCTTGCCTGCAACGCCTACTTTGAAAACTCTGGTCGAAAGCTTCAACGGTGATGTTTTCCAGCGAAAACACATTGCAAATTTTGTCACACTGTCCGCTATTAAATTCTTTATTTCATGACAAATAAATGGACGAATGGTCGCATCATGACGTGCTGACGCAGCGAGGAGCAGGCGACATGCTGCCCGCGTGTCACTACTGTGTTGCAGTGTCTCTTTCGCAAACGCTAATTTCAGCTGTTTTTTTTTTTTTACAGTGAGACAGCAGTTAGGCCCAGAATTTCCCCTTGTTTGCAGCAAAACAAGGTATTACTCGAAAACATGACCCTCAGAGCCACCAACTAGCCGGAACAGCAAATGACCAGCCCTGACTAATATGATTAATTTCAAGTTCCTTGCATTCCACATTTTGTATGTTCTGGTAATTCGAAAACCTGCTTCATTCAAGATTTCTCACGTTCCCAGTGACTTCAAAATAACGAGGTTTTACTGTACATAGGTATGCACCAACAAAACATGAAGATGAACTAGCGCAAGCATGAAGACCCATCAAGATAGTAAACGCTAGTATTGCTTCTTGTTACAATTTCTGCGCACTCGAAGACTTCTACATTTTTCTACATCTTACATATACAGTTTCAGTGAAAAACAATATACAGTGAACTCCCTTTAAGACGAACTCGAAGAGACCATGAAGAATTGTTTGTCTTATCAGATGTTCGTCTTATCAGAAGCACCCTCGAAAAAAGAATTGGCTACATACCTAGGTGCATGCAAATATCTTAGTTCAAAACAAAGTATCAAGTACACTTACAGTGAAGGAAAAAGACACAAAAATAATTTATTTGAGGGAGTAACCTGACAGGCAACTGCTTTCAAGTGCTCTTGCTCGGCTTGATCCAGTCCATAATGGACGTCTGTTGCAGGTCACTTGCAGGTCTGTTGCAGGTCCAATCGTTGCAGGTCACTTCATCAACGGCGGCGGCCTCACCGGCAATAGATCAGAACACAAGTCCATGTCTTTTTCTGAAGCGATCGAGCCGCCCGTCGCGGCAGGCATACTCGATGTTCATTCATAGGGCAATTTCCTCCGCTTTTGCCTTCAGAACTACGCCATTCACAGGCAGATTCACGCTACGAGCACGTTGGATCCATGCGAGTAGAACATCCTCCAAGCCATTAAGCGCAGCCGTTCGCATCTTCTTTTGCTTTGGCGCGAAGTCTCCATCGCTCAATGCAGCGGTTACCCGCGCACTATCCTTCACGATGCCCGTTAGCATGCTCTTTGCAATTCGGAACTTGCGTGCAATCTCGGTCTTCGTGAGCTTGCCAGCTCTTACTTCGGACAAAATTTCTGCTTTCCTTGAAAGCTCGATTGGCTTTCGTTGTACGGTTGGCTTGCTGGCCATTTTCAATGAGACAAGCGAAGCAAACAATGCGCATGGAATAGAAAACGTGCGATCGCAGGCTCGGCGCAGAGAAAGAACTCGTTTCCTCGGCGATGGCGGTGGCAGCGACGGCGAGGTCGGAGAGGTAGAACATCCATGTGGAGAGAGCTGTGGCTGTACGATGCAAGCTCATATGTTCCCGTTGAGAAACGGCATTGGTCATGAGAGCTGCTCTCTTCGCGACTAGGGTGTCTCGATCGTCATTTTGTTTTTTTACTTTTTCTCCTGCTTGCTTCTTCGCGGCCGATAGCCGATCTCAAAACTCTCTCGCTCTCTCATTTTTTTCTTGTTTGCTTTGCCGCTCGCTCTGCAGGTCAAAGTGCGGGTGATGCCGCGGGCCATTCTTTTGTCGCTGCCTCCCTCCCTCCGCCTTGGCGCGAATTCGCTTTGCGCCATTGCTGCTTTTGTATTTTCTTCCCCTCTGGCCGCGGGAATGCCCCCACAAGATTGCCATAATTCCTCTGTAGAATCGCCTCGGTCTTCCGGTCTCCGCGAAAGTGTTCGTCTTAACAGAAGAGCAGGTGCAAGGCTGTTCGTCTTAAGAGGATTTTTTTCGCATTGGGTCTATGGAAAACCAAACAAACGTTCTCACGTTGTTCGGCATAAGCGAGAAATCGTCTTAAACGAGTTCGTCTTAATGGGAGTTCACTGTATCAGAGCAACCACGGTATCTAAAACTTTTTCTCACAGCCGTGCACGACTAGTGCCACAACAAATCCTAGAAACAAAACCAAGGACGGCGGTCAAAACACACCATTTTGTGCTTTCTTCTGTAGGCTCAAACAGGATTCGCTTCAAGGTGTTCAGGACAAAACTCTGCTCCAGAAAGTTGCAGAGGTCCTAGAAAGCAAAAAAGACGCACTTGAGGCAGGAATAAGAAAAACAGAGCAGGTCTTAAATGAAGTCGGGCTAGTTGTTGAGGACATGATGCCGGATAAAGCTACAGCTACAGTGAGAAAACAAGCGTTTGTGCAAATTTTGTTTGTGATTTTGCTTTTGTGGTGCATCAAATACATTAGCAAGCTTTGTCAATGCAGAAAACTTGCCAGTGACTTCAGTAACTGCCAGCCAACATTTTAGTTTTGGTATTACGGCAAGGCACATCAGACAAAGGCAGAAGAGATGGTTTAACACAAACGCTGTAAGACAGCATACTGAAGTAAGCCAGCGAATGTGAAGAAAGTAACAAAATTGACTCCAGTGTTTTTTCGTTTCATAAATGAATGAGAAGCGACTTATTCTGTTTGTAGGGTTGGCACAGCAGACTCTCACAGCGAAACGTTTCAAGAAACCTCTCGATAGCTTTTTTTCTTTTGGTCCACTTTTCTTTCTTCACATGTACACACCAATTACTTGTAATAATATCCCCTATACTTTCCCTGGCATTATTGTCTGTTATTTCTCATTAAAAATGTGACTGACAGCTAATGTTTTGCACTGCATTTGGTTACACTGCCCCGCAAAGAACCAAAACAACTCTAGTCAAGGCACCCCCCTAACGTTTGAGACAAGATCGAAAACTCACATGAGTGCAAGTAGATAAACCTCACTGCCGTCCAGGCAAATGGTACTAGATATGGTTCTTGTATCCGGGAGTAACTGCTGCTATTTACTGCTGCGTAGTGCATACAATAGAGCTTGCATGTCCAGCGAAAAACTAAGCAAAGAATGAGCGAGCAAGCATTCATTTACACAACACACAGGCACTCACCTTGCCGAGTGCAAGCACTGCCTGCACCACTTCGGGCTCTGTGTCTGCCAAACGGCTACGCAACGACTCTCGAGCAAACTTTTCCTCCACATCCTGCACACAAAAGAACAACTTCTTGAGCAACCCTCCCGGGACAACAAAGAAGTATGCGTCGTCTCTGATGATGCCACGTAGAAGGCACGAATGTACTCGGCAGTAAAACGAAATGCCAGTGCGCATTCTTGTTACAAAGAAGCACAGAATGTACCCAGCTTCATCGCAGCAACAGCACAACACTACAGCTCCTCTGGTTTAGAAACGCGTTTAGATTTTATGAACAAAAAGTTTTAGAGCATAAATAAATGAAACATCACAAAATTACACATTGTGTAATTAATGTAATATGTAATGGTAACTATACAATTATGTTTTATATTATTTATACAAGTACTGCATAAATAAACTAAACATTGAATAAAGAGACATGTAGAGACAGCATAAACAGAGTACAAACCAACATTATTTGATGCAAAAAGCTACACATTATGCCTCTATTTTCACCTACCAAGAACCACATAAGAGCAAACAAAAACTTGTACACAAGAGGAACTGTAGATCTGCTATTTCATCAACATGTTGTGTGGCTGTCAAAGGAAAGCATTTATAAACTGAGTACACTTCAGCATAGATAATTCAAAGATTTTTTTTATACACAATTCCATCTGAATGTCTAGTCCTGGCAAAGTTGCACGTTTTCTAAGTAGAGAAAAATATTCTAAATTCATAGTCTAGAAACTATTTAAGAGTAATTTCAAACAAAATCTCTGATGACTATCGAATGCCTTTTTTATGTACCCTCATCCTCCCTCTCTTTTCAGTGTGTTTGCAAAGCCTTGAGGTGCAGTGACCCCCGACCCAATGAAGGTCCAAATGCAGCACGTACAAAGTGTTATTTGGGAGTGATCACTTCATTCTCGGGGGTCCCGTGCGCAGTGCACAGCAGCTGCTTTACAGCTGCAACATGCAAGGCCGAGCTTTCTCACGAATCATGCGATTACAGAGTACAACAGTTTGTCTCTATTTCCCAAATGAGCGTGGTTGACACAGAGAATGACAGAGCTGTGAGTTTCCGGCAACTCAATGATTATGCAATGTGAATCATGGGTAATGCAATGCGCAATGAACACAATAAACAACATGCATAAGTACCATCATTGTTCGAAACATAAGCACAAGTAGGCCGGTGATTAAGAGCGTGTAGTCACATATAACCTGGCTTCCCTATTACAGTCAAATCTCGTAATAGCAAACCTCAGTATGATTATTTTTCAGATTAACGAATTTTTCGAAAATCCCCCTCTATATGTCCATTGGTTTAATGTAAAAATATTTCACTACTGCGAATTTCAGTATATTGAATGTTTCAGAATAACATATCGAATTTTATCCCCCCAACACTTGAGAATAACGAATAGCGATTTTAAAGTTACTCGCAGCTGTAGAAATAATGCCCAGCTCCATAAGTGCCACTATCATCATCATCATCAGAGCGTCCCTGTATTTCTAAATCTGCCCGCCCTGTTCAAATGTGCGATAGCCCTATCGCCATCTACATCATCTGATACTTGTTTTTTACGTCAGGCTAGTCAGGCTTAGCTCCGTTGCCTTTGCTTTGTTGGAAGGCTTGACCTAAGCTTGTTCCACGGCTGTTTTCTAGCGTTTAGATAGGAGGTTGAACATTCAAAATTAGCTCTGGAAGCAGCGCGAAAGAAATGCTGCGACAGCGAAAAGTGCAATGCGAGACACCTATGGGATGAAGACGCCGATAATTATCGTGCGTGCTTCACTAACGCTTCAACATTACGCACAGTGCGACGACGAAGCATGCACGTGTGCTTAGATGATGACCGATAAGATATATACAATTTGTTCTGGAAAGGGCGACGAGAGCAACGACGGCATTGAAACAGCACGCGCGAACCAACTTGAAGAATCGGTGTTTAAGGCTGACGTTTCGCAGCGCGTAAGAAGAATGCGGAAGCTTAAGAGATTGTTTTTCAGCGGTTGAGTTGCCCACACCAAGATAGATTGTGCTTTTTCTCAAACAAACATGCACTGATCCATAATATTTGGTGTTTGTCTTTTACACACTTATTCGAGCATAACATGGTTGCGAATGTGTACGCAGCACAGGCAGGTGACTCACATGTTTGCGTTTACAATTCTTGTGTGCAAATTTTTATTACTTTCCCTACGCCTTTTCAAAATAACGAATGATTTTTAGTGGTCCCTTGAGATTTGGTGTATCAAGACAGCCTCCAGCATTGAAGGCACTTCAAGCTTCCTGCACCACACCTGCTATATTTACTCGCATAATAGGCGCAACCCCAGTTCTGTCGCAAAAAATCAGATTTTTTTATTTCCGCTTATAATAGGTGCACTTCGAACTTGGTCGTCACCAATGTATTTGCACAGTTGCAATTCGACACCGCCTTTTTACGTTAACTGAAGCAAAGAAAAAGAAAAAAAAGACCGCGGCATCGCTGCGCCAGCTCCATGAGCCCCCCGAGTGTAAAAGAAGGGCAGTTCCCTGAACGTCGCAGTAACCTTTGCATTGGCGTGACTACGGCAACGCACGCTCTGCATGGAATATGCGATCGTGTCCCCGTCAAGGGCGCATTGAGTTTTCTGTCAGGAAAAGCATTGTCGTTATCCCGTTTGCTACCTCGTCTGCCAATTGAAAAGCTTTTGAGATTCATGACGCGAGCTTTCACCTTTGCTGCCCCTGCGCCATCTTGCACAAGCTAGGCAGACTTTTGCTGTTGATTTGCTGGCCGCGAACCTAAACATCGTATCACGAGCGCTGCTTTTGGATCAGCGCTTGAGTGCGGTCTTTTCGTCCTGTTGTCTTGCGCTAATTTCCCGTAATAGCATGCCGTAACCGTAGCCTAGGCCTATCACTGTTGGTGCTTTGAGGTGGCAGTCACGGCTATCAAAGTTGTAGTTTTATACCGAATCAACGCAACTCTTTTCAGTGGCTCTACTCGAAGGAAAAGGGGCTAGGGTGGCACTTGTAACACTCAAATGATGGTTCACGATTCGATTACAATGTCTTGGATATGGGTGTAAGCCCGTGAAATCAAATGATCGGTAACGTTCAGTGCACAAAATTTCGGCCGTGATAATGCGCATAATGTAGATGGCCTGAAACATAATTGCTGAATTCTAGCAATGGCGCTTTGTTTTCGTAGTTTTTTTTTGTGCCCATTTCATTGCCAATGACGGTCTCTCGAAGTAAAATTTTGAAAATTCAAATGCGCACCGCATCGCATGCCTCGATTCTCGGACACGTGATCTAGCCTGCATAGTCAACACGTTTTGCACTAATGTAGCTTATGAAGAAGGTTGTTTCAGCTGTAGTGCGGATATTTGGGAGCTCGGCAACGTACACCTGATCCGCGGTATATGCTAGTCATAAATGTAATTTTCGGAAATTTCGCCCTGCATGGTAGGCGCATTTTGAACTTGGAGCCGGACTTTCTGGAAAAAAAAAAGTTTGCCTATTATGCGAGTAATTACGGTAGTTTAGCATGGCCTCTGTGATTGGCCTATGTTCGACCAAGCAACATCGCTCCGTGATGGCGCCCTCATTCGATGTCACATTATGCTATGTCATGACGATGTCAAGCGGGGACATCTATTATTTATTTATTTATTTATTTATTTAGGTACCCTCAGGGCCAGAGGCATTAGAGAGGGGAGTGGGTTACAATAGTTACAAACATAATATAAAACAGAGCAAAAAAAAGGTATAAACAGAACAAAACCAGGAAAATGCAATGTACTTCAGTGTTACACGTTATACAATGTTAGCTAAAGCAGTTTTAAAAAGTTGGTGGTCCGAGATTGTTGCCGTCAGTGCGGGTAGATGGTTCCATTCCTGTGATGTACGCGGTATGAATGACTGGGAAAAGAAGTTAGTTCTGCAGGACGGCAAGCCGACTTTATGGACATGATTTATGCGAGCTGAAATGTACCGAGGAGGCAGAATGAGTTTGTTATGTAGCTGGCTGTGATAGAAAAGCTTATGGAAAAGACAAAGGCGAAGGATTTCCCTACGAGATGATAAGGAAGGTAATCCGAGGCTGGATTTCATAGTGCTTTGCTGGCAGTCCGGTTGTAGTTAGAGAGTATAAAACGAACAGAGTTATTTTGAACCATTTCAAGTGAGTGTATTAGATTTTCTTGGTTAGAATCCCAAACTGGTGCAGCATACTCCAGTTTGGAGCGGATAAGCGTCTTGTAAGGAGTTAGTTTTAGTGTTGAAGGAGCCTGTGAGAAATTTCGACGTACGTAGCCGAGCATGCGATTAGCGTTATTAATTACGTACGTGGTATGCACGGACCAAGTGAGGTCGGTAGTACTATGTATTCCGAGATATTTGTAAGTGCTGACAGATTCCAGTGGAGCATCGTTTAGATAGTAAGTGGGCAATATACGGTTAATTCTAGATACGCGAAGGAACTTACATTTGATAGTGTTGAGTTCCATTACCCATGTTTTACACCACACAGAAATAGCGTTAAGATCGGATTGAAGGGTTAATAGGTCATTGTCATTAGATATTTCACGAAAGAGGACGCAGTCATCGGGAGAAGTAACAGATAAAGGTAAGTCGTCAATGTAAATAAGAAAGAGCAGGGGAGCCAGGACAGATCCTTGAGGGACTCCAGAAGAGACGTTCGTTCGAGGTGAGACGTTATCGTTAGCTAAAACAAACTGAGCGCGGTTAGAAAGGAAACATTCAAGCCAAAATAAAAGTTTCGAATCAAGATTAAGATTTTGTACTTTGTGAAGTAACAACTTGTGACATACTTTATCGAAAGCTTTGGAAAAGTATAAAAAAATGCAATCAGCGATGGATGAATGATCAAGAATGATGTTTAATCCATGGGTGAAAGATGCAAGTTGAGTGTCGCATGAATAGTTTTTTCTGAAACCTGTGTTGACACTTGGAAAAAAAACTAGTTAGATTCGAGAAAACCTGCCAGTTTGGAATGTAATATGTGTTCTAGTATTTTACAAGGTATGCTGGTTAGCGAAGATAGGCCGGTAGTTAGACGGTGAATGTTTGTTACCAGTTTTAAACAGTGCAGTTATCTTTCCAATCTTGAAGTCGACGGGGAGACAGCCTTCATGAAGCGATTGTTCGAATATCTTCGTTAGTATGATTGAACAATCAGAGCTGGTGTTTTTCAAAAAAATTTAGGACTGATCGTATCACACCCAGGAGACGAGGAAGGCTTTAAGGACTTGATTACACTTTCAACACCAACGTAGTCAATAATAATACGAGGCATGGGTGGGTAGTCACAATGGGGGGTGGTCGGAACAGGGGCGTCTGTAGTTGCTGAGAAATTTCTGGAAAAGGCATCATTAAGGGCTTCTGCACACAAATGGGGGGGAATGGTGTTTCCAGCACTGTCAATCAAGGTTAACATTTCGCTATCTTTGGGGTTAATAACGCGCCAAAATTTCTTAGGATCAGTTAGTAACATATTCGGAAGCGTGGTGTTAAAATAGCAATATTTCGCATTTTTTTAGTGCGGTGGTGTACTCTTGGGAGGATTTTTTCGCGGCCTTGTAAATACGATGCTTTTTGTTTAGGAGACGCTTAATCTGTATATTGAACCATGGTGCATTTTGGTTGGATGTGATAGTGCGAACAGGAATGTGTTTATTTGTTAGTTGTTTCACCTTATCTACAAAAACGTCCCAGTTAGTTTGAACACTACGACTATCAAACGTGGAGAGGAAACTATCAAGAAATGTGCAAAGTTCATTATTAATGGAGACAAAATCGGCTTTACAGTAGTCATGAATTGTTTTAACCATTTTTACACGCTTGGGACAGGATGCGTTGATTTTGAACGATAGCAGAGTATGATCGCTTAAACCTGGCAGATGGGTAATGTTCGAAACAAAATCGGAGTGGGACGAAAGCACAAGGTCTAGTGTAGAAAATTGAAATTGCTCCAGCCACAGTTCAAATAGAGTCCGACGTTTCGAGACCGACTCGGTCCCTTCCTCAGGGGGTGACTGTCTTGGTCATGGAAGTGTCGTCGCGTCGTGTTCTCTCACCACGGCTCCGGCTTTCCCTTTCCACCACGTTTCGGAGACCGTGAACGTACACCGAAGGCATTGTTCCCAGCGAGCGGTTCATGTTGGCAGGCGTATGCTGAATGTGCCAAGACTCGAGCAAGAGCCTCTTTCCCAAATTCCGTTCTGTTTCAATAACAGAAGCGCCGTCTAAGTCAATTTTTTTATGGTCGTGCTTCTCGCAGTGCTCCGCCGGAGCGCTACGTTGCACTTCCATCTTCCTGACGTCGTTCTTGTGTTGGCGCATTCTTTCCGGGAAACACTTGCTCTCGCCTATATAGCAGGCTGGACACCCAGAACACGACACAAAGGGACACAACTTCAACACGACCACGACACGTCCGTCACTGCCGAAGATCATCGCGGCTACGGAGGAAGGCATAAGGCGACTCGACAGCGGCATTCGGGAGAACGTGCGTCTCAAGGCTATCGGCGTACTATCAAAAATAGGAAAGCGCCGTGAGCACAACCTGTCGAGAGAGGAGTGTAAGGCGATCCATGCGCTCCGAAATGATGATAAGGTTGTCATCCTCCCGGCCGACAAAGGGAACGCAATGGTCCTGCTCGACAGGGAGGCGTACAACGACAAAGTGCGAGACCTGCTGGACAGTCCGGCCTACGAAAAGCTGACGAAGGACCCCACACCAAGTGTCCAAAGGGAAATGAACAAGCTCCTGGAGGATATCTTTAGAGCGCACCCGAAGGCGAGAAACACATACCTCCAGCTCATCTGCCGGAACGGCTCTGCACCAGGATTTTACGGGCTTCCCAAGACCCACAAGCCCACAGTTCCGCTCCGTCCTATCGTGGATTTTTACAGCATCTCCACTCCGGGCGCTGTCCAAGTATCTCCACCGGACTCTCGCGCCGCTCGTGGGGCAAACACCAACCCACATACGCGACGCCAGCCACTTCTTGGAGCGCATGAGAGATGTGACCGTGAGCAGCGATGAATGCTTCGTCTCGTTCGACGTCGTATCCCTGTTCACCAGTGTGCCCGTAGCACTAGCGGTATCTAGCGCACGAGCAGCGTTGAACCAAGACGAGCTCTTGGATGAAAGAACCTGCCTGGGCGTCGACGAACTGTGTCACCTACTGGAATACTGCCTCAAGGGGACGTATTTCAGCGTCAACGGGAGCTTCTACAGACAAGCCAGCGGGACCGCGATGGGAGCGGCGATCTCCGTGACGGCTGCGAACCTCACAATGGAACACATAGAAGAGACGGCACTGGGCTCCTTTATTGACAAGCCGAAAGTATTTGTGAGGTACGTGGATGACTGTTTTTGCATAATAAAGAAGGCAGCAGTAGACAGCTTCCTTGAACATCTAAACTCCATCGACCAAGTGATACAGTTCACGGTGGAACGAGAGCGAGACGGGGCGCTTCCGTTTCTCGATGTTTTAGTCAGACGACAAGGCGAGCGCATGACCTTTTCGGTGTATAGAAAGCCAACTCACACCGGCAGGTATTTGCATTTTGCGTCCTGTCATCCAACTGCCCACAAAGCTTCAGTGGTTTCGGCACTCCTTTCACGTGCACGAGTAATCTGCACGTCGGAAGGTGAGAGGAAGAAAGAAGAAAAGAGGATTGTCGCCGAGCTACGAGCTACGAAGGAATGGCTACACAGAAGCGTTCATCCGCCGGGCGTCACGCCGTTTGTCGAGACGACAACCACCGTACCGCGGAAAGACACCTGCAAGCGACACACCGCCCGACCCCCTTTCCGCCCTGGCCACACCACCGCACACGAGAGAAACGAAGACCCCGAACAACCGCGTCGTCATTCCATATGTGCCGGGCATAAGTGAACAGCTCTCGAGAGTCCTAGGAAAAGCCGAGGTCACGGTAATCCATAAACCTGTTTCGACGCTCGCTCGCTTGCTACCGCGTCCAAAAGACCGACCTCCGAGGGAGCTACACCCGGGCGTTGTCTACAAAGTGTCGTGTTCTGGGTGTCCAGCCTGCTACATAGGCGAGAGCAAGTGTTTCCCGGAAAGAATGCGCCAACACAAGAACGACGTCAGGAAGATGGAAGTGCAACGTAGCGCTCTGGCGGAGCACTGCGAGAAGCACGACCATAAAATTGACTTAGACGGCGCTTCTGTTATTGAAACAGAACGGAATTTGGGAAAGAGGCTCTTGCTCGAGTCTTGGCACATTCAGCATACGCCTGCCAACATGAACCGCTCGCTGGGAACAATGCCTTCGGTGTACGTTCACGGTCTCCGAAACGTGGTGGAAAGGGAAAGCCGGAGCCGTGGTGAGAGAACACGACGCGACGACACTTCCATGACCAAGACAGTCACCCCCTGAGGAAGGGACCGAGTCGGTCTCGAAACGTCGGACTCTATTTGAACTGTGGCTGGAGCAATTTCAATTTTCTAAACTTTTCTACCCAGCCAGACAGATTGCTGTCAAAATGTTTACGTTTCAGGTCTAGTGTGTTAGCTACCGACGCAGTAGTTCTGGTAGGTTGCTTTACTAATTGTGACAAGGAAAAAACAGAGCACAAATTTAAGAAATCATTTGCAAATGTGGAAAAGGGGCTGATGGTAGGTGGTTCAGTTGCCCAGAAAATGTTTGGAATATTAAAATCGCCTATTAGAAGCAAAGGAACCGACGGGTGGCGAGACTTAACAATGTGGATAGCGTCGTGCAGTTCATTGATAAAGGACGGGGATGATGCAGGAGGACGATAGCATACACCGACAACTTTTCGATGGGAGAGTTGGATAATGGCCCATACTATCTCCAGATCTGAAGGAACATGAACACACTGTGATGGTAGGGTTTTCGTAATAGCCAGCAATATGCCGCCCCCTTGGCGGGCTGTTCGATCACATCGGTAAAAAGAAAAAGAATGAGCGCAGTCGAGTAATTCGTGGTCAAGAATATCTGGATGCAGCCAGGTCTCTGTTAGTGCTATGATGTCAGCATTAGTTGTAGTAACGGCAAAATGAAGATTATCGCGTTTTTTAAGAATGCTACGAATGTTGGTGTAAAGAAATGATACGCGATTTAGTTTCCTTCCACTGCCCCTCAGTTTTTCCTAGCTTTCATTGCTCGGCACGGCGTGGTTTTGGGGGTTATGGGGCAGGCGTTGTAGGTGCTCTGTTACGCGATTAGTTGAGGGGCCGAAGAAGTATTGTTTTTTTGTTCATAATCAGCTTGTTGTGCCGGAGTTGGAAGGGTGCTTCGTTTGACTTTTCGCGAAGGCCGCAAGTTGATTTCGAGCATGGCATGTTGCCGGCGAAAAATCTTCGTTCACAGAAATGTCCTTTAAGTTTTTTGCGTGCGCAGAGTATTTTGTCTTTTGTTTTAAAATTTATCATCACATCATTCGTGATGATAAATTTTTCCAATACTCGCGTTGACATCGATGTCGCAGGATGACGGTCAACACCAATAATCATTTTTCATGTTTGGCGAGGCATGTAAGGGTTTCGGTATATACTCAAACCGCAATATAACAAACCCGGATATCATGAAATATCAGTCATAATGAATCAAATGAAGCGTAATCTTGCAACAGATATAATGTTAGGAATGTACTTTTATAACATACTTTTGGATATAATGAACTTACTTTCGAGTAAGATGCAACTTCGTTTTAGTGAAGCTTGATTGTAATAACATTTTAGTTGATTCAAGGATGGCCTCGCACCTGCTTCTTCTGGAGAGAGGCGACCAGTTCCCGCACGGCCGCCAAACGATGGTGCTTGCTGCCACTGTTGAGAGCCAGAAATAACGCGCTCCCTGCAGCCTCCACCACGGCATGCTCCCGACCAAAGGCATTGGTGCGGGTCAGCTGCTCTGCTGCCAGACGTGCCTGCTCATCATCACCACAAAGGTGGCACTCCAGACAGGCGTCCACCTCATCAGGGCACCTAGACACAGACAATAGGGTAATGTAAACAATGCAGGGGCTTCATCGCACATCACATTACAAATTCATTCAGTAGTAGGCTTGAGAGAATATTCAAGCACTTTAAATATTCAAACGAATATTACAGTATTTCAGTCTAAGTGATTCAAAATAACTCAAATGAAGGTTCACTACAGAATAAACATAAGCAGTCAGTCAACGTTCAATTTCTGAGACGCCTGATATTCCGGACATGCCAGATTTTCTGGACTCATTTGTGGCACTGTGATTTTAACCACATAGTCATTGTAACAAAATATTCGAAATTCCGGACATTTAGAGGTTTCGCCATCCGATTTTCCGGACTTTTTACCACTAACAGCAGACTTGAAGTCACCATTGACACCGCCATTTTGGTTGTTTTCGAGCAAACCGCATCGCGGCTGCCATAACCACGAAGCCGAAAATGCCACAATCTAACGCACACCAATCCGCTGCCAGCGGTAGCTTAGTCAAACTTGTGGCCACAGCCGCATGGTGCTGTGCAGCTTGTGCTCCGACAGCGAGAAAAGCTACGCTGTTGACTTATAGTGTGCCGTCGGCACGCTTGCGGACTCGTGGAAGGCAGTTACGTGACAGACCCTCCGGACAGGAGGTGCGTAACAAAAATATTCGCCGACTCCATTCGCTATAACCGATTAGCAACGCTCAGAGACGTTCGTTCTAAGTGCAATTTTGTGCCATTGAAGTAATGTATATTTACATGGTCATGCAGATGTTGTTCGTTTAGCGAATGTTGGTTTTAAGGGGGGCTGTTATATGTAGGTTCGACTGTATAACACCTCCTTTCAGAGCACCTAAACGCAGCATTTGCTGAATCGCAATGAGAATCTTGTACTCCTGCCGTGACCCTCTCTGTCCGGAAAAAATACCTATTAAAAAAGAGTGTTTTCGCTTGCATTCGGTTTTCCAGTCTGCCCAATTTTATGGACGTTTTTGCGGTCCTTTGAGAGTTCGGGAAATCGGATGCCGACTGTACATAATGTGCATGTAACCCCCCTCCCATAAAGATGGTTTCGCTGCAGTAGAGTCCTATCCAGGGGAAATGTATGCTACCACAAGGCTCTATTTTAAATCTGAACTAATATATATTACCCTCACATCAATTCATTTTTTAAGTGTAAAGGCTTGTTATATTGACTTATATGTTCATGATAAATTTTTAGAACAAAGCGTACTTTACAGGTCATCCCTTGCAATCTACCAATACAGTACACTCTGAGTAAACGGAACCTGAAGGGACCGGAAAGATTTGTTCCATTTAACAGTTTTATTTACTGAAAGGTGAACATGGGTGCAGAATACAAGCTCGAAACCAAGCATTGAAGAGGAAATAGTTTCGTTTAAGCAGTAGGTTCGTTTAACAGATTTCCGCTTACCGAGAGTATATTGTAGTTAAACCCTGCTACTATTTAAAACTGCTTCCATTTAACTTTGCATCAAAAAGAATGAGATTTGCATAAGCATTGCTTGAATTAAAAAAAAACAGTGCAGGTAAGTTGCGTCTTGACAAATATGCAAATTTTTCTTTATTAGCTGTGACATATACTATGCGAAGGATTCGGTTCGAAATTATTCGACCCAATTACTACTCGCTTCGAACCTTAAATCGTACTTGCTTATCAAGTAGTGCTCAAGTAATTGAGTTGGTATAAAAATAGTTTAAGCAACCATTTACCTTTAGACTTGGTTCAATAAACTTATCAGTGACTTTACTGATACCGATTTTGCTGTCTTTGGAAGCTCACCAGAGTTAAAGGATTGTTGAGCAGCTAAATTGAGGGGGCCATAACAACCATTTTTCAGTCAAATCCTGGTTATGTGGGTTAATAATTGTGCGTAGTTGGCAAAATTTCAATGGATTTGATCGAGCACTTAATTTATAAATGAATACATTTACAAAGATGTAAGAAGCTCACGTCGCGCAACGCTAGTGCCCTTCCAAGCCATTACCTAACAAACTGTGTTGTGCAATTGTCTGCCTTCCGGCAAACAATATTGTACCCCGGTCAGCTGCACGTACAATCAAGCCCTTCTAGCTTTCTTCAGTGTGGTATTGTAAGTGAATGATTAGAAGCAGCTGCAACTTTTGATAGATGACAATGGCTCGACCTCATACAGCACATGACAATACACATGGCAGGGCAAAGCGGCAGCTGCTGCCTGCAGCCATTTGTTCATTGCCGTCGGCTTCTAGGGCTTATTTTGCACAGAAAAATCCATTCACAGTTCATTTTTTCGTAAATGTATAGATATGATGACCCTATACTTCTCTTTTTTGTGGAGAACTGCAAACTGTCAATGGCCCTTTTAAAAAAAGGTCAAGTTCTAAGCGCACATGCAGACTTCAGCATACAATCCCGCTTTTCCGATTTCCCGTGCTGCCTTTTACCGTTTTGGTGTGGTGAGGGCCGGGAGGACCCGTATTGCTAGCACTAAAGCCTCAGAGACCAGGGGGTGTTTTGCAAATTCCCACTAGAGAAAAGCACATGCGCCGTGGCGTCGTGAAAAAGGCATATTATGACATGCATCGTGGTGAAGGACTGTAGACTAATTTAGACCACCTGGAATTTTTAAACAAGCATTTGCATCTGAGCATCAGAGAGCTCTTGCATTTCGTCCCAGTTGATATGCGATTAGAGTGGATGGGAGTGGAATCCGTGCCATAAGCTTAACAGTGCCAGAGATTACCCTGATGGCTACCAGGGTGCTTACAGGGTGCAAGCTTCAATCCTAAGAAGACAGTGAGAATAAAAATAGTACTTATAGCGGCCTGCGTTTACAGTACTAGTCGAGCCCACATATAACAACCCCACTTAAAACGAACTTTCACTTAAAACGAACAATATCCGCGTGACTGTGAAAATATACATTGGTTCAATGACACAAAATCACACTTACAACGAACGTCTCCGAGCGCCGCTGATCGGTTACAGCGAACTGGAGTCGGCGCTCTGCTGACCTCCCGGGAAACCACTTTCGACCACCGGTCAGGCATCGGCAAGGTGCCCATACATTCTTATTGTTAAACGCCAACCTCTGCCTATGTGCCCCTCTAGTTTCCACTCTCCCCAGCCTCTTTTTGTTACGCACCACTCCGTCCTTTGTCCCCCCGCTACTCTGAGCACCCCGCATAGCCATACAAGGCCCATGTTTTCACACTGCCACCGATCTTTCGAAAACCGGTCGGCCATCTACCCTGTTTTTGATCGCTGGTACTGTCGTTGGCGTCGCCGGCCTGGAGTGACCAGACCATTTGCCAACATCCTCGGCCACCGACTGTATCCGATAGTCTTTGTCTAGAGCATGCGCGTACGCTACCCCACTGACTCTGATAATTTGCGATTTGCAATTGCGATTCATGTTGAGAACTTGTTCTCGCTCACTTCGCACTCGGCTCAGCATGCCCTCCACACGCGTACGGCTGTTACTACTCGCTTCGAACCTGAAATCGCACTTGCTTATCAAATAGCACTCCAGTAATTGAGTTGGTATAAAAATAGTTTGAGCAACCAGTTACCTTTAGACATGGTTCAATAAATTTATCAGTGACTTTACTGATGCCGATTTTGCTGTAGAACAAATCAATTTTTCTAATACCAATTTTTTGTGGAACGAATCGCGAAATATCGAAGTTCGTGAGGCCACAAAAACCCACCAGCGCAACAAAATGATTTTTTGAACACGGCCGCCGATTCTTTGAACATGCCACGTGCACCGATCTAGGCGGCTGTGCTTTGACTTCTGCACGCGCAGGCACTTTTTCAATTTTTCTACGTGCAAGTTGCGCTTTTCGGGGACCTTTCAAGCAAGCTACCGAACCTGCCTCTTTCCCATGTGTTTTTGTTTTCAAGGTCGCCCTACCGCCGCATCCCCCCTCTCTTCACTCAATCGCAACTTCTTGCCCTTCTTCTCTCGCAAATCTGCTCTCTTCTCTTGATCACAACCCCTTCGCCCATCTCCACCGTTCCACAACGCCAGCCACGCTGGTTCGAATTAGTTTCGTCGTCTGACTAGAAACGGGTCCAGAGCAGTTCCACGCGTTATGGCATTTGTGTCGCGTGTGTGCGTCTTGCTCGCTCTTGGTGTGCATGTGTGGTCAGGATGGCAGACGGGAGGCCTTGCACACTTTTTCTTGCCACTGAAAACAACGTTAAAAGGTGACCGCTTGGCTTGAGCGTAATCAGCGCGTTAGGTGCCGCGTTGCGGAGCGCTTGCTCATAGCTGTTGACCACCTGGCAGCCATCTTGCCGCTTCTGCCGTCCCGGTATTCAGCTGTAAAGATGGTGAGTTTTTTGTAGGCGGTGGTGACGGCTACATGCGCGCGATAGTGTTTTCGTGAGGCCGACTTCCTCGACGTCAGGCTCGATTCCGAGCTTGAAGCTTCCGAACAGGACCACTCCAGCAGCGATTTGTGGCAGCGGGTTGTCGACTCCGACCTGGGAGAGTGGGTGGGACATCTGTTGCGATGGTTTAATTACGGCCGATTATGATGCCGACACTGCAGAACTATACACGGATTAGGGCATTGTGAATGAAGTATGTGGCGAGAGCGATTTGGAGGAATCTGATTGTGAGAACGATGAAACTTTGGAGCCAGTGCCTGATCCAGCTTATGCCACGGGCCTCAGCGAACGAGCACCCTGCCGTTTTGAATGAACTCGAGACCGCCCTTATCGCTTCAGCTCATCAAAACATGTGCATCACAGAATTTTCGGGGCAAAAAAAGGTTACGTTTTCCCTTGCACCTTACTTAAAAGCTGTGTTTAATTTACTACGAACTTCGGTATACAGCGAACGGATGTCGCGTCAGGCTCAGGTTCATTATAAGCGGGCTCAACTGTATATGGCATGTCTAGTTGAAACAAAAGAGTGGCAAATGTACCACCACTGAGTTTTTTGAAGGGGCCCTGAAACACTTTTTCACATGCGATGAATTCACTGGAAAAGCTTGTTAGCCTCACGAATTCAACACCGCAAAAATTGTAAGAATCCGTGCAGTGCGAGTGGAGTTACAAAGTGTGTCGCATGCTGCAACCGCGTCTCGTCCCAATGAAAGCGCTGGAAGCTAAGCAGGGAGGGATGGCAAGGCCACAGAAAAACGTCAGGCGCACTTCACGACCTTGAGCAATTTTCTATTTTGTTTATATTCGAATGCGCCGCTTTCTCAGTGTGATCGCGTGCGCACGCGTGGACAAGTAGTGGCCTCCAGCTGGCGATCTGTATAATGAGCGAGCGCGCCAATTTCAAATCAGCCAATGGCTGATAGTTGGGTCATTGACCTGCGATTTCACGTGATTTGTCAAGAGAAGAGAAGGAAAATTTTTAGCTGACTTGGATAATTTATTGTGAATTCCAGGCAGCGTGCTGTGCTACAATATTTGGCTCGCCTGTTGTCGGGAGCCTCTACTATTGATCGGCAGTGTTTTCTGACCCCGCTTAAAAAGTGTTGCAGGGACCCCTTTAAAGAAGTGTTGAGATTCTATAAAACCTAACGACACAGGATTCATAAGCCACAGAACTGAGCTTATACTACAGTATAAACTGTCACGATTGACCCCGAAGACCGTGGACGAAGTGGGAGGGCCGAGGCGCCTGCTCTCTAACAAGGACGACACCACACACTTGGCGGAGTAACATCTACTGACTGCTGAGCAGCGCTCAGCAGTGTTTATTTTCCAAGCACGACTAAGGTTGCCTGCCGAACTTGGCAAGGTAATGAAAATAGGCTAGGCAGGGCGCCACACGCTCGTTACATAAACTTGATATTTCAAACTGTGAGGATTCATACTTTCAAATAATTCAAGCAATGGCTGACCAGCTATGCTTTCTAATGTACTTTCAAGACCACTTAATTCAGACTGCCCCGATGCAACAATTCAGCTAATGCTTCATACTCATCCATGCGTGAAAAAGTCTGCTGTCCTTGTTACTTCTGGCGGAACATTCGAGTTTTGATGTCACTAACAGGAGCAGATACACGGGCATGAATGAGCTGTACAATAATGAGTAACAGTATGACCACAGACTCCTGAAAAATTTATTAGCAGTTACGCACATCTGTCTGGGATGTTGGAAGTCTACTCGAGTTTGTGTTATCGAGAGGCTACTGTTTGCAGATTTATGGGAATGGTCAACAAGATGGCTTTGTCCTATTCCGGCCATCACTACCTTCCTGCCGGACCTCATGACCTCTAGCGAAGCCATTAACAATCCTGCAATTAAACCCCTTTATGCTCCCGGCAGCAATTCTTATCTTTTATATGTGATGTCTCCTATAAGCAGGGTACCCCGTATGCATTTCCTTATCAACCCTTTTTTTTTATGTAGGCTTACTGGTGTCTCTTACACCTATCTGTCTCTTATGTCAGTCTCTCTTGTACAGAGGTTCGACTGCATTACAAAAGGAAATTTCGAAATACTAAAGCCCCCTTTGCAGGTGCTGTGCAGAGCAAATGCTTACCTTTGACGCAGCATTTTCATAATGTCGAGAACCACTTCATCGTTTGCCGAGTTTGATGCCGCGCTGCTGTCACCGGCCTTTCTGCTCTTGTGTAGCTTGATATAAGCATCAAAGAACAGACTGCATGAATGAGAAAGGTTGAGAAAGCAACTTGCGGATTAGTTTCAACATGCGAAGTTCATCATGCAGGGCGTAATATTTAAGCAAAAGCCTTAAAACTTCACCAGCAAAAGTTAAGAGTTACAGTTAAAGTCATCAGAAACTAAAAGGTAACCCACCAGTCACAACAAATTTGAACTTGTTAGTCCCTACCAATCAATGTCACTTTTTTTTTTTTACTATAATCGAATCTATAAAAGCCGTCACATACACAAAGAATACAGTTTACCTTATGCTAGACTTGTGAGAAAAAGAGACACTGTTGCCATTCTGTGATAAGTATCACATTTTCTCGCGAACAACTTGAACTGTCAAAAAGAGCGATTAGCAAAATATTTTTTAAATGATACTAACGTATTGCCGCATAGCTGTAAAGCTACCTTTGAAACAAGAATTTGCATTTTTTTGTCTCGAGTTCCACTCCAAATTAAAGAGAAAATTGTGCAGGTCATACGTGAGATATTAATGGGACACTTAAGTCAAATAACAATTTATGTCAGAGTGAAAGCTCAAGGTAAGACAATGTCTAAAACGACAATATTATCAACAGCAGAGCCCTAACTTACCAGAGAAATCAAGGTAAATGCACGAGAACACATGTGCTACAGTAGGGCATTTGCAAAATGATCCTGATTACGCCAGACGTACCGTCCACAATTAATCACTAGTAATCGAACTAGCTGCACTAAATAAAGAACCTTACGTGCACCAAGAGATGCAATAAAAAGCTGCTTGTTTATGTTTGGTTCACGGAAAAAATAAGAACCAAAGGACATTACAATGGGGAATGGCATGAGTGGTTCAAAAGTTCAATTTTCGCCTGGTTAACTGGACAGGTTGTGCCATCTAGTGGGGCCCAGTTGAACCAAGCAGACCTGCCATCTCGCAGGCCATGGCAAGAAATTGTTCAATGACCGTAGTTGGTGCTGTGGCTCCGCTACTTTCATTCTGCAGCGACCGCGCAGTAAAGATGGGCCACATTGTTCACAGCTTTCCCGCCACTGCTGCCACATTCTGCTCGAGGCGGGTAAATTGAAGTGTGCTGACCCAATGCTGACCACTAAAAGATGATTTTGTTTCAAAATAAGCACTTCCTTGGCCCCAAAAGTAGTGCTATGCAGTTTCTGAACTACTATATCAACAATCAACATAGACTTATTAGTTGCCTTTAGTGTCCCTTTAAGTCTGTTCAATGTTATATGCCGGCTCTTTGCTGTATTTTTTTCGGCTTTCTTTTATTACATATAACACATTATTTGTCAGATGTAGATTTGTATTTGTCAGATGCTTTTTAGTAACCCCAACAAAGTAGAATTGCCGTAATTATGCAAAACTTATCGATAATACAAGTTACTTGAATTAGAAATAAGTTCTAGATAGAATAGAGCTTTAAAGGTAACTATTGATTACTTCAATGTGATCAGAAATCTGTGGGTAGAAGACAAGTTCTCTTGTCAAAGCAAAGGCTATGCCAGCTTTCACTGCTCAATGATGCTTTTATCGTCTTGAGCTCCTATATGTTCAGAACTTCAATGTGCTATTAGTACTAGTTGTTACCCAAAAATATCAAGCACGTAATTTGCAGAACAACTTCACTACGTAAACGATGAGCTCACCGCACAACGTAGTCGGAGTACTTGTCGAGTGACAGGGCGAGCTGGATTAGAGCCTTGAGCACGGCAGCCTTCTTACTGGCATCCTCGCCCTCACTCTGACGAGGCTCCAGCACATAATTGGTCAGCTGAGCCAGCAGTGGCTTCAGGATTGCCGACACGGAATGCCTAGATGATAACTCCTCCAGCGCAGCTACGAGGGACTTCTTGTGCTTCATCAGGGCTTGAAATGCACTGAATTAGGAATGACAAGGGTCGAAAAAAGAGAAAACTTCAGAAGTAGTTGAGGGCACAAAGGAAGACTGAAATAGGTGCCAAGTCATTAAACATACTAGAAGTTCTATTTAACATGAAATTGAAAATGTGGTGCAGTTATACAAATTGGTATCAGTACACCAGACTACCCAGTAAACAGCGGCGCAACAGCCGAAATAAAATTTAGAGGAATTTTTGGAGCAGTAAAACTTCACTCTAGGAGCACGATGGTCCAAATTTGAAGCAGTGTAAAAAATTAGGCCTAGACTTAAAAAAGAAAACAAAAATATGTATACAAACCATTCAACATCACCTAAACCGTGCAGACAGAATATAACACTACAATTTAAATTGAGGTAGCATTTTGAATCCACCCGATAGTACAAACAATTATAATGTTCCCATTAGCATTTACAGCGCCTGTCAAATCGTTTGACAAATACTGCGAATTCAAGCATGAATCTGCCACCCTTGAAATTTGTGAGATACATAAAACTAACGAGTAGCGATGGGGGAAAAATAAAAAAAGACTGGTGCACAGCTTTATTTTTTTTTTTTTTGCTGAAGAACTGTTTACATTGCTTCAAATGATTTCCAGTAACTTTTTTAGACGTGAGCTATCATATCAGCACTCTCAATTATGCAGCACATACATGCATGAATAATAGAGGAATAAGATGAGCTATATCTGATGATTAAAGCCCATTCGAAATTGTAATATGTTTTTCTGCAAGATGCCGGTGAATGTAGCGAAGGTGGCTTAAGCAGCGTTCTGCATGGTACAGAGAGGTACAGAACAAGGCATAGACTATTTCGAACCGCTACCCCCCCCCCCTAGAAGATTGGTCAGTAAGCTTCTATCGTTCGAGGCTAGTCCAGCGGCAGCTGCCAGCGTGTACTATGGTGTTGCCAGTGTACTCTCTTCCAGTTGCCGCTCAAGGTCGCTGCTCCGGTTGTCCCTCCGGTAATTCTAACAATTCTCACCAGAGTCTCGCCAATTCTCCCCACCCAAGAAGTCGGTTTTCGATGACCCACACGCTCCCCTCCTCGCGTCTATGTCAACTTCGTGTCGCTACGCAGGCACGGCAGCACGTAACAAGTTCCTACGATATTGTTACGCACGATACCTATATTCTCTTAAGCCCCTTCACCTGCCTGCTCTCAACATCCTTGAAGAACGCCTGATAGCTCTTTGTCTGTCATTTATGAGCGTTAGGCATTTGACTCACGGCAGTGGCCAGTATGGCATGAGGGGCAGGTGGTTAACATGCCGATCGACGAGGCCAACACTGTGCAGTGCCAGCAGCGGAACGTGCCCAACAATGCTGCCTTCGACAACACATCATGCGCTGGCTCATTAACAAGTCCTCCTACACAGATGGTCTCACCAAGAAACAACCAATGCACCTCCAACCAAGGTCCTCTAACATCATTCCCTTTGTGGATATGGTAGCGATTTTTTTTCCTTTACGGTGGAGTTAAGTTTCGTGTGCAACTTCTCGACTCGCTTGCAAGGCGCATTCAACCAGATAAGGTAATGATGGCGCACACCCGTCAACCCGTCAACTTGGCAATGGTACTTGACATCTGTCGGCAGGATGACGCGACTTCGAGACAGAAAAATGTTTATGTGACATTGCTATGTCAACCAACATAGTTGCCGGCCACCCCGGCGCTTGCAGCCCTTCTACTAAATTTCACGGTTCTGGCTCAGCTTGGCACCAAAATTGGTGCAGCTGTTGCACCCCACAGTAAATGAAAATCTCTTAATCGAAATGATACGTTAATAGAAAATGTCTGTAATATGGTTTTTCATGTCCTCAGGTTGTACAGCCTTGTTCAGTTTTCTGTCAGCGGAACTCCTGTTAAACATGACATACTTCTGGTCCCCTCAGCTTCCATTTAACTGAGAGCATTCCGCATGTGAATTTTATGCTGTTTACCATAACCTTGAGCTGCTTAAGCCATTGTAAATTTTCAGAACAGCAAAAGAAATTATGTTTCACACTTCCACGCATACTAAGAAACATGCTTTAAGCTCATGGCTATAGTCATGTTTACGCAGCAACAAACCAGGTTCAACAACGGCTAGCATTGTGGCCGAAAATTACTAATGCTATTCAAACACTATTGCCATTCAAACGTGATAACAGTGCTACGTCTTGCACTAAATACTACTTTAGGCACCGTTTCATTTCTCATATCAGCTATATGCACGCGGTTTAACTTGAAAATCTGAAAAATAGACGCACACTCCGGCCAGTGCGCACCCGCAAGCCCGCTTGAAAGGCTTTAGAGTGCCTTGATTCTTTCGAGCGGAGCAGGCATCAAGGCACCCTACTTGTCACGCTAGACCGCAGTTGGTAGCGTCATCTCTCGGGCTTTTTGCGATGCAGAACACAGTAGTGAAGTGGGCAGTACTGCCGTTCGTTCACCTAAGTACTTCTTGCACAGTGATGCAGATTAATATACATTTAAATAGATGCTTTCATGGCTTAGCACTTTTCCACAGCAGCGAAACCACCTTCACAGTGTTTATATACAGACTATTGACATTTATTCGTTCATTTCTAATGCGTTGAAATTTTAAACAATTTAAATTCGAACAGAAGCAAATTCATATACAGTAATACTCATTCGAATATTCACACAAGCCTACAAATGAGCCTCTGATTTACAAGACAGAAGGCAATCAATCTCGCACGTGGCTCAACAGCATCTAATCTTTCAAAGACACCATTCAAGTCGGTACTGCTTAGACAGACAGTGTGGACACTTGTACTTTAAGCAGGTGAAGGAAGGGTCTCAGTACTCCCATTTGGTCGTTAAAAAGCAGGAGTAGAAAACGCTTCCAACACTCACGCTTTGGGCAGATCCTGAATGTTTTGCAGGGTCATCAGCACCAACAGGCACAGAAGGCCTTCCGACAGGTTCGCACCCAAGCTTCCAGGTGCCTTTATACTCTGAAAATAATAAAAAAAAAAGTTGTGCATCTGTATCACCAAACTCAAGTGACACCGAAGACAAGACAAAAACAAATAGATAAACCTAACATCGTATTTCAAGTTTCATGATATAGAATAACCCTGCACCACATGTATAAAGCTAGTCAAAAATCCCAAGCCACTATACCACGTATTCCTATGGCAGCGTGACCTGGGAACTTTTGAGCCCCCCTGTTCATTGAACTCCTGTTCATAGCTGCATTCGATGCAGTTGAACACTGATATAACAGAAAAATGGGTATAAGAGACACCAATGTGCCTACAATAAAATACGGGTGAGAAATAATAGAGAAATCTCATATAAAAGACAACTGCTGCCCAGAGCATGCCTCTTATAAGGGGTTTAACTGTATAAGAAATACAGCATTGCTGCAAGTATGCCTTTCCTGACCTGTTTACAATCACTTGCGCCATCAAAAATATTTGTGCCAACGAACAAGAAAAAAGCCAGGGGGCGCTCGTCCAGTGCGGATGTGCGAACACGTCTGCTCCCGTTTGTTCAAGTGTTCTGGCACGGATTTTTTGCCTCAACTAGCAAGAACTGTGCATCATTCGACGCCGTTTGTTGTAGTGAACCAGCAGATACCAACATCTTACCGGTGGGTGAAATTTTTGGACATCCCCAGGACTTTTACCCACGCCACGCAGACGCCTCGCGCGTCGACGCGTTTCTCGGGCACTGCAACAGCGTCGCGAAGACGCCTAACGCGTCGTCGAGCTGAAGAATGGCCTCCGACCCCAATGTGTCGGTTGTAGAAGGCATGGACATCAATCCGGAAGAAGCGGAGTGCGCGGGATGGATTGAAGTAGCCAGCAAGAAGAAGAAACTTGCCGAGCAGGCGGATTGTAACGCTGGTAATGCGCCCACGTCAGCGACAGGAAGCGGTAAAGGCGGCTCCCGCACTGCCGCCTCACAGAACGTGTTGAGGCGTGTTGTGAAAGCTTCCAGGATCCCAAACCTTCCCAGGGATCACTTTAAGACCATTATACGGCCACGTGGAGGGATGGATGTCAAGAAGACAGACCTTCTTATCTTCAAGCGCTCGCTCGCAAAGGCGGCTTCCCTAACAGCAGAGCAGGTGTTCGAAGACACGCTGTGCATGAACCCCTTCCAGAACATTTTCGTCGTTGCCACGCCGTTCGAGGCGAATGCGCGCGCCTACACCAGGGTCCAAGAGATAAGTATGGGCTCGACTGTCATAGGCTTGGCGGCTTACGTGGCTGCGTCTGACGACACATGTAAAGGAGTGATCCGTGGAATCAATGTGGATCTCAGTGACGCAGAACTGACAGAGATGATCGTCCACCGGAGGAACCCTGACGCTCTGGGGGTTCGAAGAATCAAGAAGACACCAACAGTGATCGTGTTGTTTGACGGACAAAAGGTCCCCCAGCACGTCGTGTGTGATGGTGTTCGATACCCTTGTTCCTTGTATCGCAGGCAAGTAGACGTGTGCTATGCATGTGGTGATTTGGGCCACAGGTCCGATGTTTGCCCCAAGGGCGATGAACAGAAGAAATGCCGCGGATGCGGCATGCAGTCACCATCACCGGATCATCAGTGTGATCCCATGTGTGCCATCTGTGGCGGAGCGCACCCAACGGCGGACCGCAAGTGCAGAAAGCGCTTCCAGGTGCCCTACATCGTGCGCCAAAGACGGCGGCGCCGCCGTAGGCGCGCGCGGCGTGGCTCCGACACAGCTGGAGGCGAAGAAGGACTGGCGGAAGAAGAATCATTCTCCAGCGCTCATCGCAGCAGATCGGCATCTAGAGGACGCTCCCGCTCCAGAGGACGCTCCGGCAGCAAATCGCGCTCTCGCTCCAGAGGGCGTGACAAGGGCAGCAGTCGCTCCCGTTCGAGAGGACGATCGGGTTCCAAGGGCAGCGTTCAGAAGCAAATGTCTTGGGCGGACAATGCCAGGATGAACATCCCAAGCGGCCAAAAGGTAACGCAGGGCATTTTACCAGAGCAAAAAAGAGAACAATCAGAGATTTTAATGCTTAAAAAAGAAAATGCAGAACTTAAAGAAGCACTACGAACGCTGAGGGCCGAGTTCGAGCTCTTCCGCAACTCACGTGAACCCCGTGAAGTAGCCACACCCATACCGGTTCAAGCAGGAGGGTCGAATAAGCGCAAGGCCGTTTCGCCCCCTGCGATCGCGGAAAGCGTGGCAATGCAAAGTGACGAGTCCCCCGCTCAGGTCCCTGAGAAAAATGTACTCGCGTCTTTAACGGCGATTGAGGAATCGCTCAAGCAGGTGAGAGAGGCCTTAGCCATTCAATCTAGCACAATCGAACGTATGGACGGGAGCGTCTCCCACCTGACACGTCGAGTAGGAATCCTCGAATCTAAAATGAAAATGATTGACTCTAGCAAACTCAAGACGACCAACACTGGTACGATTGCAAAAGCCAAGATAGTGCAGCAGGATTCGGACGCTACGAGTTCGCCGCAGGCTATGTTCCTTCAATAATATTCAAAATGGCGGGCCAAACCGGAAACATAATTATCTGGCAGTGGAATTGCGCAAGTTTCTTAAGGCGTAAAGCTGCTCTACTGCAGTTCATCAAAGCACAGGCGTCAATGCCGCACGTCCTGCTCTTGCAGGAAACGCTTAGCGAGAAGGTAGTTCTCTCGGGCTACCGTTCGATTAGCCAAAAAGGCGCAAATGGCAGAGGTATCGCCACGTTGGTCAGGAAAGATACCTCCTTTGAGCAGCACGAAGTCAAAATTTGCGACTCGGATAAGAGATCCGGTCTCGAGGCACAATTAATTGAAATCATTCCCAACGGCAAAATCCGAAGCAACATATTCGTTTTTAACCTGTATAGCCCTCCTTCGGCTTATAAACATAATATCCGCTCACTCCTTCATAGGGTCGCAACTGCCGCCAGATCGCACCCTTTAATAGTAGCTGGGGATTTCAACGCTCCCCATCCGTCTTGGGGCTATGTTACGAGGACAAAGAAAGGGGCCAATCTAGTTGCAGCCAGTATAGACTTAAACCTAACGCTTATCTCCGACCCGCGTTTTCCCACGAGGCTGGGAAACTCGGTCGCCAGAGACACGATGCCTGATCTCAGCTTCACTAGACATGCGGTGGTCGAGTGGTCCAACTTACAGGAGAACTTGGGAAGCAACCACAGCATCATAGAACTCCGGATGGAAATAAGAGCAACACCCCCAAGAACCTATAAATATACAGACTGGGACCTTTTTAGGCAAATCAGAGGTGAAGATGAGTCAGTAAATGACACCTTCAGTGAACTTCTTATACAAATCCAGAAGGATGTCGAGAAGGCCACCAAAGAAATAGTAACAGAATTTGATGCTCCGGGGATGGATGCAAGGTTAGCGCATCTCCTGGACGCCAAACGCTCTCTCATCGCGAGATGGAAAAAACAAAGGCTAAATCGCAGGCTACGAAAAAAGATTGCGGAGCTCAATCGGCATATTGAGGAGCACTGCTCCGAACTCCATAAACAACAATGGAGGGACGCCTGCTCGGCTGCGGACGAATGCGCAAAGGAGGCAAATGGACCCTCTTCAAACACCTCCTAGATGATGGACAATCCAAAGGCAATCAGAAACTAGCCATAGACCGACTTATTAATAAGGAGAAAATGGCAGGCATCTCAGAAGCTTCCCAATTTCAGATACTTGCCAACAAGCACCTCCCGCTTAGCCAGAGCTCAACTTCTGTCCCCCACCGGTATGAGGGTGTGCCTTCCCCAGAGTTGGACGCTCCCTTCTCGGAAGCTGAGATCAGGGAAGTGCTCCATAGCCTAAACGGAAGGTCTGCCCCAGGTCCCGATGGAGTTACGAATCGGCTCTTAAGAAATTTGGATGATAAAGCCATTCAGGCCTTAGTGAAGGAGATAAACAGGGTATGGGAGGAGGGCGTCGTACCAGAAACTTGGAAGAGGGCCACAGTGGTCTTAATCCCCAAGCCAGGTAAATCACCCAGCTTAGATCACCTCCGCCCGATCTCCCTTACTTCTTGCCTTAGCAAAGTAGCAGAACATGCAGTACACAACAGGATATCGCGCTACATCGAGAGGAATGACCTATTTCCATATAATATGGTAGGTTTCAGGCCCTCACTTTCCACGCAAGATGTCATGCTTCTCCTCAAAACACACATAATTGACTTTCCAAGCAAAGATGTAAAAGGGGTCCTCGCACTGGACCTCACTAAAGCATTCGATACTGTCAAACACGACTATATTCTTAAGGAGATATCGGCTTTGAACCTGGGAGTTAAATTCTTCTCCTTCGTTGAATCTTTCCTCGAGAGTCGGACGGCGGCAATAAAATTGGGACAATCAGTCTCGGAACCTTTCAAACTCGGACGAAGGGGTACTCCCCAAGGGGCAGTTATCTCCCCCCTTCTATTCAACATAGCCATGCGCAAGCTGTCGGCAAGCCTTTCTAAAGTTCCTAATGTCGGACACGCTTTATATGCTGACGACATTACAATCTGGTGTCCCGGAGGATCGGAGACGGCGGTTGAACAAGCTCTACAGGAGGCTCTGGACGTTACAGAGTCTTTCCTGGAAGGTACGGGACTGGCGCTTTCGCCGGAAAAGTCGGAACTCCTGCTGTACAGACAGGCTAGACGAGGTGTTAGGGGACTCACCCCTCTCGATCAGGTGCCCATTAGCGTTTGCACCAAGGATGGTCGCACAATTCCTAGAGTCAATTCTATGAAAATTCTGGGGCTTTTATTAGACTCTAAGGGATGCAACGCAAAGACTATAGCCCATCTCACCACAAAAACAGAGAACATTCTGAGATTAATTATGCGGGTGTCCAACAAGAAGGGCGGCATAGGCGAGGATATCCTCCTTAGGGCCCACCACGCTTTCCTCATGAGCCATATCATATACATAGTGGCGGCTCTCAATTGGACCAAAACGGAAAGGGATAAATTGGACACGCTCATGCGCAAAAGTGT